TAAACAAAAACTCCAACTTCAAATAAACATAAACAAAACAGGCTTTAGTAGCTCAGATGGCTAGAGCGTGTGGCTGTTAACCACAAGGTCAGAGGTTCGAGCCCTCTCTGAAGCGATTTTATCTTCTTTTTTTAACCACAAAATCAAATAATGACTCTTGTTCGACTTTGGTAAAACTTTTCACAAATCGAACCGAATGCTTAGCCCCAAACGATGTCTTTTATACTAAAAAGCAAATTAATTTAATCTAGGATTAGTTAGAATTAGAGCAAGCATTAAGCTAGGTAGGTAGGTGTGTGGAACAAAAACACATCAATCATCAACCGTTTTGACATTTGACACGTCGTTCCTCTCTATTACTCTATGTACTCATTACTAGTATTAAATTAGAACTCACCTGTCTACATCGTCTCGTGTATGGCATTGGTCTAAACTAAAGTCTAAAGATGCAACAAATAAACTAATCAATTCAGATAATAAGGTATAATGTTTAAAGTACTTCAACCACAGAATCTAAAGGATCCATTAGAAACCAGATAAAACACAAATGGTCGATCGTTAACTCCAAATGGATTGTTCTATAATGTTTACGAGTTATTATATACTTTTTCATTTTGGTCTTTACATTTTAACCATTAATTGAGTTTCACGAAATACATAGTAACCTTACGACATTGTGAAATATAGCGGGAATTTTGCTTCGGACAATAATATACAAGTAGCTTTTTTCTATTTGGCATTGCCAAAGAACGAAATTGTACGAGGACATTTCATTTGGGCTATCGCGGCCCTTTTTGAATAGCAAACGAAGGAAGGCGTGTTTTATTCTTTTGTCAGCAAATAATGTTGTCGTTAAATACCCTAATGGGTTTTTGTTACTTCCATTTATCAAAATCTTCTCAAACTGGCTGTCCTTTAACGCTAGAGACACGGTTTTTTTAAGAGTGAGTGAGTGAGTGCTGTACACTATTTTACTGATCATGAGTTGTATTTTGCTAATCGGAACGAAAAGAGGGTTTACTCCATACTCCATAGTCCATACGCTTCTTTGAGAGCATTAAATTTAGGGTTTGGTGATTTGGAATTTCCTTGTCTCTCTCTGATAAGAAGGAATCAAAGCATAATCCTAAGGTAGTAAAGGTGTTTCAGGTGGGATTTGGAATCGAGAAAGAGCAATTCAACACGTCGACAAAGCCTAAATTCGAAGGTGTTGAGTGTTGAGGTATCTTTGGTGCTGTCTTGATAAGGAATAACATTTTAGAATATATGTGTTGTACGACTTGTTCCTTGGACCTTCTTTAATATTTCGAAGGTATCCTCTGATGAAGATGGGCTACAAATCTCTTAATCTTCACAATATCAAAAAAGAACAAAGCAAAACAAAACAAAAAGAATAAAGGTTATATATCTCTCTTTTATCTCAATCTTTCAGCTTTCTTTTCGTTGTTTCCCCCACACAATGATTCTACAATCTTTACGAGTCACTGTTTCTGAGTATTCCTGTCGGTAAAAGTTTTTCGAAGAAACAGATAAACTTTGGATGAAGATGCCACTTTTGAAAAGACCCAAGAAGTTCGTCTATGAATTAGTTTAGTTGGTCTTTGGCAGCCAACCGAAACCCAATATCGAAAAAAAGTTCAAATCATTGGTATTAGTCCGGTTCAAAGAATCAGCTCCTCACATTCACCGGTTTGTGTTGTTAGAATAACTCTCTCATTTGAAAATTTGATAAGCGTTGTACTTGTATGTATGTAACAAAGCTCCTATTTTTCTTTTTTGCTCATTTTGTTGTCAATATCAAGTGATCTTAAACTATAGAAACAACAAATTTAAAGTGAGCTATTACGAAAACAGTTAAAGCTTGAATGAAGAAAAAAAAATGTTCAAAAATACTCCCAAGTCCCAACAAAAATAAATTATATAATCAAAACGTCATGCAAGCAAATAAGACAACGATATTATCGTGCCATACTCCGCCCAATATTATAATTCCATAGTTTATTACCAAGTTGGAAAAATAATGTACATTGAAATTTAATATAAAAAGGTAAATCTGTTCGCCGACATTTGGTAGATGAAGAAAGGAGGGATGTTATGGTCCAAAAGATCCTTTGGGGAATAACAAAATCTCCAAAAGCTGGTCACATGTGGCTCATTCCTGTCCAAGTCAAACCTTCTACATCCTTTTTTTTATCACAAAATTTCATTAACTTTACTTATTAATACTCTTTAAGTTAACTTGCAAAATGCTTTTATAATGCTCATTCGGCTGACTAATGTTCACTTTTCAACTTAACAAACGAAAAAACTTTTATTTCTTGCCATGAGGTGACAGAGAATTGATACTCATAGGTTATGTTTATCAAGTGTCTCAAATTTGGTCTCAACCATTATAGACTTTTTATATTTCGATTACTACAATTAAATTTAAACTTTGATCATTCGTATTTGATACGAAGTGTCTTCTAGTGTGGAATATCTTGGGTAAATTTATCGAAATTGAGTTCATCAGTGGCATCAATAAGTATGCTAAGAACATAGAAAATACAATACTGACATGGATAGCAAAGTAATCTATTGCATTAACTAAACGAAGCGGGCTAAACTTGATTTACTTGGGTTAAGAAACTCTCCTTGAGTGTGAAAACAAAAATTAATTAAATTTAATATCAGCTTTATGAAGAGAATGGGCTTCTTTACCAACTACACTCAAAGATCCCTCGGGTTCGTTTTGTCAGCAGTTCAATGGACAGTGACTTTAGGGTATACCTGGACCGTTGGTTATATTCTCAATGCTTTTTATAGCCGTTGGATTTGTCATGTCATGACCAAACCAATTTGACTTCTTTTAAGTTGATGTAAAGTCTTATGGTTTTATTGCTCGCAAATAATCTTCGGATATTATTTCACGCGCCTGTCTAAGCAACTGAACGCCAGACGCTATAGACAAGAAAATGAGAGAACACGAAATATTTTTTTTCAAGTTGACAAAATAATATCTCGCTATACTTCAGTGTTCAGAATTTTTGTTGGTCGAAATATCTACTACCTATACGTATATACGACTAATAGTATATATCCGAAGAACAAAATGAGCAACAGTAACAATAGTATCTGCAAATTATCCTATAGTATCAATCTTCTGAACCTTTATATTAATTTAATGTTTGAAGCTCTAAACCATACAGATTACAGAACAGAACTTACGAAAGCGTCAACTGAAAACTTTGTTCTTTTTTTTCTTTTTCAACATATCGCATTACCATCACTTTATGGCATTAGCTTGTAAATACCATTAAAAACTCATAAGCCAAAATGAAAAGTTTGTAATACTGACTGGCGACCAAAATATTCTTGAAAAAGAGGTTGTTTCATTGGTCATCTATTTATTTAGCAGAATATTATCATTGGGTCGTTATTCGTTATTCTTTTTAAAGTTGCATCTTAGACATAAGTATAGAAATTTATGGAAAATGGAATTTAGTCAGTGGATGGAATTTAAACAATATGAGATAATACTATTTTGCCCATGCAATGGGTTGTGATGGACATTATTTTTCTAGAACAATTTAAACAAGTAGATACATGGCTTTTTTGAACATTTTTTTTTTCTTTTTTGTAGTGGCAGCCTTGTCTTTGACCCATAAATCCAATTTCTCCATGGACGTGATTGTAATTGAAATTAAAGGTTGAAGTAACGATTTAATTATTTTATTTTATTTAAAAGAAAAAAAGAGAGAGAAAGAAACAATTTCTTGCGTGAGAGCCTTTCTCATGGCAGGAGCTTTTACTCCTCCTTCCTTTTGTGGAAACATGTATTGGCTGTCTAAGCACAAAAATTTAAACTCTATATTTTTTAGTCAAAATCATAATTCATTTTAGAGAACCAAGAAAGTATGTAAATCAAAACTGGAATGGGTTCTAAATTTTATCATTGTACTTTTGCATATGAAAATATTTATCCGTATCTCAATAGTTTGATTTTTTTCTATTGGGAGATGTAAATGATACAGTATAACTTAAATCAGTTATTTATGATGTTCATTAATTTGCTACTAATGAAAACTATTGCCTATAAACAGACAAATTGAACCTAGTACAGTCGTATAGATAAAAAGAAGAAAATGTAACTCACTGATTTTTTTTAGGAAAATGTTGGTTAGACCGAGTAAAATCGTAGCTGCAGACAATCACGAGTGATGTAAGAACTTTTCACTGTGATAAATGAAACAAGATATAAACTTGGCTACACAAAATTACAAATTTCTTACAATCTAGTACTGGACTTTCATGTACTAAAATCTAATCAACGTCCTTTTCCTATACATGAATGTACAAATAAAATAGGTCAAGATCTGTAGACTATATGGTTTAAAGTACTACCCAATATGGCACCCTAGTGATTGGAAATTAGCTTTCCAAGCTTTATCAATAATAATTTGTTGAAAACATTTTTCTAGTCATCATAATAATTTATACTGATTTTTCGATCATTTTTTAATTTTTGGTTTTCCATATATATAAATAATAATGTTGAATATTGTCGAAAATCATAAAAAGGAGAAGAAACAGAAAAGAAATAAAGAGAAGTCACTAATTCTATGTTTGGCGCGTATATTAACCACCACCGGCAAAACACCCACGAAAAAGGCGAGCACGCATAAAGAAAGATCAAAACCTCCCCATCACTTCCATAAAGAAAAACAAAATACGCAAAAATAAAAAACATAATCGAAGCCGAAAATTATATAAAAAAAAAACATTTATTTTTTAGTTCAAAAAAAGTTTCAGCTTTGAAGAAGCTAGAGAGAGAGAGATCAAGCGACTGAGAGTGGTGTGGAAGCAAAACCACGATCTGCGTTTTTTTCCACTCAGATTTTCATCAACACTCTTCTTCGATCGGAGCTTTCGACATTCCGACAAAAGCAGAAAAAATAGACTTCTTCTTTCTTGTCTGTGGGGAGAGATTTGTCTCCCTCTGTACAGAGGTTAGGTTATAAATGGAGCGGTACGGTCGCGCCGGTGATGAGGGGCCGCGATCGGATCCGTCGCTTGAATGGACCTCTCATGGAGGCGAAACCGGAGTCGAAGGTAAACGTTTGACGATTTCCCGCATAATGTCTTGTTAAATAGCCCTGATATATCTGAGATCAAACGAATTTTGTCTCAAATGTGTGTTTTTGTAGCTTCGATGTGGCGATTGGGGCTAAGCAGCGGCGGAGCTGGTGGAGGAGGAGGAGGAGGAGTCGGAGGTGGAGAATCGTACCCAGAGCGACCCGACGAGCCCGATTGTATTTATTACTTGAGAACCGGCGTTTGCGGGTACGGGTCAAGATGTCGGTTTAATCATCCCCGAGACCGTGGCGCGGTAAAGATTCCCAATTTCTGATTCCCGATCTTCGATTCCTCCATTATCAGATCAGATCGTTGAATCAGTGATCTACTTACTGAGCATTGTTGTTGAGATTGGTTTCGTTTGAAAGCTCTTTGATTTGATGGTTTAGGTGATTGGAGGTGTGAGAGGAGGAGATGGAGTTTTACCGGAGAGGATGGGACATCCGGTTTGTCAGGTTTCGTATTCCGGTTTTAACCAATGCACACTTTCTAATTTTGTTTTCTTTTTTCAAATTTTGTTATCTTTTTGGTTTGGCAACAGCATTTTATGAGAACGGGAACATGTAAATTCGGCTCATCATGCAAGTATCATCATCCTAGGCAAGGAGGTGGTTCCGGTTCCCTTACGCCTGTCTCTCTAAGTTATTTGGGATTCCCATTACGTCCGGTTTGTCTTCTAAACCCCCTCAAATTGTTGTAAATTTTGGTTTATGGATTATATGATCTCTTAAAAAGCTCATCTAAAAATGTTGATCACAGGGAGAGAAGGAATGCTCTTATTACATGAGAACCGGTCAGTGTAAATTCGGTTTGACCTGTAGATTCAACCATCCCGTACCTCAGCAGCAGCCGCAGCCACAGCTACAGCCGCAACCGCAGCCGCAGCTGCAGACTATTTATCCGACACTTCAGTCTCAATCAGTGCCATCGTCTCAACAATATGGGTTAGTTTTGGCAAGGCCTTCTCTCTTACCAGGCTCTTATCTTCCAAGTCACTACGGTCCTCCAATGGTTTTGCCTCCCGGAATGGTTTCATACCCTGGTTGGAATCCTTACCAGGTAAATCAAAATCCTTAAACTCTGTTTTTAAGATTCTTGATCTCAAAGAATCAGTCTTTTTTGTTTTGTTTTAGGCTTCTTTAAGTGCAATGCCTTCGCCTGGAACTCAACCGTCTATAGGATCAAGCTCTGTCTACGGAATCGCGCCGTTGTCTCCTTCAGCGACTGCTTACACAGGAACATACCAGTCAGGGCCTTCCTCGAACATCTCAAAGGAACAATCTTTCCCTCAGCGACCTGACCAACCGGAGTGTCAGTACTTCATGAGAACCGGTGACTGTAAATTCGGATCTTCTTGCAGATACCATCATCCTCTGGACGCTGTTGCAACTAACACCGGTGTCCTCCTCAGCTCCATTGGCCTCCCTCTCCGTCCCGTAAGTCTCTTTTTTCTCTTGAGATACGACGTTTTGGTGTGAGACAACGTTTCAATATGTTGGTTTGACACAGGGCGTAGCGCAATGCACTCACTTTGCGCAGCATGGGATCTGCAAGTTTGGACCGGCGTGTAAGTTTGATCACTCGATGAGTTCTTCGCTAAGCTACAGCCCGTCTGCTTCTTCGTTAACCGATATGCCCGTGGCTCCGTACTCAATCGGATCATCCTCGCTCAGTGGTGCATCAGCTCCTGTAAGCTCAAGCAGTGAAGTTGCTACAGAGGCTGTGACTGCTGCGGTTTCTTCTTCTATGGTCAGTCGTCAAGAGCCAGCTGAGACCAGCGGTGACTCAGCTAGTGGCAGTGGCAGCATAGAAGCCAAGACTTCTTCAAGTTAAAAAAGGAAAAAAGAAAAAAAGAAGAGGAAAATATCATTAATTCTTCATGAGACTAAGCAACATTAAGAAAAGGAGAAAAGAAGATTATTTTTGGGGTCTGAGATTTGATGGAAGCAGAGAGACCAAAGCTTCTGTCATTTACCATTTGTCCATATATAATATATTCTCTCATACGGCCATCTCTACTCTCTCTCTCTTGTTTTTCTCGTTTCTTGAAAACGATTACTGTTAATAAATGGCCTTATTCACTCAACATTCGCTTCCTGAAAATCCCCTGTTTCTTTATTCGTCCATGAGTTTTCTTGAATCTGTAGTAGCAACAAGAAGAAAGAAGCAGAAACGAATCTAGATTTGATAATTACCTCTCATTACACGATCAAATGCTATGGATTTCTTTCCAAACAAGAATCACTTATTTGGTTAAAACAATGCCACTGTCGGCAAAATAAGTAACAAGGATGCAAATCATGTAAACATATTGTGTTCATTCATTCACATCTCCCGGAAACCTATTATATAACTTATGCCTATGCGTTGGTCTAAGATTTTCCTCCAATGGCCTCAAAGCTTTTGTTCCTTTTCTCTAGTTGAAATATTTTATATCAAAAAGTATCAGGTAAGAAGAACAACTAGTTATCGATTAAACAAGTCGTTATACATTAATTAACTTCATTACATCCAAGTCATACCAAGACAAACATACACCAAACCAGATTGATATTCATTTGCTATGTTTGAAGCTCGCTTAAGTTAAATATATAACAACAAAAGCTTAGCAAAATGATATTCTGGAAAATGCATAAAAACAGAGCTCATTTAAATCATCTCATCGCAGATGCTTTCTCTTCTTCGAGGATGAAGGACTCTCACTTGGTTGCCTTCCCATAGCTCGCTTTGATGGTGTTGCACTCTTCAAAACCAGAAATAAGCGTAAGTATCAACCAGAGGGATCAAAATAAGAGTCCAACTATACATATATATATATATATATATTGTATGTGAAAATTATGCAACTCTTCTTTATTACCTTTGCGAGCTTCTTCTCTTTACGGGCTTGCCTCTCTCTCTCATCAAACTCTTGGTTCTCTTTCTCAATCAGTCGAATCAGAGTGTCGCATCTCCTAGCGAGTTCATGACTCGTGCGGGATTTCACAAACCAGTCAAACCTAAACAACGGCGATGTCCTGAATGCTGCCTTTAGCTCCTCCCAGTTCCCATACCCAAGTTTGTGGATCATGCACATCTGTTTTTAACCACAACAAACGTTTCAAACTTTGCAATGGGATTTAGTGAAGCAAAACAGTGAAATGAAACGATGAAAAAGACGGACCATGAAACGGTCGCACTCTTCATTGTACAGCTTCCCTTTGTTCTGACCGTATTGAATCTTCAGTTCCAGCCAAGGGTTTCTGTAGCGATCCAGTTTCTTCCCTATGGCTTTCATGATTTCATCTTTCCTCGAGATTCTTGCCTCTCCCCTCTCAATGTTCTTAAGGATTCTATCATAGTCTGCAAAATTTAGAGGGTCAATGAAAGCACAAGCTCTTTCTTGACGTAATTACTCTACTTGAATTAAAAAAAGGTGTTACGTACCGTTCAGCTCCTTGTATCGCTCTTTGAATACTTGAGCATATCTTTCAACTTCTTCCTCTGTTTTGCCTTCCATCTCAGAGGCGATGCTTTTGATGTCGTTGCGGCCATACTTTTCACAAGCCCTAAGGAAACTATTGAAGTCTCTTCTGCTCCATGTTGAGAAACCCTGGAGATCAGCAATTACAAACCGTTAAACAAAGCGCAAACGAATCAAATGTCTATGACCTCTTTAACATCAAACGTTTTCACTTGCCTCCTCCAATAAACTCTCTTTTTCTTCCACTTCTTCAGCAGTTAAGGGATCTCCACCTTCTGGTTCTTCAACGTCAATTGTGTCTTTCAACTGGTTTTTCTGATGTGTTTGCTGAAACCAGAGGGAAGCAAGTTGCTTTTATTAGCCGAAAATTCGCTCTTAAACACAACAAACAAGTGACATGTATTTCATTTCGAGAATCCTACCATGAGATAGCGTACTTCCTTTTCATACAACTCGGTCAATCTGTGAGTGTTAAAGAACTGGAAATCGTGCCTGCAGGATGGACAAGAAATTCCGGTAAAAATACTATCAAGACAAGGAAAAGGTAGTTCGCTAATACAGAGTAGAAGTTTGTTGAGGTACTCACAACTGAGGCATGCGCGGAATTCTAGGCTCTTTAGGTTTAGATGGGGCACCTTGCCGCAATGTTTGCTTAAAGTATTCAGATTCAGAGTAGCTGAAGTTACAGTAAATAAAGCACAAGGGTTAGATAAAGTTTATGAAGACAGGCAAAGAAAGACTGCACAATGTACAGGCAAAAAGAACATTTACTTGCGCTTTCTCTCCCGCTTTGGTGGATCATTCCAGTTGTCGCTCACAATCTTTTTAAAATCAAGCTTGTTCTCATCCTATAAAAATATTATTATAAAAATTAGTAAAGCAGATCATAACTAGGGTATGGCATGAAAGCTTAAGCTACGCAAACAAGACTTACCTTATTGTCATCATCAAAATCATAGAAGTCAGCACCTGCAACAGATCAGACAATTGATTATCCAAATGTACTACACTATTAACACAATGGAAAAGGGGCAAAAAGAGGTCCACGACTTACTGTCATCCATTTTAAACTGTATAGCATCTTCAGTGAATTTCTTCATCTTGGCATCGAGTTCAGCTGTTGCCTCCTCTCCTTTCGCAATGATTCTATCAATATCCTCGTCTGTGATTGTGCTGTCTTTAGAACTGAATACCATCTCAGCACCATATCTTACCATTTGAAGTAACTCATCCTTATTGACAGCTGCATATAGTAACGATATAAATTAATTATGTCAGAGATGAATCACCGCATTTTGCAATCTCGGTATAAAAACTTACTTTTCTGCTCTGCCAATCGCCCTTGTTGAATTACCAGAGCATCAAGCGCCAACTTCTTGTAAGCTCTCTCAATAACTTTCTCCTCAATAGCAGACTGTAAAAACCAATACATAAATAATTCAAAACTCTCATAGTCTGTTCTTACTTGACGTACACGGGGAGAAATACCAACCTCAGTGCAGAATCGAAACACTTGAACTTCTTTCTTTTGACCAATCCTATGGGCACGATCCTGAGCTTGCAAGTCGACTTGTGGGTTCCTGCCAAAAATCCGCCAGACTCGTCAAAAGTGAAAAGAATGCTCACGACTAAAATGGACATGATAAGAGACTTACCAGTCACTATCATAAAGAATTACGACATCTGCAGTAGCAAGATTGATACCAAGCCCTCCGGCTCTCGTAGATAACAAGAAAACAAATTTCTCACTTCCTGGCTTGTTGTAGGCTTCTATGGCGGCATCTCGTTCATCACCACCAGTATTTCCATCAATACGGCAATATAGATAACCGCGATACATTAAATAATCCTCAAGAATATCCAGAAGTCTTGTCATCTGACATAATATGAGCAAAGAAAAGAACGAAGCTCAGACTTCAAATAAAGAAAGGAAACAGAGAAGATGAAAAGTAAGAACCCATCATCTACAGCTGTTTTCTGTATCGAAGTTTACCTGAGAAAATATCAGAACCCTAGAATCACGATCCTTCAACTTAGGAAGCAATTTATCCAAGAGAACCATCTTACCTAAAAATAACAACATAAAAGATGCTTCAAAAAACACATTTACACATAAATCTGAATGAATGAGATTGAATGCTAGTCTTACCAGCATTTGTTATAAGGTGATCTCCTGTGGTGTACGGGGGACCAGGCTCTGCACCCTGGAAGAGATAAGGGTGATTACAGCATTTACGCAGTTGCATTGCAATGTTTAGCAGACGTTTGCGTTCTCCACCAGCATTAACCGCTTCCAGATCCTTCTGCAGTAAAGCCTTGTAGTATTGCTTTTGCATCTGAGACATGCCAACTTTAAGTATTGTCTCCTTCTTTGGTGGCAAACCTTTCTCAACATCAGACTTTAATCTCCGAAGAAGAAATGGTCGAAGAACCTAAAAAATACAGGAAACTGATTAGCCTAACAATTAAGACGGGATAAACTCGATAGAAGCAATAAGTACATACATACCTTGTGAAGTTGTTGAACAACTTCCTGCTGGTCATTCTCACCGGAAATTTGAAACCATTCATCAAAAGTCTCCGCTGAACTAAATATCTCAGGCAGAAGAAAATTGAGAAGAGCCCACAATTCATGGAGATTGTTCTGCATATACAAAGAAAACATGAGGTACAAGGAATATAAAAGCATAAGTAAGAGAACTAAAAGACTCCGTTGATTCAATATACAGTTAGAAGCAACTTAACAAGAAAACTTCAGTCTCCAAATATTCAACAATAAGATAGAGCAAACACCTGAAGAGGGGTTCCCGTGATAAGAAGCCGATAATTGGTGCTAAAAATTCTCATGGTTTTAGAAAGGAGTGAGTTTTCGTTCTTGATCCGATGCGCTTCATCAATGATAATATAACGCCAGCTAAAGCGACGTAGGGTTGTCTTCTCTTTGATGGCCATCTCAAAACTTGTGACGCAGATATCGAATTTCCCAGCAACTAGCAGCTTATCGCGAATATGTCTCTGCATTATTTAGCAGTCATCTCAGTATCCTGGGTGTAAACATTAACATGAACTCTGAGATGGCATACAGCTCGTTGACTTACCCTTTCCTCAGGATTACCAAGGAATTTCACAGCGCGCAAGACAGGACAAAACCGGCGAATTTCATTCATCCAATTACCAAGGGTTGATTTTGGAGCAACTACCATATGGGGACCATTGATTCCTCTGTATTCATGAAGGTACGCCAGCAAAGAAATCGTCTGAAGAGTCTTCCCCAGACCCTAGACAAGAAGAAAACCAATGGTTTGATGATTAGACTCATATAAAACGGAAGAAATTATCTTCCTTGGACCCTTGAGGTAGCCATTGTTTACCATTTCATCAGCAAGAATTCCATTTATGCCATTCTCATACAGCCGAATGAGCCAGTTTAAACCAGCTAATTGGTAATCTCTCATCTTTCCTTGAATACCTGTAAATTGAGAAGAAAAAGATGAATCCTAAGCTTTCCCCGACGCTAACTAGCTAATTACTGTGAGGTCACAACTATATTTAAAGAGCAAGATACAGGTACTTACAAGAGGGTTGTGTGAGCAACCTCGTGTTTCCAGATCCAGTTAAGCCATCCTCTTCTTCCTTTAAATACTCTTCATCTTCCTCCTCTTCAGTAACTTTGGAGGCATGACGACCCCTGAAGGTAAGATTTAAAACCCAATAAATCAGTGCTATGCTCATCATATACTTATTTTGAGAGTAGAAACAATGAAGAAACCGATATTTAAATAATCACTTGAATAACACACCTTCCTTTCGCCTTCTTCTGTGAAGAAGAAGGATCACTTTTGGCAAAGTGTGCAAATAACTCAGTTTGCTGCAGAAGATACTTCAGTCTCCCTTTCCCCTTGTTGTTCTAAATACATGAAAGATTCAAATTTGTTAACTCCGAAACACTAGAAGAATGTAAAGCAGCTCAAAACCTAAGGTGATTACTTCACAAAACGCACCATATCCGCATCAATGGAAGCATTTTGCGAGTCTAGCATCTCCTGAATCTTCTGCTTCTTCAACCTCTGCATCTCTTTAAGTCTCGCTTTCTCACGTTTTCTGATTTCAAGTTTTTCTTCGTCTTCTTCGTCCTGCGAAGGAAGACATGAACACCAAACCCATTACACCCAATTGAATTTCCAAGTACAAAAAGACGGAGGGTCACTGAGAGAGCTAAAATCAGAGCAGCGAAACAAAATCGGAATGCACGCACCTCGTAATCATCTTCAATAGGGGCGGCATCTTCGTCGGAGACTAGGGATTGGTCGGCGGCAGCTGCCTCATCATCATCGGAGTCAGAAGAACGAGCAGCAGCGTTGATCTCCTCCTCGTCTTCTTCTTCTACATTGTTCTGAACCCGCTCTTCATCCTCCTCCGACGAGAAAGCGTCATCGGAATTTGAAATTCTCGCCATGGAAGCTACGAATCCGGCTTGGAGATCGAGGGTTCGCTTAGAGGAAAGTTGAAAGAGAAAAAGTGAATTTAGAAACAAATGCACAGTGCAGACTCAGAAACGACACGACGCTTCAGGATTATTTATGACCGTCGATTAAGCTACTGAAATCTACGGCTAAGATTTATCCGTAGGAAAAACGTTGATAAAAAGTAAAACTATCGCATTTTGGCGGTCATAAAAATAATGAACCTTCGCATTTTGGCGGTCGTAAAAACAACAAACTACCGCGCGTTTTTGTCAACAAGAAGAAACAAAAAAAGTTATGATTCTGATAAGAATGGGCCTAATGGGCCCCATAAGGCCTATAGAAATGCCCCATATGTAATTTCTGAAGATGCTTGAGCAAGGTTCTTTGCACAACTACGGTAAACTTCGAATCTTATGTATGTTTTGTTTGATCATCGCCTCAAATTGTTAAAGCTGTCTCTACTTTAATTTATGTGGACATACTAAAACATGTAAGGTGTTTTACGATACGAAAGAATAAAAAACATTATAAATATCCGTAGTTTTTTAATATTGTTAGGTCTGACTTTTTTTTGTCCTTTCGCTTGTGTCTCTGTGGTATCGACTATCAAGACAAAGTTTGGTGCTTTTGTTTGGACAAAACTTTTCTGTTTCGTCTAGATGTAATCAGATTATCTGAAGCAGTTTTTCTCGATGTTCAATTGTTCAAACATTAGTTATAATATTATTTTTGAACGATTGACTCAAGTAGAAAGCAAAGTGGTACCTGCGAGCATATAGAATTAATTGTTTTTATGCACATGATGTCTAACCACTCCCCACTTTTCTTCAATTTTTTTTTTTTTTTTTTTTTTTTTTTTTTTTTTTTTTATCATACTGATTATCAACTCCCAATTTCCTCACCAACATTTTCTGGGGTTGGCCTAACATATTCACATATATCTGCATTATCCATATAATGTTACATATTCATAATTCTAACATATTGTACTTGTTTCTTGGCGTGAGGGTAACCACAATTCATCACCGGGACTATATATAAGTGCACTTAATGAAGCAGGCAATTTCACAACTCACCTCAGTCCAACTTAATTAGCCTCACTTTGAAACCTAAAAGAATAAAAGTATATATATAATATAACTTTTGATGGCGTCTACTGAAATCCCCGACCCAGAAACCGGCAAATCTGAACAGCTTCCGATGTCAGCTGCACCACCAACACAACCACCGTCTCCAGCTGCCGGTTTCCTAGACTGCCGGAAAATAGACGTCATATTAAGAGTTGTGCTTTTCTCGGCTACACTGACTGCTCTTATAGTAATGGTGACCAGCGACCAGACGGAGATGACTCAGCTCCCCGGAGCTCCGTCTCCTACTCCTGTCTCAGCCGAGTTTAATTACTCGCCAGCTTTCATGTCCGTCTCTTTAAATTCATCTCAATCAAGATCGTATGATATGCTTAATGCTTTCTAATTGAAACGTAATGTTATTGTGGGCTATGTATATCCAGATACTTCGTGGTGGCTCTTGTAGTGGCTAGTTTCTACGCCTTAGTCTCAACACTTGTTTCCATCTCTATACTCTTGCGACCTGAGTTCGCTGGACAGTTCTCCATATACGTAACCTCCCTGGATATGGTAACGTGTTTTACAAGTAACTTTGAATCTTCCAACCCACGTTAAGGGGTTTTTAAAATATATTTCCGGGACATGTATATGATAATGAACAGGTGATGCTGGGGATTCTAGCGTCTGCAACGGGAACGGCGGGAGGAGTTGCGTACGTAGCGTTGAAAGGAAACGAAGAAATTTGTTGGAACAAGATTTGTAATGTCTACGACAAGTTTTGTCGTTACATTGCAACTTCGCTTGCCTTATCTCTCTTTGCTTCTCTTCTGCTTCTAATGTTATCTATTTTCTCTGTTTGCAAGAGAACTACATGAACAAATCATATCTCGTAACGTACTAACGTGTGTGTGTATATGTTTATATTTGTGTCTGATTTGGCTTGTCCGTTATGTTATATGTATATCTCTATCTCCGGCCGGTGTCGTTGTGACTTGTGATCATAAGCATTCGTTTGATCGTTTCTGTCTAGTTAGTGGTTGTATGTACTGTATACTGTATTCTGTATATCTCTTTTATTGTTAAGTTCATCTTATAAAAAAATGCGCATACAGAAAGCACGTGGAAGAGACGTGGTCGATATAATTGCTCGTGGTGGTTGCAGAATCTTACATACTTGCATGGACCGGATCGGCGTAGTTTTTACTGTTGTTTACCAAAAAAAAAAGTTTTAACCTTTTCCTTTCTGTGGAATTCGGGAGAAAAAAAAAACAATTAAATGGTGTTAGTCTATTATTTGGTCGTCGGGTCATGCAGCTAAGAAACGAGGTAAATTGAAAAAAAAAATGCTAATTGAGCAATTATTATGTATATATACAAAGAAATGTTAGCACTTTGGCATGACAAGATAATACATCTATTAGGCCAAAAGAGAAAAAATGAAGAAGAAGACATTGAGCAACACCTACAAAGATTGAATATTAAGTACACCAACACATCAAAAACAATGCCAAATTGATAATACTGTCAAATTTTTTACAATCCAGAAATATTTATTAATATCAGTGTTAGCACGATTACAATATGCTGTAAGAGGCCATTCATAGTGGGCCTCGTTAATATAGGCCCATTAGAAATATTCCTTTCTTCTTTTTGGCGCCAAAGGGGGAAATCCGAGGTAAATGACGACTCCGCGCTCACTGTAAATGAATAGTCTTTCACTTTCAGACTTGGAGTTGGGGTTTTCCGATTTTAGGGTTTTTTGGGTGTGAAACAAGAGCGAAGAAAGGTGGGGGTTTCTCAGTATCTGTTTCCAGGGTTAAGTTTCTCTGATCAAAGAGTATGGAGCAGCAAATGACGATGACAAAAGGTCGTGAGGTAGAAGTGCGTTCTGAAGAGGAAGGCTTCCAAGGCGCTTGGTTCAGAGCGGTATTGGAAGAAAACCACACTACGCTTTCAGGAAGAAAGAAGCTTCGTATTCGTTACATGACTTTGCTAACCGACGACGGTTCTTCTCCGCTAATCGAACAGAAATTCATTCGACCGGTGCCGCCGGAAGAAGAACACATCGGAGTCGTTTTGAAGGAAGGAACAGTCGTCGACGCCGATCACAGAGGTGGGTGGTGGACTGGTGTGATTCTGAAGAAGAAACCAGAAGATGATACCTTTTTGGTTTTATTCGATTCCCCACCAGACATTATCCAGTTCAAGAGAAACCAGTTGCGGGCTCATGTTGACTGGACCGGTTGCAAATGGGTCCGACCAGGAACAGAGGTACGAGGTGGTCGCTTCTTGAATCGAGTTGTTATCCGCTTAAAAATCGTTTCTTTATTTTGCTGCTTTCTTGCATGCTATGGTTGAAGCTTTGTCTCTATTTGTTGCATTGCTATGATTTAAAGGTCCTTCCTTTTTTGTAATTTTGATGCTTTCTTTGGTTTTGTTGAATCTATAGTTGTTGAAATGGTTAAAGGTTCTGACTTTATAGTTGTGAATCTCAGACTTTTGACTTCTCTGTTTGTTGTCCTTGAAGGAATTGGATAAGTCCATGTTTTGCCCCGGGACAATAGTGGAAATCAGCTCTGTGAAAGAGAATATGGAAGTTGTGTGGGTCCCTGCAATGATAGTGAAAAAGGTTGGCGAGAAGAAATTCATTGTGAAGGATTGTAATAAAAAGTCGATCTACAATGGTGGTGATGCGGCAATCTCAACCGCAACTGTTGATATGTGCCGTGTTAGACCAACACCGCCTCCTGTTTTGTCTCGACACTATGAATTGTTGGAATGTGTAGAGGCGTTTAATGGTTTGGGATGGCGTCAAGGGCTTGTGACGATAGTTCTCTATGGACATCGGTACATAGTTAGATTCGAGGCTACAAAGAAGGAAGCCGTTTTTCAACGGTCGGATGTTAGACCTTTGAGGGTGTGGGAAAATGGGGTTTGGCATAACGGACCAAAGGTTATATATTTATTCACTCATTTCTCTGTCAGTTTTGGTTTACTAAGTGTGGTATTGAAGTAATTATGTTGATTTCCGTTTTCAGCAAAATCCTGTAAAAGAAACTCCAAAGAAGCCAATGCGCTCTTCCTCTGGTGCTAAGGTAAAGTTGGTTCTTCGTTTAATAACATTATCAATCTCATTTTCTTGGTGGTTTGTTAGATCATGGTTTAACAATTTCTAGATGCAGCTGCTTGAGGAGGAGAAAGACAAAGAAGAGAGTAGAAAAAGGAAAAGAGACCAAAAACAGAACGAGAGTGGTATGTCTAGTCTACATTCAGCATCTTATTGGTCATAGTAACTTTGTTTCTTGCCCAATCTCAGTCATCTCATTGGTTATGATTTGTATTTGTAGATGGGAGTTGCAACGATGGTGATGTTGTTGATCAGCCTTTCTCTCCTTGGACAGGAAACCTAACTACTGGTTCGGAAACCTTTTCAATATACTAAAGCAAATCTCTTTTCAAAGTCAGCTTAGATGCATTCTGTTTGAAATATGCATTGATTTTGTTAACAGTTTGGCCGTTTGCAATGAAGTCGCCGTATTGGAAGACATGTGAATCCATGGAAGGTTTTAAGTCAGTGCCACCACAACGGCCTCACTTCAGCCCATTGCTTGAAGCTAGAGACGATCTCCGTGAATGGGCAGCAGTTGGCATGATGGTGACCTTTTACGGGTTACTGGACCAAGTCAAAGATCTGAAACCTCATGATTCCACCAGCAAGATCAGCGGTCTCAGTGTTTCCTTGGCCAATCTAGAGAAGAATGGTTTCGACGTTGCAGCAGCTCAGTCACGGATCGCTAGACTGTCGTCTCTCAAAGGTGTGCGAGATGAGAAAGCTGAAGAGAAAAGACGTTTTGAGGACAAGATTGGAGAGAAAAGGAGTGAGAGTCACAGGTTAGAAGAAACAAGGGCTGAGCTTAAATGCAAAATTCTTGAGCTGCAAAGACTATATGCTGCTGCAGAAGAGACCAAGGAAGCGGTTGACCAAAGTATGGTTGAAATGAAATCAAGTTCAGAAATTATCGCTCAGGAGATTGAAGATAATGAGCTTGAGTTTCGAGAAACTGCCTCGGCTCTATGGTAATAAGCTGAAGACTTCCTTTGTTTTTGTTTTCTCAAAGACTTCCTTTTTGGATGTTTATTGAGAACATTGAGAAGCCAAACGTTTCTTTCCCTTTCTTAAGATCTTAACTTCAAAGAACTAACCAAATTATTTTGACATATTCCACATTTTCACCTAACTACCAAGATTTGAATATGAGAGAGATACATTAAGTACAGAAAAACCACAAAATACAGATTAAGTTACAAGTTTGGATCCTGAGGTTTTTCACAAATATCTCACTATCTACAGACAAAAAAAACACAATAAGTACAGAGGAGGTCTTTAACTTTTAAGGGGTGTTTCTTCATCATTCATTCACAGGCGATTCTGGTCTCAAAACTGCTCAGGCAAATCGCAAACGCCTGAAACGCAGAAATCGGATATCCATAATCCATAGTGAACATGTCCTTGCCAACTTTCCCAAACTGTAGTATGATCCTCTCTGTTCGCTGCTCTGTTTCTCCCTCACATTCGCCGACCGCCACAAGCTGAAAGTTCTTAACCGAGGCCACCGTGACTCGTCCGTGGAAATTCAAGCACCAGCAACGCAGCTGCTCATGCCACCGTGGAGTCTTGTTGCTCAGAACCAACGGTGGATCTCTCAAGTTGTTGCTTGACTCGCTGCAAGATGCGCTGTTGCTGCGTAACGGCTTCGAATGAGACCTAAAGAACGATGTTGAAGCTACTCTTCCTCGAGGCTCCATGACGCTCATTGGTACCGTATCCATTACGCAACGCATTCTTCTCGGCCCTCTATATATAAAACCACAAACATATTGTAAGAATCAGAATGATCAAAAGATTTGAAGTTTCAAGAAGTAGAAATTTTATTTACCGGGAGCCTAAGACGTTTAACTCGTATGAAATGTGAGCAACGGGGTAACTTCCTTGAGGAACTCTAGGTGAAACTTTCATGAGATTAGAAGAGCGGCTCTTGAGCATCTTCGCTGCTCTGGTCTGTGGCATCAGATTACCATCGAAGACAGTGAACTTCGTTCCGAGAAAGTTCGATCTTGCGAGATAATAACAACAAGAGAGTTGTATAAGTGACACCAAAAGAAGAAAGTTGGTAAAAATGGAAACTTTATAATATTAATACCTTACTCTACCGAGATATGCGTTGCTTCTTCTTGACATATCGTCTGAGCGCAGAGAGATGATGTAATCAGTACAAGTTGCACGCTTTAGCTTAGAAGCAGCTAGAAGAAACTTTCCGTTATCCGTCAAAGCTGCCAGAAAATTTTAAAAGAAGCAATTTTAGAACTTGAAAAACAAGTAAAGTTTTCAACTTTTCAAGAACAGAGATGGCTTACAGTTGGTTAACCCAATATAGAGATGATATGATTGCGTATTTCGGTTGCGTTTTATGAAACATTGAACCAGAGAATCTCTTGGACCAGCCTGCAATAAAGATTTTTAAAAAGATATGGCAATGTTCAAAATCGTCTCTCAATAGCAAGTTAGCAACCATGAAACAGAGTGTTTATGTATCTATCAAAACAGCAAAGGGACTACAAGTTTAAAGCTTTTGGAGTCATGAGATTTAGCACTAAAACGTCAAATGAAACCATGTGATCAATTCTGGAAGCAAACGCAAACACAGACGCAAAACGCAGCTGAATTTCTTGAATGGAATGCATCAATTAAATAGTGTAACTTTGTCTCTATACATACAAATAAAGAAACTAACTTTATGAGTTTATGTACTCAAAATAGACAGAGACATATATACAGAGAAAGGAACCTGCTTAAGAGAGATTGGGAAAGTCAATCTAGAGGAGATTTCAGGGACAGAGACAATCTCTTTCATGAGCAACCGCCAGCAACGGCAGACGCCGGCGCAAGCGACCACGCTTCGCCGCGACGGCCAATCGCCGCCGTCAGCCGACTCAACCCTAATCAGGATCTCTCTCAGCAGCTCCTCCGGGAGCTCCGACCATCTGAAAGGGTCTGAGCCAGGAGCGGTTGAGGCGGCGTCGTGGACTATGCGGTGCGGTCTGGACCGCATTTCTTGTATCAGACTTCGGATCGTCATGCGATTCCGGTGAGATCTAAGCGGTTTAAGAGATGGTTGGTCATGAAAGTATGATCTGGGTGTTGAGGAATTTTAAAGGGGGGAGTTGAGGTGAAGAAGTTAGGAGAGGTGGTGGTGGTGGTGGTAGTGTTGTTGTTGAGAGACGCGAAGAAGATTCGGACAATAATGGAGGCGCTTTTGTTTTTTTTTTTATCTTCTTCTTCTTCTTCTTTACGCTTTACCGCTTCTTTGATAAATTTTTGTATTTTTTTATTATTCAGTGGCGTCGTCTTTTGGGAAAATGTTAATGTGAATTATACCATAGGATAAGGATGAATTAAACTGACGATTTGGTGACAATATAACTTACGTATTTTTCACATAGATATTTTTTTTTAAACTGTATATTAGTTAATACTTAATACTACATCAACTAAGATCAAACATACTTTTTAGTTTTTACTTTAGTGGGTTTGCAATTTTCTTTTGTAGGACTGTTTGTCTGTTTGTAGTTGTACCTCTAGTTGGATTACTCTCCCGAATAATATTTTTAGGTAGGCCAAAAAAAACCTAAATTATCCGAAAAGTTAAAATCCAACACTATCATTAGCCATGGACATTTTTAGTTGATTTAAACAAAAATTAAAAAGTAGTTTAGGCTTTCTTTCTGAAACTGAATTCAGCGGTGATCAAAGTAGTTTATTGATGTTTTCTTCAAGTTTAGGAAGAATGGAGACCCAAAAAAAACAAGTTGGTGTTTGACCAAAAATATGCTGCGAATGAAACTGTTGATAAAAAAAAATAAAAATGATCAGGAGCTTATATCAAATTATTCTGTTGTGGTATGAACTTATGAATCTTATGATCTGAATTCAAACCCAATAATATGTGTGCGGTCATAACATTCAACAAAAATCCAATACACAATCTATAGAAGTCATTATACTGATTTTCTCCATATGTCTTACAACCAAAAGATACTTTTGGCCGACCATTACCATAATGTGGGAGTCATTAATATGTCTACCTTATGTTTCACCATAATCATTCATTACTTCTTCGCCATCCCTTTTCTTTCTTCTGTCTTCAAAGTTCAAACCCAAAAAAAAGGTGAAAAATATTAATAATCCAAGTAGCTACTGAACTAAAGAACGATATATCTATCATATAGTATACTATATCTCGAATGTAGAATTTTATAGGTTTTCAATTCAAAACCAAATTGGTAATAAGTGGTTTATGTCCTATTAGAATTCTAATGTAGAATTTCTAACATAAATATCTTATAATGATGATTAATTGTTAACGCAAATTTTCAGTATAATATATGCATGTGCGACATCATAAAAGATAAATGTAGATCGGAGTCACAAAAGCATAGACCACGAGGCATTCAAAATGCTAAATCAACAGGTTGGCCCACTACTAGGATTTTGCAATGTTTCCAATTTGTCGACTTTTATATCTTGTTTCTTGTATAAAACCATGTTATAAAACTACTTGAAAAAATGGAATTTGTATCGTAATGATTTGTACTAGTGTAGTTGTATGCTATATTGTTGATCTCAAATTGGACAATCCACAATGTTTGTCTGTTTGGGTTGCGGTAAGGAAAAAAAGTAAAAGTACTATTTCAAAATTTCAATTTAACGACTGATATTTGTACTGCAAACGTTGTCTCCATAACTTCATTTACTTGTTCATAAGCTATATCTACATCGTAGGTACATAACAAAATTGCAGGAATGAATAAACAAATACAGCTACACATCTGAAGACAAATGCATCGTGGGACATTATAAGCTTGTTTTTGCCAGTTATTATTATGTCACATTTTTTTCATAACATAATTATATAGTAAGACTAGTATTAATGTATTATGGTCTTCTCCATCACCATTTTAAAATACATGTATATTTTACTTGGGAAATCCTTATGAGTTGTGATACTTAATAACGTAATGTACATTTAGTCTTCTACGAAAATGTTGTTTGTATAATAAAAAATAGTATTAACGCTTAATCCCCTTTTAAAAAATCATTTTCATGTAAATATATATTTTTTGACTTTTAGCCTTGACTTTGGAGTATATTTGTTTTTTCATGATTATCAAGACTTTGTTCCGATTTCCGACTACGAATTACATACAATGAAGTTGAAAGAAAATTCAAAGGCTGCGAAGATGAAAGAAATCTGCATGATAAAAAGAAAATAATTTGAGACATGTAATGATGAACCCTTTATCATTGGCCCCAAACTGGGAACAACAGAATTGGCTCTTGCTCTCTCCCTGTAGGTGCAAATAGCAAGAAGAGTGAATTAATATACAAAACAAATACCTGGACAACTAGTACTATCGAATTATATTCAAATAACAAAAGCTATTTCCTTGTAATGATGACTAGTACTAAACTAGTCAGGATCCAAAATTTAGTACAAAGATAAATTTGTACATAAATAAAAAAGGATAAATTAGTACATACATACAAGCAGTTTGTATTTTGTTGTCACTAGAGATTCATACAAAAATTAAATTCATTTACCAACTCATATTTGATTAACAAAATGACAAAACGCACAAGAAAGGAAACAACCCCATCAAACAAATAGATAAGCTTTACAAATTCGAAAAACATGAACAATCTAAGGTGCCAAAAGAAAGAAAGAATACAAACACTATATATCACTTTGTTCCTAAAAAGAGAATAATCCTATGATTATTTCACTTGGTCGTATAAAGATTCCAATAGGGTCGTAAAAAAAAAGCAAAAGCGTGTTCCCTTCTGTTGTTTTTGACATATCTTTACACGACAACATCATACCCAATGAGCTAATTCCACCTGCAAATGATCACAGCCGTCCAACATGGAATAGTATCTTGAGATGGAGATATAAACGGTGGAGATTAGCTGATGTGATATTCGAAAGGCGTTGACCTCTCTCTCTCTCTCTCTCCACTTGGCTCCATTTACAAGCTATAAATATATATATACACGCCATGTTTGGCGGTCTCTCGTCTTCGTCTTCGTCTCTTTGCTGTCCTTCAACCAACTGTAACATCTCTCTCTCTCTACGATCTAAGAGAATCATAACTTTGCCAGGTATGTGTTAGATGCTTGATCGAGCCTTCTTTGTCGATACTTTGAGATCCTTCTAGGCTTTTACTGTTCATGGAAGTGTGTTCGTGATGCAATCTGAAAATAATTCGGAAAATTAGTCAATATATCTGGTTTGTATTTCCAGGGTTTAGAGATTTATGGGATTCATACTTTTAAAAATAAACGCTGTTACTTCTTGAATCTATGATTTTGGAATGTTTCATCTTCTTGATTTGAAAAAAAAAATCGCGGTTAAAGAGAAAAATCATTAGCCTTTTTTAGATACTTCTTTACTCAGAAATTCGAAGTTCCACAAATCACGCTTCGTTTTCTTTTTTAAATGTTTATATAGGAAATTTTGGAAATGACAATCGGATTAAGCACAATGCTGGCGAAATTAGAGAGTCTTTTTGCGTCAGATCATGCGTCAGTTGTGTCCATGAACTTGTTCGTTGCTCTGCTTTGCGCTTGCATCGTGCTCGGTCACTTGCTCGAAGAGACTCGGTGGATGAACGAATCAATCACTGCTCTCATCATCGTCAGTTTTAAAATTTCCTATAATAAAAATAAAACTTGTGCTTAGAACAATTGTAAAATTTGATTACTCAATTTTTTTTTTTTAATTTATAGGGTTCATGTACTGGCATTGTGATCTTGCTTATAAGTGGAGGAAAGAGCTCGAGGATTCTTGTATTTAGTGAAGATCTGTTCTTCATTTATCTTCTTCCACCCATTATATTCAACGCTGGGTTAGTTTTTTTTTCTTTCATTTTCATGAAAACTTGCTATATTCAGTTTCTAAAACCAATTATATATTGAAGTTAGTTTTGACTTTTGAGCAACACGCTTTTTTTGTCAGGTTTCAGGTTAAGAAGAAGCAATTTTTTCGCAACTTCATGACCATTATGTTATTTGGTGCTATTGGTACTCTCATTTCATTTGTTATCATATCATTAGGTAAAATATCTCAATCAACTTCCCTAGTGGCAAAATTCAGTCTCATACATTTTGATGATAGTTTCATATGTTTATTTCTTTCATTTTTGCTAGGTGCTAAACATTTTTTCGAGAAAATGAATATCGGAGATCTCACCATTTCCGATTATCTAGGTACTTTGAAAGAAAGAAAGAAAAAGAACAAACCTAACTATGCTCTGCTTTCTTGTTCATCAAGTGTCATATCGTTAAATATGCTTTGATTTGCAGCCATTGGAGCAATATTCTCTGCTACAGATTCTGTTTGCACCTTGCAAGTAAGTATTTCTTACACAACATTCAAAAACATTATTCTAGTACATTTGCTAGTCCATAATTAAACCTATTCCGGCTTTGTTAATTAATCTAGGTGCTTAATCAAGATGAGACACCACTCTTGTACAGTTTGGTCTTTGGAGAAGGTGTAGTGAACGATGCCACATCGGTCGTGCTCTTCAATGCTATACAAAGATTCGACCTCACAAATATTAATTCAGCCATAGCTTTAGAGTTTGCCGGAAACTTCTTTTATCTCTTCATCTTAAGCACAGCACTTGGTGTTGCAGTAAGCTTCTCTCTACTCCTCAGATTCCAATTCTTGAATTTCGAATAAACCTAAAAAGGTTTTCATACATTTTCTTTCAGGCTGGTTTGCTTAGTGCTTTAATTATGAAGAAGCTCTACATCGGAAGGTATATATGACTGTATATTTTGTATATATTTATAAAAAGTGATATTTCAATGCGATTATAATCTTTGTTTAGTTGTTTCTTTAATCTTTGTTTTTGTGTAAAATCAGGCACTCTACTGATCGTGAAGTTGCACTTATGATGCTATTGGCTTACCTATCATATATGTTGGCAGAGGTAAAAACTAAAAACACAATTTACAAACATTCAATTTTGTAACCATTTTTAATTACCAAGACAGAAAAATAAAGACAAGAAACATTTTCTCCTTAATTTGCAGCTATTCCACTTAAGCTCTATATTGACTGTGTTCTTCTGTGGGATTGTTATGTCTCATTACACATGGCACAATGTTACAGGTAAATCAAAGGTCACTACAAAGTAAGTCTCTTTCTTCTCCTAAATAGTTAGAAGAAAAAAAAACTATATTCAATGTGGTGATTTTGATTCACTGACGAAAATGTAATTTTTTTTTCTTGGATGTAGACATACTTTTGCTGCATTGTCATTTCTAGCTGAGATCTTTATATTTCTATACGTTGGTATGGACGCTCTCGACATCGAGAAATGGGACGTTGTACGTGACAGGTGAGACACTTATATATACAGTTTTAGAAAACAAAATATAAGGTTTTTTTTTTATTTCATTCTCATGATCTTGTTTTTAACAATATTTTGGACAGTCCTGGTAAGTCGATTGGAGTGAGTTCGATACTTCTTGGGCTTGTTCTTCTGGGTCGCGCTGCGTTCGTGTTCCCTCTTTCGTTCTTGTCGAATTTGACAAAGTCTTCGGATGAGAAAATCGATTGGAAGAAACAAGTAACCATTTGGTGGGCTGGTCTCATGCGTGGTGCTGTCTCAATGGCTCTTGCTTATAATCAGGTATGATTCCGTGAACTACAAGAAACAGAGATAAAACAAAAGAAATTAAAACGATGAGATTTTAACAAACTTTCACTAACCTCTTCTCTGTTACATCATAGTTTACGACTTCAGGACACACCAAGATTCTTGGAAACGCTATCATGATCACCAGCACCATCACCGTTGTTCTTTTCAGTACTGTGGTACGTTTAAACGCTTATTCGCAAACCGGTCTAGCGTTCTTATTTATATTTTTCGGATTTAATTTGTTCTTGTTCCCTAAAACATCTTTGTTGTTGCAGGTGTTTGGATTGTTAACCAAACCATTAGTCAAACACTTGCAGCCTACATCAAAAAGGACGCCCACACCGATATCTTCTTTGACTGAGCCGCTGCTCAATGGCGATGGTAGCAGCATCCAAAGCCATGAGACGCTGGTCCGTACGCAAGGCCAATCAGATTACAACATTGATCTTCCGATCAGTTTTGCAATGTTCTGGAACAAGCCGTCCCGAGCCATTCATCATTACTGGAGGAGATTCGATAACGCGGTTATGCGTCGCACATTTGGCGGGAGAGGCGTTACAAAGGCAGTTCCGGGTTCGCCAGTTGAGACTAGTGCTGGGCAGTGGGGTGAAGAAGTAGAAAACAAGGAAATATTCCCTGAACCGTGATTGGTGACATGGTTAAGATCTTTGACTTGTAGATCGCGTCATCGACCGGGTGTCATTATTTTTTGCATGTATGGGAGCATTTTTTGATGTGTTTGTTTTGTCAGGTTTGATTTTTGGCTTTTGTGGTGTGATTTTTAGAGCCGCTCCAGTTTTTATGTGGTTTCAGTTTTCAGTTTTTGGTTTAGCTCTAATTTTCCATGTATATAGGGACTGATCCATGTGTGACTTGTGAGAATAACCTCTTATAGTGATGCCACATCATTAAACTTTTTATCTTCAAATTGTGATACATTATTACTCATGTGGTTAGTTTTAAAGTCTTAACTTGATTTTTTGTGTTTATTCTTTAATCATAATAACTACCATTCATAAAATTAATAACTTCGAATAGACATTAACAACATATCTTATTATATAAAGCTGGATGCGCACGACGTGGTTGCGACACGTAGGATTTTTATAAAATTCAGGATCGCGACATGTGTCACTTTTAAGTTTATGTCCGTTAAGATCGTGACACGTGTCTTAGAAAAAAAGAGAACTTAAAAAAAAAATTCCAGATAAATGTTAATTAAAAAAAACGAAATTTAATTTAATCTATTATATCAAAAAGGAAAAAATAATATTTGCCATATCCAAACAGAAAAAGGTTTCCCATTCATCAAATTTTTTATTATATAAAGTTGGATGCTTTTAGATAAAGGAATTTAAAAAAAAAATTAATCCATTACAGTTAAAAGAAATAAAAATATATTTGTCATATCCTAATAGAGAAAGGTTTTCCATTCATCAAATTAATATTATCCAAACAAATAATAAAATCAAAATAATGTAATAAATAAAATATATTTGTATAATGTTATGTAATCAAATTAATATTATCCAAACAAATAATAAAATCAAAATAATGTAATAAATAAAATCTATTTGTATAATGAAATAAATAATGTTATGTAAACTAAATTTCATATAACTGAATAGGTTACTTGAATCCCTATAAAAGAGAGTCAAAGTTTCTCAATCATAAATTCATCAAAGCAAATTCATCAAATCCCTTTGATTCTATTTCTCCAATTTAAAAATCATGTTTTTGAAGTTTTGCGATACATATGATTTTTATAACTCACAAAATTGTGACATTTGTTTTAGAAAAAAAAATTATGAAAGTATGAAGATCGTAACATGTGTCATAGAATAAAAAAAAAATTAATATGTATAAGACTAAATAAAAATTAGAAAATCAGATAAAAATAATTAAAATGAAAAAATAATAAATCCATTAAAAGTAATAAAAAAACAGAAAACAAATAATTTAAATTCTTTTGTTACATCTATTAAGAAAAGGAAAAAAATGCATTTCGAAAAGGAAAAATATCAATATATATTATTTATAATGGTATGAGGCAAAAAAAAATTGAGAAAGAAAAAATATAAATAGAAAACTAACAAAATAATATCAAGCAATTAACTAAAATTAAAAAATTATAATGATATTCTAATTTTAAATAGTTTGATTTTCAATTTTTGTTAGGTAAAAAAAATTGAAATAAAGATTTCATCAATTAAAATCTCTTGAATGGAATAATAAAAGTTTGATTAATTAATCAGTTGATCAGATTTAGACATGTGTAAGTGTTTCTGTATTGGATAAAAATAATAGTAAAACAAATTAATTCATTTTGTCATATCATAAATTCAAAAGAAAAATCAATTATAATAAAAATGTAAAAGTATTACCAATTTATTTTATTTAAATATTTTTTATCGGGTTTTCAATATTATTTTGTTTACGTTTAAAAATGATCAAATTTTGTTTAATATTTTCCATGCTTTTATTATAAAATCTTAAAATATACCCGCGTATACGCGGGCCTTAATCTAGTATATATATATATATATATAGCACATAATTACTACAACACTTCCATGTTGATTGTCTTGCACGAAAATAGTACAAATGAATCTATAAAAGAGGATTACTCGAAAGACTGTAGTGCTTACGATGAGTTATAGGAAATTGCCACTCTGTGCTCCTCAAGTTATGGCCATTGTAACAAGATATGGTAGCTTCTGATGTGGGTTCTCAGATTTGGTTTGAGGGAATTTTTGAAGCTGCGCTTAACTCCGTATATGCCTACATACGTAATTACTCTGGCTCCCCAGACCACTGTTGTTAACATCGTTTTACTCAAAGACGTGGACAGATCTTCCTGATACGACGCAGACTGATCCTCTTAGGAAGACGCCGACTGATCCTCCTGGTACTACGCAAACTGGTGAGAGTGGAAAGATCACTGATGATGGTGTTGGTACTGCTACTGGTACTAGGGAGAGAGGGGAAGATGGAAAGACCATAAATGATAATAAGAAGAAGAGTGTGGAAAAAGGGGATATTAAGAGCAATGTCAAGGAAGAAGGCGATATTAAGAACAATGTCAAGGAAGAAGGGAATATTAAGAGCGATGTCAAGGAAGTAGATCTTGTATGCGGTAAGGAAGAAGAGAACATTAAGAGCGTGGGAGAAGAAAGGAAGAAGATCAGTGAGATCGATGGCTCTAAGGGGAATAGTGATGACAAGAATAGTGGTAGCAAGGAGGAGAGTGATGTGAATATTTGGTCTCGTGTATCCTTTCTCCTGGCCGCATCGCTTGCTATGATCATCAGAAAATTGCCACTCTCTGCTCCTCAAGGTATGGTGATTGTGAAAGGATATGCTGAGAAGTTTCTCATGTGGGTTCTGAAATTTGGTTTGAAGGAGTTTTGGAAAGTGTACATCCCTAAAGCAGCTGCACTTGGCTGGGTAATTGCTTACATGAGATATTTCTCTAACTTGAGACTTGGAAAAGATTGATGAGAGATCTTTGGTGAATTGATGGATGAAGATGGTACAAAGGAGGGTTTTGTGATCCAATCTGCTCTTACAACAAAGTGTAAGGAAATCACAAGATATTGAAGACATTAGAGTGGATCTCCAGAACTTTAAGGATAGCCTCACCACCAAGGGAATTTGGAAACATTTATTTGGTAGAAAATAGTTAAGAGATTGCTAAGAACTCTTTGTCTCGTTCACTAGAACTTATGTCTATGTGTGTTTATCTACCTTAGGATATATGTAATGCTGTAATGGTATTCCTATTTGAGTTCTCTTAATGGTGTTTTGATTAGGTAATTTCTCTTTGCTTCTTGACTGTAATGTTTTGTGGTTGGTATGAAATCACATAATTTTCCGTGGTAATCATGGCCATCGTTTAATAACTTAGATGTTTGAGAAATATGAGATACTTTGGTTCATACAAATAAGAAATTCTGAAATACGGCTGATAATTCAAAATCGGAATTATTTTTTTATATTATAGATATGACAAACTCGCAAAAATTTAATTTATTTCAGTTGATATATTGATAAGTTCGGCTTTTGGTATGATCCACGTTAGTTTCGTTGTGTTCCCACCAAGTACAAAGTGAGTGGGTATCAACTTTATAGGACATATACAACCTGTCACGCATAAAACCCTAAACACATAATGTGAAAATAAAGAAATGTCCTTTAGAGTTTAAACACACTGTTTCAACCATGTGTAAGTTTAATAATTGAGACTTTTTCCGATCCATTATTGTTATGACACATTAAGAGAAAATAAAATAAAGCGTGGGACAAGAGAAGAAGGCACCTTTGCTTTTGCCCGTGAGGAAGCATTATGCATCAAGTCACATGCGCCTCTAACCTTATGGCATTATACGAATTGTGCTATGTGCTTAAATAAATCAAGACTTTAATTCACAAAATAGAACATTGCTTCCTTTCAATTCATAATCACGTCTTAAGATTATGACCAAATCCCATAAAACAATCATTAACACTATTTAATGTATTCGTATAAACAGTAAACCGTAAAGTTTGTCAATAGGAAAAAGAACAGTAAATTGTAAAGCATAGTTCACTTTAATTTGAAACGTGGTTTCAACTTTTACAAAAGGCCCTTTAGCAAAGATAGACAAAAATAATTCAAGTGTAGAAACGAACACATGAAGTCCTCATGAACATAGAAACTCCTAATTAATTTACTAACATAAGATTATGTAATACCCCTTCGTTTATGGACTTAGATGTATTTTCCAATTTCCACTACACTACTCAAAAATATAAGAATACTAAAACGGATCAAAAATATATGTTTATTCGAGATATGAAATGATTTTTGTTTTGTTTAGGGACAAATAAACTCATGAAAACAAATGCGTACGTGGGTATATAAATGAACTAAAAAGCTGAAACGACAAGAAGCCGGAGCGAGAAGCATGAAACGGCGGCAAATACGACCGAGAGGAGAGCTCCAGGAGCTCGAGAAGACGGAGTAGCAAGAGAAGAAACCGGCGGTGAAGCGGAGGGAGCAAAGGCGGGATCAGGATCGGCCAAAACTTCGTCGTTTTCAGGATCGGGAAGGGTTGAGTTAGACGAAGGGATGGTTTGAGTGGAGGAGACGGCCGGTGATGGGAGGAGAGGAGCGATTTCCGGGGAGATCTGTTGTTCGAAAGGAGAGATGGTTGGAGAAGATTGGATTGTATTTGTCGTCGGCAAAGAGAGAGAAAGTGAGGAGAAAGATATGAAGGTGATGAGTGTTATGAATAAAGATGGAGCCATTTTTAATTACTGTAATGATGAACAAATCAAAGCTATAGCTTTTGTGTGTGTGTGTGTGGTTGATCTCTCTCTCTTTCTCTTCACTGATCAGAGTGCAATTGTTGTTGTAATGATACTGTCTCTCTATAAAGAAACTTTTAGCATTAATAGTATACAATTAAAATTTATGAAATTTGTCTCACTTTTTTGTAAAGTATTAGTATTATTTTTAATTTAAAGGGACTTGTTCGGTGGAAAAGAGAAAAATACTTTTGTTGAAAATCTTGAACAGGACGAATAGAGCGCTTAGCTAATATTTTATTATAAAAAGTGTTTTAAGCACTTTGTTAAAACTACATGTTTTGTATGCTCCAATGGGAGATTTTATGAGGAGTGCTTAGAGAGAGAAGGAGAAGGGAAACAGAGAAATGAAGAAAGAGGACGCGTAATTTTTTTCTGAATAGTCTCGTGATGACACGTGTGACGGAAGCTCCGACGACTTAAATAGACGTCGAAGCTTGGTTAAAAATGTATTTCTGATTTAAATTAAATGCAAGATTTCCTTAGCACCTCTCTAAGCTACCTGCGTTAAACATGCTCTAACATAATTATGTACATGAACGCCAATAGACTGTTTTTCCTTGGGTCCACACTAACTATTGTTGTTATAGAGTGTAGTTACTTAAAGCTTTCGTTTCTGATTTTGATTGTTGTTTAGTTTAAAGCTACCATAGTCAAGAATTATTTATTTTTCAAAAAATTACGAATCAATGGACTACAAATTTATAAAATGTGATTGCTACTTGTTTGAAAGGAAAAAACAAGAGTAATAATGAATCGAGCATATAACAGAAAGTCCGTTAAACATGCTGCTCATTATAGTTCCACTAAACACAACAATACAATAACATGTGCTAAAGTTATAGTTCATACAGAGAACATTGCTGTCAACGCCGACTTAGCTCAGTGGTAGAGCGCGTGACTTTTAATCCCGTGGCCGTGGGTTCGATCCCCACAGTCGGCGATTGAATAATTTTATCTTTTATGGAAAGAAACATTTAGACCAAAAATAAAATTTTCCGCCCTCAATGGCAGTTTCTTCAACAAATGTTCGTCTCACCTACCCTCCTCCTCATGTAGCCTTCAACCCACGACTATCACCAACCTCCGTCGCCTACCACCGTCTTCCGGCCGCCGATTTCCCTCTCCGCTTCAAGTCGAATTTCCTCTCCGCCGAATTCTCTTCCCTTCAAAACTGGACTGTTCCGGTTCCGTTAGTATTCTCCGATCGGCGGTGCCGTCGAACTATGGAGCCAAGCAATGTCTATGCGCTTGGGCCCAACAGAGATCGAAGACGATGTAGGCCCGTTTAAGCAAGGCCACATATATATATATATTTATTTCTTCATTTATTCCTCTGTTGAAGAATTCACAGACGAGCAATATCAAGCCCTAATTATCGACCATGCTGCCGAATCTGAGATCCGTCGTCGCGCAGGTACTTTGAAAACGTGATTAGGAGTTTCTTTTTTTCCCTTCTTTGTTGTAAGATGTTTCTCGCCGAAATTTATCTAATTTCTTTGTTCGATCGGGTCTCGCCGCTATTGGGCTCAGGTACATCGTAGATCGTTATCGATCAGGTCTCGCCGTAATTTCTCTTCAGATCCTAGCAGCAAAAATGGTAACGTTCTCTGATTACGCATTATATCTAAATGGTTTATGGACCTTAAACTAATAACCTCATCAATTCCCTCTAGAATTCACATTGAAATTTGTTCTTCTGTCTTTACAACTCTTTGCATCCTCCTGATAGTTTTTTTTTCTTTCTCTGACCGCAGTGTCGAAGGGAGCAGCAGAAGGGGCAATGGATATAGATTACCCGAAGGGAACAAGGGCGGGATTTGTGTGGCGGGTCCTAACTCGTGGTTTAACAATCAATCTCGGATTTTACATTGGTATGTAGAGCAAGAGAAAAAAGAGTGGTTGATTTGATTCCCTTTGTTTATTTTGTTTTTTCTCTACTAGAGTCGAATTATCAGCCTGTGAAATTTTTTTGTTTGTATAAAGGTGAAATTATATGTGGCGATGTTGTAGCGGATATTAAGAAAAGAGTGAAAGGGTAAAAACATCCAAGAATTAGCACCTGTGAATGACGGACGTTTTGTGACCATATTGGCTGCTAATTACTTTCATCTTTTTATCATCTTGTCCTTTTCAGGCAAAGAAGAACTTCGCGGAAACAGAAAAGGTGTATCTGCAGGCCCTTGCCACTCGAGGAAAGCCTTAGTTTAGTCAGTGTGGACTTTTCCTCTGGTTTCGTCCCATAGTCTATATGACATGTGAACATTCCTTCGTGTGTTATCCGTTTTTTTTTTTTTTTTTTTTGGCCCTAGCTGGTGTATTGCTGAATTGCTGAATGCAGCTGAATACTGTTTATAAGACACCAGTCACATTTGTTGAATGCAGCTGAAAATCTCACAAAAAGACAAAAATTGAAGTTTTTTCTTCAATTATTAAGATTTCCCATAAAAAGACAAAAACACAACTTTTACTTTTTGTAGATAAATTGAAAAAACTAATATCATGATTGAAATATTACTTATGATGTTAAAATTGCTAAATTTGCTTTAAAAATGCTAAAATTAATAAATTGCTAAAATTAAAACGAAAATACATAATTTATTTTTTAGGTTTAGTAAACTATAATGACACAAAATTCTTCAGTTATATATATAATTTTTTTTTATGATGTGACTATTGTTAGGTATTTACTTATTTCATAAGTATATGTTTTTTCATAATTCAACTGGGTAATTATTTTATTATTTTGTTATACAAATAATATTTTTTATATTTTTATACACTAGAGACTTTAAAAATTTGAAAACATGAATTATTTTTAAATTATAAAAAAGTTTATAATATTAAACCAAATCACCCATCTATTTAAAATTTAAATGATTTGTGAGTAAATGATTTAAGTGTAATAAAATATTGTTGTTTTGTTAAGATAAATTCTGTTTATATTTCATAAGGTTAATCATATATATATAATATTTAATACCAATATTTTTGTTTGAATTTTCAAGTTTAAAAACAAATTGTTTTTTTTTATTCCGCATTCAGCAACATTCAGCAGTTACCATTCATACTATTAACTAATCAGCCAGATTCCGCAAAAAGTTTTCATTTAATTCAGCCAGATTCCGCATTCAGCAACATTCAGCGGTTACCATTTAGACCCTTTGTAACATCTGAATTTTGTTAAATAGTATAAGGTGAATACAAATAGTTTACTAACCAAGAAGGAGAGGAAAATAACGTAAATAGTTTTGGGGAATCATACACACATTTTGCTAAAATAGCTGCAGCTTGATTTCTCTCTCGATTCTCTTGTTCCAAAGAGCATAACGGTAGCTTGCTTTTTTCCCCTTCCAGGAGATTACAAAATTCTTATTTTCTTAATAAGTAAATACAAGTCATTTTTCTTATGTAGCCTGAGTATTGATAACCGATTAGCCGGTCTTATAAGGATTTTGATTACTTTTGGTGGTCTTTTGGTGTAACGTGGTTTGTTGATAAACATATGAAAGAAAACGGTCTTTCATTATACAATGAGATACAAATGAGAAGCATTTAAAAGCACTAAATAAAATAAAAAGTAAACAATTGACGATAGTACAAGAAAGCTAAATGAATGCATTATTTTAAACCGAAGGAAGAGCAGAGAAGATAAACAAGAGAATATTAAGGCTTTGTAGTGAAAGCTTCTCTACAACAAAAAGATCAACTTTTCTACAAAACGTAAACTTTTCTGCGTGGGCAAATGACACGTAAACTGTATGTTCATTTTATCTTCTGGTCATTTTTAGGCTTTTGTATAATGGCTCTTCACTTTTTTTTTTTTTTTTTTTTTTTTTTCATTTTGCCAATCATCTCTCTACGTGGTTATGTATTCAACTCACATTTAAATAGTATTTAAATATGAAATTTTTTTATATTTTGTCTAGCAGGATAATTAGAAGCTAAAAATAATTAGTTTGGATTCTGAAAGTGAATATTGAAAGAAGCAAAAGAAGTAGAATTAATAACGTGAAAGGATCACCATCAGCAAATATGATTTCAACAAACCAATTTCATGTTTCATAGCGTTCACTTTCAGTTTCGTCCATGTATTTGTACATTATGCCAATTGTCAAATTTCAGAAAATTTATGAATAAATAATGTTTTATTTTTATGGATTAAATAACATTAGAATTTTATGATACATTATTTTAAAGAAAGCAAAACTGACCCGTGCTTAGCACGGGAGATAATACTTGTACTTTCATATATTCCTTTGTTGAAGAATTCACAGACGAGCAGTAGCGAACCCTAATTATTGACCATGCCGCCGTATCTGAGATCCGTCGTCGCGCAGGTACTTTAAAAACGTGAATAGGAGTTTCTTTTTCTTTTCTTTTGTCCCTTCTTTGTTGTGAGATATTCTCGCCGAAATTTATCTAATTTCTTTGTTCGATTGGGTGTCGCCGCTGTGGTAGGTATATCGTAAATCATTATCGATCGGGTCTCTCCGTAATTTCTCTTCATGTCCAGTCTGCAAAAATGGTAACGTTCTATGAAAGTATCGAGCGTCTATCCTCGGATCATGGATCTTTGATGTATTTGTATAAGCATTCGTGATTCTTTCTCTGATTGCAGAGGTAAAAGAAGCCGCTTCGAAAAGTTTTAATCAGCCGCTGGCTAGCTATGGCACATCGTTGGTTTTTGGATTTTCGGTTTACTGTTCTCTGCGTAATGTCACTATCTCCTTATATATTGTTTTGACATACTTTGTTTTTGTTTTCGAGAGATAGAAATAAAAAAATAAATCGTGATTGCTTCAGTTTATTTTTGTTTTCGTATACCTCAGAAATTTACAACTATTGGAGTGAGTATCCAACGATAAAGAATATTCTGGAAGAACAGAAAGTCCGGATGCAACGTTATCATCAGATGGTATGAATTGTTGGTCTTTTTATTATTATTATTATTATTATTATTATTATGCTACGGTTAGTTTATTTCTGTTTTTTTTTTCTTTTTCTTTTGATTTTACGCTTTCAGCAATCGGAGGTTGGACCTTTACCATGGGGCAGCAACAGTCTTGTCAAGAAATAAAATCAGAATTTTAAAACGAATCTTCTCGGGACAGCTGGGACTCCCGGATGGCCCAAGACGAAAATTGAGCAAAGTTTATGATCGAATCGACGTGATTTCATATCTCACACTCATGGAGAGTTTCTTACTAAGTAAATTTTCGTTTTGTTACTTAATAGATTCGTTCTAGATATTACGATGAAAGTCAAACAAAAGTTTTATACAAGCAGAGCTATGGGTGCATGTGTGCAGTTGTAACGAGCCACACCACATGTGGACTTGGGAGTATTTGCGAAACTTTTTTTCTTCATCATGGAAACTATACAAGCTTTTAACTATATATCTTAGTAAAATAGCTCACTTGAAACGGGCAACAAAGTGAGAAAAAGAAAATTAGGAGTTTTGTTACATGCAACGCTCTCTTTTACTTAACAGTAAAACAAACAAAAAAACTCTCTTTTAACCCATCAATTATTATATCAATTATACATATTTTATTTGGAACTTTACAAATATTTAAATTCTTCTTCTTATGCTTTAACACTCAATTATTGCACCACCATCATAATTGATTTGTCTTTGAAATCCTAATTTCAAATTTATTTGATCAGATTTAATTAAGAATGTGATAATTATATAATTAGGCATGCTTGGTTTGAATAAATGAAATTACTGAACAATTCCACTATAAGAGAAATCAAATTTTATTTTAGCTCACTTCAAATGCTCATCATCCACTAAGAATAAAAAGAAGTGAATTTCTTAAAATCCAGGAGGAGAGAGTTTCTGTTTCATTTCATGTTATGATAGTAATTATTAATTAATGCCTCGATGAAGTAAAAAATAAAAACGTGGAATAAACAAGTAACCAGCGTCTAGTAAAAATTAGAAGTGCTCAAAAGATACCAACTCTCAACGCCGACTTAGCTCAGTGGTAGAGCGCGTGACTTTTAATCCCGTGGCCGTGGGTTCGATCCCCACAGTCGGCGATCTTTACTCTTTTTTTTATGGAATTAACATTTAGACCAAAAATATTTGTTTGCGCCTAATTCCACCACACTCGAAAGCCACCAACCATTTTCAGCGTATACAAATGTGAAAGATACCAAAAATTAGAATCTGAGATTGCAAAAGTGTGTGAAAAAAGCCGCAAGGGTCGTTGTTGTTTGAGGCCTCTCAATGGCAAAATTTTCTTCAACAAATGTTCGTCTCACCTACCCTCCTCCTCATGTAGCCTCCAACCCACGACTATCACCAACCTCCGTCGCCTACCACCGTCTTCCGGCCGCCGATTTCCATATCCGCTTCAAGTCGAATTTCCTCTCCGCCGAATTCTCTTCCCTTCAAAACTGGACTGTCCCGGTTCCGTTAGTATTCTCCGATCGGCGGTGCCGTCGAACTATGGAGCCAAGCAATGTCTACGTTAGTCAATCTCCTCGATCGATGTTCAGTATTTTAGTTCAGTTCTGAGTCGTAGCTAATGAATTGTGGTGTTTATATCATGTTTCGCTACCTCAGGTGGCTTCAAATTCCACGGAAATGGAGATCGGAAGTCAGGAAATTGTGAAGAATCCGAGCTTGATCTGTGCTCCAGTGATGGCGGATTCAATTGAAAAGATGGTGATTGAAACGTGCAAAGCCCAGGAATTGGGTGCAGACTTGGTTGAAATACGATTAGATATGCTGAAGGATTTCAACCCTCTTGAAGATCTGAAAATCATTATTAAGAAATCTCCTCTTCCCACTCTATTCACCTACAGGTTTGTGTGTGTTGAAACTTGAGACTTTTTTAATTTTTGATTTGGAACTTCTTCTTGTTAGGAGCTAGATCTTGTGCTGCAGTATGAGTAATGTTACTGGTTGTGTGTTGACTGTTCTCTATAGGCCAAAATGGGAAGGTGGTCAATATGAAGGTGATGAAAATGAGCGGCTGGATGTGCTCCGTTTGGCCATGGAACTGGGAGCTGATTATATTGATGTTGAACTTCAGGTTACCATCGTAAACTCTCAGGTCAACTTCTTGATTTGTTTTGATGCTGATTAGTTTCTCCTTCTTGATATTTGTGTGTTAAAGGTTGCAAGTGAGTTCATCAAATCGATTGACGGAAAGAAGCCTGAAAACTTTAGAGTCATTGTTTCATCGCACAATTATCAGAGTACCCCCTCCGTTGAGGATCTCAGTGACCTTGCTCTAAGAATACAACAGGTTGGAGCCGACATAGTGAAGATTGCTACTACTGCTGTGGACATCACAGATGTTGCTCGCATGTTCCATATAACCTCAAATGCTCAAGTAAGTAAAATTAAGCGTTTGCTGATCTCTGAATGTGATTCTCTCTGCTGTCACCGTCTGAACTTTTCACTTACATTTTAGGTTCCCACAATTGGACTTGTTATGGGCGAGAGAGGTCTAATGTCTCGGATTCTTTGTTCGAAATTTGGTGGTTATTTGACTTTTGGCACCTTAGAATCTGGAAAAGTTTCTGCGCCTGGTCAACCGACGATCAAGGACCTGTTGGATCTTTACAACTTTAGAAGAATTGGTCCTGACACAAAGGTGTATGGAATTATTGGCAAGCCTGTTAGTCACAGCAAATCGCCTATCGTTCACAACCAAGCTTTCAAATCAGCTGGTTTTAATGGCGTTTATGTCCACTTGTTAGTTGATAATCTTGCAAGCTTTCTCCAAACATACTCATCCTCTGATTTCGCTGGGTTCAGGTAAGCTATCATGGTGAAAAATAAGTCTATTTCTAGAGTATATAATTCCGAAGTAATGAACAGAATCGTCCACATCTTGCTTTTATGTTTTAATAAGAAGTTTTGGGTTAATGATGTGGAAATCTGTTTTACCTGCAGCTGTACAATTCCTCACAAAGAAGCTGCATTGAAATGTTGTGATGAAGTTGATCCGTTGGCAAAGGTATGATTTGCAAATAAACACCAGAGATTTGTACGGTTTATAATAAACCGCCATCCTTCTTCATCCTGAATGCTTGATTTATTATCTTGTACAGTCTATAGGAGCTGTGAACACTATACTAAGGAGACAAAGCGACGGAAAGTTGTTAGGTTACAATACAGATTGTATTGGTTCCATCTCTGCTATTGAGGATGGCCTACGAAGTAAGTTCTGTGCTGACAGCATTCATCCGTTGTTGGTCCTTTTGGAGAAGTTTCGGTTTTACTCATGGAGCATTTTCCTTTGCTTTTTTCTTTCAGGATCAAGTGATCCAAGCAGTGCACCTTCTTCTTCGTCTCCATTGGCCGGTAAAACAGTGGTGGTTATTGGTGCTGGTGGAGCAGGCAAGGCACTTGCTTTTGGTGCAAAAGAAAAAGGGGCCAAAGTTGTAATTGCTAATCGAACCTACGGTAATATACATAGTCCTAAATTGATACTCCATGCTTGGCCTTGACAATACTCTTCATCTCTTTCTGGTTTGTAGTAACTGATGATATGATCTTTTTTTGGTTCCTGATGTTTGTGGTTTTTGAAGAACGAGCTCTAGAACTCGCGGATGCCATTGGAGGCAAAGCGATATCTCTCACGGATTTAGATAACTTTCACCCAGAAGATGGCATGGTTTTGGCCAACAGCACTTCTATGGGCATGCAACCAAATGTTGACGAGACTCCCATTTCCAAGGTAAGCTCTCCCTGTAACAACTCTTTCCTTTTGCCTTCTATCATTAACCAAGGAGCCTGCAAAATCTCTTGAAGATCTTTAATCTATAGCTTTTTTTTTTCTTTTTCTCCAGCATGCATTGAAGCGCTACGCACTAGTGTTTGATGCGGTTTATACTCCGAGAATCACCCGACTGTTACGGGAAGCAGAAGAATGCGGAGCCGTAACTGTGTCGGGCTCAGAGATGTTTGTCAGGCAGGCTTATGAGCAGTTTGAGATTTTCACCGGTTTGCCTGGTAAGTGACTCATACAGAACAAAACCCATGTCTCAGCTTCATAAAACCTTAACAAAATAAAAAAAGAAGCTGACTTTGTGTTGTATTGTTGTGTAGCTCCAAAGGAACTCTATTGGCAAATCATGTCAAAGTACTGAGACATCGCTCAAGTGTGTGTATCTTCTTCTACGTCTTCCATGGAAACTCGCTTCAATAAAATTTAGAAATGCCATTTGTATTATCTGAGAATGTCCTTTTTTTAAGAGCCATAGTTGATTCTGTGTGTGTAATTTATATGTATAAGCTACAAAGCTTGTTGAGTTGATGAAAATCTAGATTTGCATGTGCGATATCTCGGTTACTGTTTGTGAAATCCAGATGTACAACTCTGTTTTCTATTGTGCTAATGACAAAATAAGTAAACTTTTAAGGATACACTCTAAACAGTTGAAAATTTATCAATCATAACTCCAATTTAACTCCGTTTTCATACCTATCGCTATAGAGTAAATTCACACGTATTAAAACAGTTGATACTTGATAACCATTTCAAATTACTCTATTTGATTATAATTGTGAATTTTTTTTGATAATATTGTATTCATAACTTACTTGTGTTACTTGTGTAACTGTAAAAGATGGTGGAGTTACTTGTGTTAGTAATGTCATTTTTGTTTCTTAATTAGGCGTAATGTGGTAATGTGTATTTTGACCATTTTCCCAATTTCATGTACATCGGATTTCGATATTTCCTATCGCACGAAATGTTTCGCGCCAAAACAATTTGGCAAATGACGATTTTCCCACGCGAAATGGGTTAAAAATTAGATTAAAATCTCAGAAAGAAGTTGAGAGCCTTTTTATCTTCCGCCACATCGCAAATTCCCTACGCCTTTCTCGTCTCGTCTCGTCTCCAAAGCAAAGTAAGCTTCCTTCGATCCTCACTTTGATTTTATGTTTCCTTTGATCTTCTGCGTAATTTTGATTCTGAATCGCATCGTCTAAATCTGCTGCTCATCATAATTAGCGTTTATTGCTCTCTGACCACTCATATGGGCTTTTGGTTCTTAGTTCCTCTTGCAATTCCAATTTTGAGGTTTTCCCAGATTTTTTTTTGTAATTTATTTCTGTCTTTGGCTTGAAACTTGAAAGCTTTTCATTTCCGCTTGCAATCGATAAACAAAAAACCTTTTGAAAACCTGCATGTAAATTTCTGATTCTAAGTGAAAGTGAAGGGGTCGATGTGCAATTAATTTAAAATATCATTTTTAGAAATAACCACAAAATTTATCAAATTTACCAGAAAAACAAGCGTTGGATCGCTTTTAGTTAGTTTTACGTCGTCATAGACAAGCGTGAACTTACCGGAGACCTTCCTCTCCGCCGTTCGGCTACTTTCCTCCGGTGAGCTCTTGAAATTTCTCCAACACTTCACTAAGTTAACTCCAATCAGATCGTATATGTACAGTTTTTTTTAAATCCTTCCTCTGTTTTTTTTTTTTTTTTTTTTTTTTTGGTTTTCCATGTTAAGTCCTTCCTCTGTTTTGTTCGTTCCATGAGGAGGATTTTAAAAAATTGTATCGGAGAAATTCGCCGTCGGCACTGTCTCAAGCTGTTCGAATTTCCTTTTTCCGTGTAACCTAGTGAACAATTTCGTTGGGCTTCTTAATTTCTAAGTTCAGTTCTCCTTTCCGTTAATCAATTCTAACTAAAAATGGGTATTGTAGAAAACGTACACACATGGCTTAGGGTTTTTGCTTTTCGAAATTCCCAATTGTGATTTATATTTTTCTCTCTTGTTCTCAATCCTCAAATGTCACAAAAGGAACGTTTTGTTCTTTCTGATTTACGCTATGTTTAGGGTTCAAATTTCACCTGGGTACATGAATTGGTTCAAATTTGTGCATCCAGGTTTTGACTTGTTTAGAATTTTGTAGCACCATGCATCTAACAATCACAAGCTTTATCAATCTGTTGCAGGACCCCCAAGCAGAGCTGGAATTGGACAAGTTGGTGATTTTATATATTCATTTCTTGGGTTGTGGGAGCTCTGTGATACTTGTGGTGGGTTGATAAAATGAATATGAACAGAGATGAGGCTCTTAGAGCCAAAGATATAGCAGAGAATTTGATGAAGAAGCCGGATTTCACCGCTGCTCGTACCTTCGCTATGAAGGCTCACCGTATGGATCCCAGCTTGGAGAACATATCTCATATGCTGATGGTGTGTGACGTCCACTGTGCCGCAACGGAGAAGGTGTTTGGGAATGAGATGGATTGGTATGGGATACTTCAGGTTGAGCTGAATGCTAATGATATCATCATCAAGAAACAGTACAAGAGGCTTGCGCTTCTTCTCCACCCTGACAAAAACAAGCTTCCTGGTGCTGAGGCTGCTTTTAAGCTGATTGGGGAAGCGCAGAGGATACTTCTGGACAAGGAGAAGAGAACTATGCATGACATGAAACGCAAATCTTGGAGAAGGCCTGCACCTGTGCCATCATATAGAGGGCCGAGTTATCACACGCAGCAGCCTGGCGTTAATATGAGGAATGTCTACAACGAGAGACCCAAGCAGCAAGCTCAAGCCCAACCAGGTGGTTTCGGTAACCGTCCAACCTTTTGGACCGCTTGTCCTTCCTGCAAGACAAGTTATCAATATTGTAGGGAACATATGAAGGCAGAATTTATATGTCAGGCTTGCAAAAAACGGTTTACTGCTTCGGAAACTCCTTTCCAGAGTGTACCACTGGCTAAAGACTCACGTCGGCCTTCTTCTTACGTCCCACAACAAGCCAAGGTTCCAAGCCAAAAGGAGAAGCCTCACAAGCGTCAAGATAGTCCTGCCACTGATTCCTCTGGCAAGGCGAGTTTCCCTATGTCGGATTCTACTGCGGGAAACGACAATAGAAAAAGGAAGAGGAAGAATATGGTTGAAAGCTCTGACAGTGATAGTAGCAGCGAGTCGGAAGATGATAATATGGCAGGACAAGATTTGGGGTCCAACGGAGGACAGCAGCGTCGGAGGTCAGTCCGTGGCAAGCGGGAGGTTTCCTATAAAGAGAATTTGAGCGACGACGACGATGTAGTCTTAGTCGATGACAATGGGGAAGGGTCTCAGAAAAATACAGATCCTGAAAGTGAAGAAGAGACAGAAGACGAAAAGCAGACACATAAGGATCATCACTCTACTGAAACCTTGCCAAATGGCGTAAAGCCGGAGGAGAAGATAAAAGAAGACCAGGTGGAAACCTCTGCTGGTGCAAGTGATCCAGAGGAAGATATAAGTCCAGGGAGTGAAGCAAAACCAAATATTATCAGTTGTGATGATCCTGAGTTCAGTAACTTCGATAAGCAGAGGGAAGAGAGCTGTTTTAAAGTTAACCAGATCTGGGCTTTATATGATGAAGGAGAAGGAATGCCTAGGTTTTATGCTCTCATAAAGAAAGTGAGAACTCCAAATTTCTTGATTAAGTACGTATGGCTAGAGGCAGAAGAAGATGAAAAACATAATTTGACCGTCTCTGTTGGTAAGTTCGAACTTGGGGAAGAGCAGGAGACAGATGGGCGTGATTGTTTCTCTCATTTGGTCCACAGCAAAGCAAGAAGCGGAGGCAAGCACTTTAAGGTATTCCCAAGGAAAGGAGAGACTTGGGCTCTTTACAAGAACTGGAACATGGACTCGGAATCTCCTCGTGAGTACGATTTTGTTGAGATACTCTCTGAGGGAGCCAAGATATCAGTTGGGTTCTTGTCTAAAGTGGAAGGGTTTTCATTTGTTTTCCGTCCTATGCCAAATGATGAATCAGACACTCTTGAGATTCCACCTCACGAGTTCTATAGATTCTCACATTGCATTCCGTCATTCAGATTGAAGGGAACAGAAGGGAGAGGCGTAATTGAAGGTTGGTATGAGCTTGATCCAGCTGCTTTACCAGTCCCTGGCTCTCAAAATATATCAGGAGAAGAAGAAGAAGAAGAAGCTCAAGACCAAGACCATCAATCTCCAGCATCATCAGGATCTGCCTCTTGATACTCTCTCAATCAGAGGTTGTGTTGCGCCTTAAATTGCTCAAGTCATGACTCGTGGAGGTGGTTTGTTTTGTTCAGGCGTACAGGTTTTACTGACAAAGAGAAACCGGAGATTCTCAGAGGCTTTTGTTGTCTTGTGACATGCTCGAGTCATGATTCTGGTGGGTGATTTTTTTTTTCTCTTTTGACTAGCCATTACGTTTTCTATTTTTTTTTTTTTTTTTTTTTTTGTTCACTCAGACTTGGAACTTAACCATATGCTATAAACTCAAGTAAGAAACTGTGGAATCAAGTAGTTTGTGAAAACCCTTTTTGGCCATTATATACTCTATGCTCTCACTTAAAATGGCATCAGTTTTCAACTATTGACTAGGAAGATGAAAGGTGACCGAACCATGTTATGCAAGATTATGAATTGACATTCTAGATTCAAACATCATGTGGGCATTTGGTCTAGTGGTATGATTCTCGCTTTGGGTGCGAGAGGTCCCGAGTTCGATTCTCGGAATGCCCCCATTTTTTAATATCTTTCATTTTCTTCTCCTAACAGTCGCACACCTAACGAGGAAAGAAGTCAATATGATGAACAACTAAGTTTTGTATTTTCAGAATCGGCACGAAGTTGGAACACCGTACAAGAAAACAGCAAGGCGTTGTAAAAACTAGCACATTTATTCAGAAAAGAATAAACAAGATCACATACACATACATACAACTCTTTTCACCTGATACACAAATTTCTCTTTCACAAATTATCATCGTCCCCAAAGGGAAACCAAAAAGTTACTCCAGTAACATATTCGAAGAGTGGGTATATTTACACTTTACTGGATCATCAGATGAACAACTTCTTCTTCTTCTTCAAACTCAAGGAAGAACAGAGAAACCAAGGAAAAGAGATTTTCAAACTGGACTTGGGTTTTCTGCAATGCGTACACGCCAAGTGAAGTAATGAAGATACAACGAGTTCAGGCACACGGCTATCCCAAAACCAAGAATCCCTGCAAAAAGTATTGCATAGATCGGCGATAGTTTAACCTGAAACAGAGAGATTGGGAAAGAAAATGTGTCAAGACTTTCCATTTATCACTAATCAGATGCGGAATAACCGGTTAAGCGAGAGTATATTTGCTTACTGAAGCATATAGTATATGAACCAACATGCCAACAAGCGCAAACTCAAGTGCTGCGTATGTCCATATGTATTCTCTGATAGCTGCAGAGTCAGATTACAGCAACAAAGTTTAAAAATTTTCTCAGCGAAAGAAAGGAGAGAGAGAGTCTTTGGAGGTCTCTTGTGTTTACCGAGGACAATGGCAAAAATGGATGCTAAGAGGCCCAACGTTAATGAAAATGGCGCTGCGATGTAGACAGCTTTCTTGTTCAAGTCCCGAATCTACAAAAGAAACCTAGTCAATATCTTTTGTAACCAAAGTATCAGCAAAAAAACAGGTAATTTGTGTTCGGTGCCTACCAGTAATTGCTCGAGGAAGAAGAAGTAACAGACTGTGCTAATTAGAACTAGCACCACAAACTCTTGCCAAGCACTGCATCAAATCCATTTCAGTTCTCAGCTGTGTTTATTCTCAAGATTGGTGACAACAAATCATCTTTATTTTCAAGTTACCTAGCGGTTTGTGACTGCATATTCTGTTGATTGCGATCACGCCTAGTATTTGGTGGAGTAGTTGTGGGCACACGAAGCAATATAACTGGTAAGTTTCGGACCTCTTGTCTGCAGACGTCACAGCTTCTTGTTCCCTTTGTGCTAAACCACTTAATGGCACACGTCTCATGAACAAGCCTGAGATCCCCTTTGCAGCTGCACTCCATTTTCAGTGTGTTTCCTTCTTCGCACACGTCCAGACAGATCCGGCACACTGCCTCTTCTTCCGGAATTTCTTCATCGGTTTCTTCAGGAGGAACAGGAGACACTTGATCTGCCAAAGATGGACGAACCACCAAACACGAGAAAGAGAGGAAACAAGGATCATAATCAGTATGCTACAAATATATGAATAAGCTCTTAATTTCTTTCAGTTCTCAATTGTTTTTGGTTGAATCAACTTGATATGTTTTACACCATAAACACTGCACATGAATCAATTTATGCCTCCTATTATAATGCAGACCTCAAGTTTTCTCACAAAAAGCCAACCAATAAACAAAAAAAAAATAACCATCCAAGAAAGTTAACATACAATGCTTCAGTGACTGCCTAAACTCAACATTCGGATGATAACTTTGGAGAAAATATGATGTTAACATCTGTTAGAAGCATGTACCTGCACTTGTTACAGAGGAAACACGGGCTTTCTGGTTGTCAAAAGAAATGGATCGCACAATCACTTTGTTTCTTCCGGGCATGGACAAGGACCTTGGAACTGCCGGATAGCTATAATCTTTCTGCAACAAAATCCAATCTTTATTTATGTCTCTTTTCTTTCAGCTATATCTTGGGCAAGAACAGAAGTTTTCTTGAGTAAATTGAACTTTTTACCACAGTGTAAATTGTAAGATAGCAATAACTCACATTAGGCGGTTCAACGGGCACACCAACTGAGACTTGTGCAGATACCACAGGAGACAGTTTTGCGGCATGTCTAGATGGAAGCGACAAACATCTTTTCCAATAATGCGAAGTTGTTGAACCGGGAGTATTGCTCTTCTTAGCAGTTTCCATGAGTCCTGGAGAGAGTAGAGAGCTTCTCTCGCTTTCAGGTTGAGCTACAACTTTCTTTTTCAGGCTTAAATTCCGCAGGATCCCTCTCGGTGACGATGTGCTGCCACTTTTGAATGAGCCAGTGGACATCAGTGAACTCTTTGGGTTACGGCAACCAACAAATGGAATTGGCCTTGGAGGTATTTGTATTGAAAGATCCAAGTGGGTTCCGCTTGGCACATCTTCAGTAGATTTTTCTTTTACCTGCTTATCACCCTATATGTATAACACATGCCAAAGGTTAGGCCTTTCTACATGTTAAAAAATAGAAACATAAGCTTGCTTTCGTCAATTGGTTCTTCTTTAAAAGATAGTAACTTTGCTAATTTTTATGTATAAAACAATCTCAAGTGGCTTAGTTTTAATCTCTTTATAATATTATATCAGAAGGAGGTTCTATGGCTACTAAGTGAATCAGATTGATACAAATCGAGATTCCAGACGAACAGAGGAAGAGAAAAAGGATCAAAGATCCCAAAGATAACGTCTTTCGATATAAACCCTAGACATTTACAGGAAATTTCATGGATATAATCCAACCAAAGCAATCAGCTACAAAATCAAACTACAAACAAATGAAAATCTAGCTACGTTTTCTAGAGATTGTTCAAATGGAGACGTTAAATTTAGAGAGATGAGGAAAAGATTTCAGATTTACCTTAGAATTATCTACAAAGCCAGAATGAATAAAGCGAGTTAGGTTTTAAAAGAAGAGATTTTTGGGAATGTTTACCTGAGAAGAAGAATGAGGAGAAGAAGAGGAAGAGGAAGAAGAAGAATCCCCCACGATTGTAGCGATTTCGGGTTGTTGAGCTGCCGAATCTTGCAATTGCATCATCATCGAACCAAATTAAACCGATAATCAAAACTACTATATTATCAATATGAAATGAAATGAAATCAGGCCGATCCTCGACAAATATTCTGAGAGAGAGAGAGAGAAAGAGAGTGAAGCGAACTTCTATTTGATGAAATAATTGTGTTTTCTTTATTCGTTGAATTTGAGCTGAATACATTATACGAAAAGTCTTTTACTTTTAAAATTTTATATTCACTTAATTAATACGTTCCACGGACATCATTTATTACTGTACGTTAATCTCCCATAATCTAAATTAGACATCGACAAAAACAGAGAATCATAGTCTTGTCATTTGATTTCGAATTTTCGACGAAAGATGACGAGGAAAATTCAACGTTATTAGTACAAGCCTCATGTTCTTGTCGATTATGTCGTTTTCTAGGATAAAATCATTCTCCTTCTTTCTTACGCATTGGAGATTTTTCTAACTATGTGATTCTGGAAATTAAGTATTAGATTCATTTTCTATGAAAAAAGTTGCTTTTGAAAGTAAGAAGGAAAGCTACATTTTAAATAAAAATATCATCTACAAAATTTGGTTGATGAACTTTATAAGTGGCTTTTATATATTACTTATACTTACTTTTTTGTATATACTATACTTGCATTGCATATATACAATACCAAAATCACAGGTCACGATGATCTTTAACAACTCGCGTCATAATTTCTTGTATAAACTACTTTATCTCCCAAGTTATATACCACATGCTGCAATTATACACTCCACAGAAATTAACACAAGAGATATAGCTAGATGGGTTGTGTTACACATTGGCAACATGAGGTTATATGACTGCATTTTGAGCTCAAATGATTAGCGTATAATTGCAGCATGTGGCTTATAACTTGTGTAGACTAATGGTTTAAACATTGGCAATTAAAGACGAAGTACATTAAAACATTTGTTACCAAAAACTTTGCACGCCCTTTCAAATCTTTCAAATAAATTTGAACTTCTTGGGTAATCGGATTTTTAGTTTTGTAATTGTGTAGCATTAACCAGACAACTGTAGTAGAACAAGATCTCGAAATCAAACCTAGTGTTCTACGTATTAAATTTAATACCAAAAAATGATCTACTTTTGTTTTCCATGAAAATCTGGAATAGTCGTTGTTTAAGCGCTAAATTAAATGATTCATTATTATTTTGATATAACTATGTATATTTGTAGATTAGTTATCTACATATATTTGCAGAAAGTTATATGATATAAGTTATATTCAGTATTAAACATTTAGTTACATCGCCAAACCTTAGTGTTTGGTTTTGCTCATTTTACACTCAAAATTTATGTGAGGCAAGTAAATTAGGTCAACGAAACATTGGCTATTTTGGTATAATTATTATTGTATGGTCAAAGGTGTAGGAGGGAACATTGTGCCATACTCCTATCACACTATCGAATACCAAACAAAAGGAAAGTAGATACTGGTCCAAATTGTCATATGCTTAAAACATCATTATACAACTACCAACCCAAGAGAAGTGTTCATCTACTGATCTAAAACAAATCTCAAATAGAATTGGTAATTCGATCTGACTTCCAAGCTTCACATAAATATAGTTGGCCGATTATGATCAAAGGCCGGTTATGGATAAACAGAGCCAATTTGTTACTTCCCTTTATCTGCCTAACTGTTAGGGATGGTTTAAGTATTAAATTGAAGAAAGGCTTTTGTTTGGTATTAGGCTCTTTGTGGTAAATTGAAGAAAGGCTTTTGTTTGGTATTTTATTAGGCAGCCACAAGAGTGAAAGAAATATGCAGACAAGAGTCACAAGACAAAGCAAGCTTCTAAGTTAGCTCGTCAGGTAAGGATCTATCCTCTCGTACTTTTGATCAGTTTTAAGTTTCTGTCATTATTGGATAAACTTGAAAGCAATACAACACATGAGTGAGTTGGATTCGATTACACACTCACAATCCTATTCCTACACACGGTTTTGGAATAACTCTAAACTGAAAATTTATTCGACTGATCAAAAGTAACTTTGCATTGTGCTCTGTTAAGGGTTTGATACATAACAGGCAAAAGCAAGCCTTTTTCTTCTTCTTCTTCTTCTTCACTTCATTTTCTGCTCTGTGAAGAGGACATGGCGATTAACACGAGGGTCGTATTTGCGGAACTCAAGCTTCTCAAGAAGTCCCTTGCTACTCTTCCTCTTGACATAGAAGAATCCAGTTCCAGCTGCTGAAACTAGACGTATGAACATGAACGTCTTCTTCCTCTTGTCACCCATCTTTTCTCACTTCAAAACACACACAACCAAGTTCACAATTTTAAATTGATGAAACAGAGAGAACGAAATGTATAAAGTTCTGATTTTTCTTTCTGCTGCTATAATTTGAAAATGCTCAAAACTTAGAAATGAAAATATTTGCCTGAATTATACGAGACAAAAGCTCTTTTTTTGCAATCTGCGAGGCAGGAGATTAGGTTTTAAAAAGCGGGAAAACAGATCTTATACCTAGAACTTATGGATCTCCGGCACAGAAATCTCAGCTCAAGTACAAATTTAAAACAGAGCTAACACGATAAACTCTACAAGAATCCTTCCAAAGAGATGTAGTTATATAGCAGCAGATTCGAGATGTGTCGAAAATGAAAGCGGCTAGTATGATCAGCGTACCTTGAAAATCGAAAGCGACGGAGTCCGGCGAAGGGGAGACTGATCGGTGAAACACTGGATAACAAAACCCCGACGGACGATGATAAACCTAGGACGAATATTTGGGTTTTGAGAATGGGCTTTTCAATTGAGCCCAACATAAGCCCATAAAAGCGGGAACAAAACCCGACACGCGGCGTTTATTGGCAAGAGATCATCGCTTTTAGTTGAGAAAATGTGAGAGATTATGTTAGTTGTTTAAGGTGAGAGATCAACAACCCAATTTTTACATAATTTGTCTGTAAAATCAGTTTGGAGCTAACATGGGAAGCATAACGATTAAACAAACATTTCGATTAATAAAGCCAATGAAGGTTAAGTGTTTAGCTAAGGCAATATATTGCCAGAGTGATACATTAAGCTTCTTCAGTAGTAAAAAGTAACATATTCGTACGCTTAATTGGTCTGATTAAAAATCTAAGACAAACTTAATATATATAGGTTTCTCCCCTCCTCGGATTCCTTGTTCATCACACAACTGCAAAATCAATCTGCAATTCAGAAAACAAAAATAAGAGAATCACTACCATAATAATAACGTAATTCCTATGTAATCTAAGATGAGAAACATGCATTCTCTACAATATCTTATAATATAAAATAACGTACCTTATGGTTTTGGACTTGGCCTGCAAAGGATGGCATGAGCTGTCTTTTGCCAAACCTTCCTCTCAGTCTTAGCTTGATACTCCACAAGCTCTTCGCCCGGAAACTCTCTAGCCATGAAAGTGATGTATGACTTGTATCCATCCACCCTAGTTAAGTTAGCCCTCACAATGTGTCCAAATGTGACATTGGTTCCCTGCATGCACAAAATAAAAAAAAAAAAAAAAAAACTGTTGAATTGCCAAGTGGGAATAAAATAATGCCTAAGATGATTTTAACTTGAAAAAACCTTGACTTCGTTGTATTTTCTGAGAGCCAAATCAACCATCTTTTCCATGTATTCGCGACCTGTAAGCTCAGTGAATAACAGCTCTTCATCAAGGTTGACAGGAGAAAAGTAGACCGATTCCCCAGAGTACCTTTCTCCATCCACATTGAAACCCTAATCAAGCACAATCATATACAGTATATATAAGGGATTCCAACTTTTAAAACGAACCTTCATGTTTCAAGCAGTAAAATAAACAATTTCACAACTTTAAAAAAGTACCTTGCTCTTGTGCATCTTAGGTCTATATAGACGCATTCTGTTCTCTTCCTCAGCGTGGGGAGCCTGCTGCCTCGGGGATTTGTAATCGGGTTGCTCGTCTAAACTATCAACGTCCCAATCTTGGCCAGTTCCTCGACTGGACACATCACTATCCTCATCACTAGAAGTATCCGCGTACACAAACTCATCATCTGAAACAGGAACAGATCAGAAACATGAATAAGTGGCAAACTAGTACTACTTTCTACATGAGTCTACAATATACTAGTTGTAATCTAAGGACAAAACTTGTCCAAAATCACAAAACAAGTCTGACGCAAGCAAGTCCACCTAGCACATAATTATTTGAAGGAAAAAGAAACCTGGGAACCAACTCATAGCAATGAAATGAAACGAAACGATGCTTAATGAATATTCACACCAATATGCCTGGGGTTTAGAGTAAATAAAGTACCTCTGGGTTTTGGAGCTGGCCTACAAAAGATGACGTGAGTGTTTTTTTGCCAAATTCTCTGCTCTGTTTTGGCTTGATACTCCACAGGCTGTCCATTGGGAGACTCTCTAGCCATAAAGGTAATGTAGCATTTGAGCCCAGACACAAAAGCAGTGATAGTCCTCACGATATGCTCACATGACACACTAGTTCCCTACCAAACAAAGAATACTTGCTCGATCAAAACTAGGAAAACTGAAAGAAGAAGAAGATAAAAAAGATGACCAACCTTGATTCTGTTGTATCTTTCGAGAGACAGATCAACCATGCTTTGCATGTACTCCCGGCCAGTAAGTCCAGTAGTCATAAACGGTTTATCGAGATCAATGGGACCGAGTGGTCGGTAAATCACACTCCCCGGGTAGTTTTCTCTATCAACCTCGAAACCCTGAACACAGCAATTTTTTTTTATCAAATTCTCACGAAACCTAAAAATGAAAATACGCAATACCTTGCTCCGGTACATCTGAGACCTATATCGATGCATCTTTTGACCTATCTCATCGTTGGGATCCAGATTCTTTTTGGGTCTGTAATCGGATCCATCATCGAAGCTATCAACATCCCATTCTTGGCCCTCTTCGTGGCTGGACGCGTCGCTTTCCTCCCCACCTTGTTCTTCTACGACACCACCATCTTCGATATCATCAGAAGAATTATCCGCCTTGCGCTTCCTCCTAGTCGTAGATCGTGGCTCTCCACAGAGCTCCATGGGATTTCGTTATCAAGTTTTCTTCCGCGTTAACGATTCATGAAACATAATCCGTGTTTGAGTAAACCCTATAGCTTTTTAAAGTAACACGGCAAGAAAGAAACAACACATTATATTATATGTAACATTTTCAGAACTTATTTTAATGAAAATACTCACAACACTTCTTGTGATGTATTTATCTAGAATATTCATCAGGTACATGCATGCTCAGAGTCAGAGGTACATGTATTTACATTTGTTGCAAAAAATTCATTTCTACTCGGTATATAATCAAACTATACACAAATATTTGTTGTTTTTGGGTCACGATGTTCTGAACCATCCCATAATCATAATTCATACACAGCGAAACAGAGTAAAAATTATCAATTTTATTGGAAAATTCAAAAATGGTTCGTAGTAACAAAAGTTTATTGCGTATCGATCTTCATAAGATAATAAACATATGATGCATGCTTTCGATCACATTAACATAACGTACCGAAGGAAATATTTAACATACTGTATGTTAGTTAGTTAGGTAAGGAAATATTTATCATAGTTATAGTGAAAATATGTTGTGTTTGTATAGATTTTAAATGTGTCTGGCAAAACCTTTCAATCATTATGTTCACGGTTGACATATTAATGTTATTTGCAATTGCACGTATATATAAATATAATACACATTAAACCATAAGGCTGACCCACTTATCACTGTAATTAAACTACAATGACCCACTTTTTGTATTTCTTTTGTTTTGTTTTTCTTGTCATCTGTTTCATTGCAACTAATACGAAAAAACTATTACCACACTTATCATTGATTACGTATTGAACAACAGTGACCCAAACTTTTTGTATATTTTTTTTTTTGTCATCTGGTTTGTTTGCAACTAATACGAAACTATTACCCTAATTTTTGTTTGTATTATTCTTGTTCTTTTTATCAACCCACATTTTCTTATTTACTTTTCCCACTTCAGTGAATCACTTCTTATATGACGTGCTATCACCATATGTACATTGATAGAAGCGGTAACAAAATCATAAACACAAATTAATAATTTTTTTTCACTCAAACATACCAATTTCATTTAAGAATTTTTTTTTTCTTCTATATGTTAACAAAAAAATATGTAGTCATTTGGATAGTAAATTAAATATTTTTATGTGCACAAAATACACACGACTATGAATAGGTAAGTAAATCAATATTAGAGGGTATAAAAATACCAAAGAAATAAAATAAGTATCGGTATGTAATGAATTCCAAAGTTATAAAGATCAAAATAATGAGTAAGAAATCACATTGTATATGAAGTTGCTTAAGCCAACTCTATATATAACATCGTCAATATTGTTTTTCCAACCTACAATCTAAAATCTTGTAAAGAAATTATTAAATCATAGAGATTTAAGCTTTTGATTTTAACCATTGCTTTACAAGATCCTATAATATGGGCTGAAGGAACAATAATGATAATGACAAACAAGATTCTAGATTAATAAACAATTTGAAACATGTTTTCAGAGATCCGATTTCCATCCTCCGCATATCTTCTCTAACCATTTTGATCAGATGGTTGAAGGAAATTTGTATGAAGTTTTCAATCATCTTGGTGAAAATGGTTAAAGAGGGTAATGGAAGAATGAAAATCGGATCTCTGAAAAAATGTTTTTAACTGGTTGAAAGAAAAGGAATATCAAAACAATCCCCAACTTCATTGGTAAATCAACTCATGATTTGATTACATTTTTTTTTTGATTTTTTTTTTCTATTAGCAAAATGATGATAGAGCATCGAAAGTGACTTGGAAATTTGATTCGGAGGTGAATGCTAATAGAAACTTCATCGAGATCAAATTGAACACCACCCCAGTGGGTATAATCTTTGAAATAGATGGAGAGTTCAAAGCACTCCGTAAGGTAATTTGAAAGAGTTTATGAACTATATTCTCATCCTATAATTTTATGCCAATTCTTGATATATAATATCATTACTCTAAGTGCTTTCTAACAATTGTTAAATTTGTAGCCTTATAAAAAAAAAAAATCGTTTGTCATATGATTTTCTTCTTATTATACGATGATCCGTTTCAAACACTGTTAACTTAAAATTACTATATTTTTTTAATGGAAATTCAGGATAGCTTTACACACTCAACCAACGAAAGAAAGACCCAACTGGTTCAGGAAATAATCAAGGAAAAGTTTCTTAAATCGGAAACAAGGAAATGAGAAAAAAACAAAGCTCAATCAATAATGGTACAAAGAGAAGAGAAATTAACAAGCTTTACAGCTACGCCTGCAGTTCCCAGGGAGCTCAGCAGTTCCCACCATATACTCTGCGTTCTTTGCGCATTCTCCAAGCACTGCCCATCTTTCACAGCTCTCGTTTACATCCGTGCAGTTACCGTCTTGTGTAATAATCTTGTCGAACGAGTCCACGTGGATCCACTTGGTCGCCGACCATTTCTCTCCTTCGATCACAGGACAACCTCCGTGAAGGCTAAATGGATCCGGGATTGCGTCATGGTTGAGGTTGAAGAACAACAGAGCATTTCCTTTTATCGGTTTCACTATACAACATTACCCATAGAATCAAAAAGATGTTTCTTTCTACAAAAAAAAGATAAACTTTGATAATGATCTAAGTTGTGTATCTCACCAGCAATCCCTTTCTTTGCACAATCAGAAAGATCGTCTTTGTTTTCAGAAAGCTTGCGGCGAGAAGATTCCTGCAAAGAAATTTTCATCAGAGAGAGCGGAAACAGTTTTGGGTAGCCAGAAAGATCGTCTTTGTATTGATCTCTCAACCAATACAGAGTAGCCATTGTGACATTGGATACGAACCACTGCATCAGGGAAAACAGTTTCGCCACCCTTTGTGACATTGGATAGATACATGAGGACAGTTGCTATGCGGTGTCCACCACGGGCAATGTTGACTTTGTCGTGAAAGTAGTCATAGTGATTGTCATATTTCTGACCGTGCTCGTATCTCAAGATCTGAAGATCTTCCCCGTTCTCTGTCACCACAAAGTGTAAGGACTTAGAAACAACTCAAAATTCTTATAAGAAACTCGACAGGAGTGTGCTTTTTGTTACCTTTTGGGAGGAATGTCCATGTGGAGAGCTTGTCCTCTATTCCGGAAACAATTGGATCCTGCGAAAGTACCAACCAAAATCCATGATTGATCATCATAGATACGCAGAAGCAATTTTGTTGACTAACAACTAGCTATGAAACCTTAGTACTAAGCAAGCAGCAATGAGAGACCAATACAGTTTTGGGTCAATCTAGCAAGATCCGGGAGGTTTATTTAGAAAGATTCATAAACATGATCAGTGTAACTCAAAGAGATCTCATTCTGAGGATTTGAATTTTCAGATCCGTTATTATTAGGATCCACATGAGAGATTCAAAGCCATTTAACTCCATTTTCATATAACATAATCAAGATCAATCCCTATTAGAGAAATTCAGTGAGATCTATTGTCTATTGTGTCCAATTTTGGGTTCCAAGTTTAAGAAATGGAAGCTAAAGAAGAGAAATTTCACCTTTCCTTTGGAGATAAACGTGCCGGAGCTGGTTCGAACTTCACTGACTTGACTCTCGCCATTATCGTTATCAGCAACCGCAGATCTCTGCAGATTCTCTTTCGCCTTTTTCAAAAAAATCAAAACCAGAAGCCGAAATTAGCACATTAAAGGTGGAAATTTCCCAAATTGAGCTCAGACCCAAAAGCTAAATGGAATGAATTCGTTGCACTCACAAGGGAGATTAAATGATCACATTCCAGGTCCGTCAGAAAACCTTCATATACATAAGCCCTGAAGATAAATAAAACACCGAATTTTGTTTCGATTCATCAGAAAATTAACACAAAGTTGAAGTTGAAAGTTTCCGAAATTAGTTGGAGAGGAGAAAATTCAAACCTGGGTTTTGAAGAAACCTGTTTGACTTTAGAAGGGTTGATGATAGAACTGGGAGAACTAATCAGAGAAGTGGAAGACTGAAGCAGGACGAGGAAGACGGCGACGAACAACAGCAATCCGCGGCGAGACATCGACATTGGCATCATCGCAGTCGCTTGGATCCAGAAAAAAACGTAGAGAGATCGAACTTCAGGAAATGAAAGAGGGAAATTTTTTATTCTCTCTTCTCGGGAAAATGTCAACGGTCATGAAAAGGTGATGCTCTACCAAAGAAGATGGCGACGACATGCGCACGTCGTTTTGCAATCCGGAAAACGTTCTTAAACAAATGTTTTCTTTCTTGGCTGCTTTTACCAATTTCCAGCGAAAAAGCCCATAAACGTAAAAAGCCCAATAAGCCCAAACGTAAAACACGACGTCGTATATGTAAACTAAATGTTTTTGAATCGTCCTCGCCGGACGGAGAGGCGTGAGCAGAACAGAAAATCAATTTGGTTTGGCTTCGACTTTTAGCCGGCGACGAATGTGAACGAAGGTTGAAGAAGGATAACAAGAGAAGTTTCTAAACAAGAAATTAAGGGAAATTTGCAGAGATGGCATTTAAGCCGTTTGGAAAAGATGTGGGACCGGCGATGAGCTCCAAGCCGTCGCCGTTTACAACGTTTGGCGCTTCTGCTACTACTCATCCCACCAGGTGCGCTTTTCGATTCCGTCTGGATTTATGTACGTTTAGCTACGACATGATCATACTTCCACTCCATTTTTATTGCTGTTGAGGTTTTTAGATTGATTTCGCGCTGCGGATCTATTATTGAAGTGTTTAGGATCACGCGAAAGTGAGACGTAGCTTTGAATTTCTATGCAATTGTGTTCTAATATCATTTAGGTAGCTCTAAGCTTCGGATTTTGAAGCTCAGTTGCTTATTGCGATTGTTATTTGTAAGGTTTACTTGCAATTTCCTTAGGAGGAGCTGCTGGCTGCTTTATTTTGCTTTTTCTTCTCAGCTTTTACTCTTTTCCTTAAATTCTGACCCTGCGAATTTGGGATTTGCTTGTAGTGATACTCCAATTCAACCACCGGCGTCTCAAAACCACTCCTATGCAGGACAATCTTTTGGACCAGGTGGTATTGAAAGGTTAGATAAGACGTAGCTCTACAGCTCTGGTTTCTTTTCTGTGAGAGAATGTTAGGTTGTTTGTGAGCCTCCTTTGGGAGAGCCGTTGTGCTACTTCTTGTAGTCATTTCCTTAACTTCTTGAACTTTCTATGTCCTTTACATTCTAACCTGCGTATTGGAATTCTTGTTTGTAGTGGTCCTCCAATTCCGCGAGCACCGCCTCCTTCGGCTTCTCAAAACCCTCCACCCTTTATAGGGCAACCTTACCGACCAGGTGGGGTACAAAGGTTAGACATTCTTAACTGTATATATGGCATGATTTGATTCCTATGCTCTATCAGTTTTATTTGCCTGTTGATGATGTTAAGGTGGTTACTTAATTTTTCATTGGACTCTCTGGTTTTCTTCTTGGTTTAGATTCTAGCCTAAATTATCGTGGTTTTTCCGTGTAGTTTTCCTCCAGTGAATCGAACACAACCTCCGTTGGCTTTTCCAAATCCCTCGCCCTCCTCAGGACAACCTTACCGACCTGGAGGAATTCAGAGGTTAGAAAAGCTTACTTTTATTGCTCTCTTTTCGTTTCCCCTCCTTATATGCGTATACAAGACCTTTGGGAAAGGTTTGATTCGAAGAATCTGGTGATGGGGTTATCCAAGTTGTCTATTTCCTTGGCTTTGATTTGTTTTTTCTTTTTTGGGGGTAAAGCTCTGCTTGAATCTTCTGAATGGAACAGTTTAGTACAATGTTTTTCAGGAGCCCAGTACCTGTCAATGGAATGTCATGGGGTTCAGAAGCTTTTCCACGTCCAAGCCCCTCTGTGAGACCTTACCAATTTCCTGGAGTTCAAAGGTAAAAGTCTACGTGTGATATTTTCCACTTAGAAGAGTTTTATATTCGACATCTTGGATGCCGTGTTATTTACACAACTCAAATGCTTTCAGTTTTCTGCAATAAGAATATATGGCAGTAGAAAGAGAGAGCAGGGTGTGGCAGAGTGCTATAGGTTTCTCTGCCCATCTGAATGCCTAATAGAGAAAGGCTTACTATGGCAGCGACTCTAAAACTACAATGAGATTACTGTCACTGGATTTGGCTTATAGACTTTAGCAACAAGCTGTTGGATTGTCCTCGACGAGTACCTGAATTTCACCTGCTTCATTTTCCTCGCAGGCCTGCGTTAAGTCCTCAGTTTGGGCATGATGAATCAAAAAATTTCATGAAAGATCATGGTCAACATAGTCTAGCCACTTCTCCAGCTAGTACATCTCACACTCTTTCCAGAAGTGGAACTGATGTTGCTGAGATTGGTCGATCACAAGATTCAAAAAGGAAAAGGTAGTTTATGCCATTTTCTTTAGATGAAGGCCATATAGGCCAATAGGCTCTTTTTGCAATAGTTATTATGTGTGCTCTGTATCGCTATCATATCCTTGGCTTTCTTAACACTTGTCCGTTTGCGAGAGTTTGACACCTTCTGTGTTCTGCGTCATGTACTATTCTCTTTCAGATTTCAAAAGGCTTTTGCGTGGTCTTGGTGCTAGAAAATTAGCTGTCATACGCATGGCTATGATGTTTAGTGATATCATGATTTTTGATGTAACTAGTTTATATCTAAAAATTCCTTATATGTTGCAGTCGGTCAGATCTTCCTGATCAGAGTTTGGGGTTTTCTCGAAGAAATCATTCTCCAGTATCAGGTTTTGAGAATGGCAGCTTGGTAGATGATTTCCTGCAGCCATCTAGTCAAACTTGGATGTAAGCTTTTTATCCTCTTGTCAGTTTTCTAAATGTTTTGATCTCTCCCTCCTTTTTTTGCTGTTGGTGAAAAAAAATGTCATGAAATATCTCACATGTGTTATTATAGATAGGAATTTGAACATAGCACGCGTCTTTTCCTTTTTGATTTTTATACTGGTTATTAGTCTGTTGTCTCTGACTTTTGAAACTTGCGTCCTGGAACTTTTTCTCATGTTTTTGTAGACGCTCTCCACCTTCTAAGGACAATAATCCGGTGAGGTCGAGGATTAATCCCAATCGGGTGATTCGTCAAGAACAAACCCCAAGCTCTTCATTCCCTTATGCACAAGAAGCAGCTGAAATTCAGGAAGCTACAAAAAGGCAGTCTCCGGCTACAGCACCTTCTGATAAACCTCTCCGAGACAACCCCGTATTTTCTCAACATGATTCTCGAAGGTAGACAGCATGATAACTCACCATATTTTGTAAGCTTATTATTTTATTTCCGTCTTCCCCATGTAATACGTGGACTTATGAATGATAGGGGAAATCACGATTTAGGATAGAGTTACAATCCTAAGAAACTTCTTCAGCAAATTGGAGTATGAGCATATTTACCTTTAATTTTAATGGTTTCATGAAATTTTTCGGGATACTAGCCTGTGAACTCATACTTATTTCTCTTGCCGCTTTATCTTTTGTGCTCTTGCAACAAATCTGCTTTTTCTCTATCTGGCTGGATGTGCCTTAAACTTGCTCTTAGCTAAGCATGCTGTTTGTATGATAGGTTTTCGACATCTCCTCCTGCGTCAGGCACAAAGTCATTTATGCTTTCAAGAAGCTCAGATTCCCAATTTCCTGGGCAGCCATCCTCTGTAAATAATTTCAACAATGCGGGGAAGACAAGCAGTTCACCTGCAACAAAAAGGACGAGATCTCCACCTTTACATTCCGTGGAAGAGGATATCCAGGGAAACTCTTATCCTTCTCAAGAATTTACTGAAGGGTAAATTAAACGACATGCTACTGACTCTTTATATTGATATGTGGACCTGTTCTTAAGTTTTATGCATTGTGTTCATTTTTTACAGAGAAGAGCAAGCCAGGGCAAAGAGACTGGCTCGCTTCAAGGGTGAACTGGACCCTATTGCAGACCGACCTGTTGATTCTCAACTTACTAAATCATCTGTAAATAAAACTGTGAAGCCTCTGGACAACAAACAAACATTCAATTCGCTGGAATCAAGTAGGGATGCCCTTAAGGGAGAAGCCTTGTCTGATTATGAAAGCTCGGAGCAGCCCTCTCTTATAATTGGATTATGCCCTGACATGTGTCCTGGTAAGCATAAGCCTGAGACATGCTTATAAAACGACAACTGAGTGTATAGTCTTTGGTTTAGTTTATCTGATTAGAGAAGAATTGTGTAGCGAAGAATATTGATTTTGCCCATAGCCGACTAGATCTAGTAGGTAATGTGATTGTACAAATATATTGAGGAATTTTAAATTCATCTTTCCAGAGTCAGAACGGGGGGAGCGTGAAAGGAAGGGTGACTTGGACCATTATGAGCGTGTGGATGGAGATAGGAACCAGACGAGCAAATCCCTTGCTGTGAAGAAAGTAAGTTTACCTTTTTCATATCAATTCAGCGTCAGATTCTTTCTTTAGATGACATATGCTCGACTACCTATTCACCGTGATGACCACTTATATATCTGCCTTTGAATAGTACACCAGGATGGCGGAGCGAGAAGCAGTTTTGATACGACCGATGCCAATCCTGCAGAATACAATGGAATATTTGCTGAGCTTACTAGACCGGCCTTACAATGAAAACTTTCTTGGAATGTACAACTTCTTATGGGATAGGATGAGAGCTATTCGAATGGATCTCAGAATGCAACATATTTTCAACCGAGAAGCTATTACCTTGCTGGAGCAAATGGTTTGTGTTTTCTGATATTATATAAAGCCCACTGAACACGATGATAAGCGATATTGGATGTTTGTTTCTTACTATTAATTTCCTTGTTACAGATAAGACTTCACATCCTTGCAATGCATGAGCTATGTGAATATACTAAAGGAGAGGGCTTTTCGGAGGGGTTTGATGCACACCTTAATATTGAGCAGATGAACAAGACATCTGTTGAGTTGTTTCAAATGTATGATGATCACAGGAAGAAAGGAATGACTATTCCTACAGAAAAAGAGTTCCGTGGTTATTATGCTCTTCTCAAACTCGACAAGCACCCTGGCTATAAGGTACGTATTTTTGGGTGAAATTTGCAGTAAGAATTTGAGCTAAGTTCTTAACCTGACTATAAATTCTTCCTTTTAGGTTGAGCCTTCTGAGCTTTCTCTTGATCTTGCCAACATGACTCCAGAAATAAGGCAAACTTCAGAAGTTCTCTTTGCCCGCGATGTAGCCAGGTTATTCCTTGAACTTGCTTTTAGGTGTTAGTTTGTTAATGTGATCCAGGTATTAAAACCAGTTCTGCAATTACAGAGCCTGTAGAACTGGCAATTTCATTGCCTTCTTTCGCCTCGCACGAAAAGCAAGCTATCTTCAAGCATGTCTAATGCATGCTCATTTTTCAAAGGTAAGCGTTTAATTTTTGTGTAGGTTTGAAAAACACCATTCTTACAATATTGGTGTTTCGTTAATTCAATGAGATCTAAGCTTTATTTTTGTTTATTCAGCTAAGAACTCTGGCACTTGCTTCTCTGCACTCGGGTCTCCAAAATAATCAGGGTATCCCACTTTCAGATACGTCAAAGTGGATAGGCATGGAGGTATTTTTTTTCATCCTTTCCGTGGTCTGTCACAGAGAAATTGATAGAGATCTTACTTTTTTCCTCTGGTGATGAAATTCAGGAAGAGGACATAGAAGCCCTGTTGGAGTACCATGGATTTGCAGTAAAAGTATTTGAAGAGCCATACATGGTAAAGGATGACCTATTTCTCCATGCTGATAAGGACTACAAATCAAAATGCTCAAAACTTGTTCACATGAAAAAGTCAAGAACCATTGTGGAAGACGTGTCTGCTCCCTCGATAGGGAAAGATGTTTCGGCTCCCTCTCCGTTGTCTTCCTTGCCGACAAAAGCAAATAAAGGATATCAACAGCATATTACCGCCAATAAACAGGAACAGCCGCCTGCTCTAAGTCTTAAGAAACAAACATCAGTTCGTCTAGTTGATAAAGAAATGTCAGACTCCAAAGACATTTCTCTTGCTGGAGGAGGACAAGCCAGTGAGGACATCTGTTATAAATCCAGTGTGGCCATATATTGTGAATCCAGCAGTGGATCAACAGAAACAAAATGACCTCACGCCGGCTGGTGGATTTTATTCTCCTTTTGGTTCTCCTGAAGCTCCTCAAGCTGAACCCTCGAATTTGAAGAAACAAGCTGTTATGCAAACGAATCTTGTGCCTGGACCAACTTTGCAACAAAGTCCGAAGTCTATGCCAATGGAGAGTGTGCCTATAACTACTATTTCAGTGTAGAAGACAGATATGCTTTGGAAGAATCAGTACGTTGAAGTTGCAATGACTAGTACCTTTTGGAAAAGGACTTCCCATGACACTGAACAGGAAGACGAGGATGGGAATGGGGTCATCACTCACACATCAAGTGGCGAAGGCAAAACTCAAGTTGATCATAAGGTCTACTAGCTCCTCATGCAAGTTGATATGTGGTTTAGGTTTTTCTTTTTTTACTTTTCTTTTCCAGTCTTCACAGATTATGGAAGCGGTGGTCTTCACGTCAAAGTGAATTGCGGGAGCGGCGACAGTTAGCTGCAACTGCTGCCCTGAATTCTCTATCCCTGGGCACTCCTATCCGCTTTAGCAAAACTGATGTAAGTTTCTGTTTTCTTCCCCATTACATGTGCTGATCATTGGTCTTTTATTCAAGGAAACAACAAGAGTCTTAAACGCATTTTAATATTGAGGTTGGTGGTCTAATCTCGGTTCTCTCTTCATACACAGCAATCGAGGGCGTGTGGTGAGTTTGACATTGATCAAGCCATGAAGATGAGATTTGAAGAACAAGAAAAATCATGGTCAAGGCTGAACATTTTCAGATGTGATAGCTCTGATACACTAGTCGGAAGGAATCCAGACTCAAAATGCATATGCTGGGAGATCATCTTATCTACTCAGATTAAATCAGTCGAACACATCAAGTCAGGATTCACATTCAGTAGCCAGTCGATGCTTATCATCAAAGCTCACACTGAACATAGTGTCTCCGATGATAATCTGCTGTTTTCAGCTCCCGGTGTGTGTCGGTATGGAACAAATGGGTTGCAAGTGGGTCTGGCTCAGATTTCAGATGCCGTCTCTCAGTAGCTAGGGATGTGGAAGCTGATAATGATCTGTGTGAAGCAACACGTGGCGCAAGTGCTGTTATTTTCCTGAGAAGAGCTTAACCGCATTCTTGAATCAGTACCGAACGGTTCTCTCCTTGCCAGTAATCAGAGCTCATGCAATGGGGAAAGCGTGGGTCCTGATACAAATCTCGTCTCTGAACTAGGCCTCCATGATATCGACAAATCAAAGATAGCAAGCTTCAGCGTCGTCTCTATTGCTAACAAGTCCCAGAAGGGACATGAAGTTCATTTTTTCAGCGATTCACGGCTTAGGGACGGGCTTAAATGGCTTGCGGGCAATTCACCTCTGCAACCAAATCTTCATCATGTTAAGCCGCGGGAACTTGTTCTGACCCATTTCAGCTTTTCACTGGAGTTGCTTAAGCAGATGCCAGATCAGGAAGTTCGTCCTAACATCTGCATATCAGCCTTCAACGACGCATTGGAAACATCACAGAGAAACATTTCTTCTGCTGCTGAATCAAATCCGATCGGTTGGCCTGGCCCTGAGATAATGTTGCTTGATGATAATAAGAAAGAACATTTAATGGTGAAGCGGTATCTACCAAACCTTGACTGGAGCAGTGCAGAGAGCATCGAGCCAATCAATTCCGTGCTCGAGAACTGTAAGCTTCCATATTTTGAAGATGATTTGACTTGGTTAACCCTAGGATGTGCTTCTGGTGCTGAGATAGAGAACCATACGCAACGGCTCGAGGGAAGCTTAGTTGAGTACTTGACACAGACAAGCAATCTTATGGGAGTCTCATTAGCCACCAAAGAAACAGGAGTGATGCTACAAAGAAACACCAGGCTCGAACTCCACAACTCGAGCTACTACCATATCATCCCGAGATGGATCGGGATCTTCCAGAGGATCTTCAATTGGCGGATAATGGGATTGCTCGATTCCTCGTCTTCCTCAGCTTACGTACTGAAGTCCGATCTCACCATGTCAGCTTCGAGCTATGCTGATAAGTTCATGTCTGAAGATGCATCGTATCCATCTTCTCGTCCAAATCTTCCATTGCTTCACGAAATGATCCAAATCAGCTGCAGCCCCTTGAAGTCGTCTCCTCCATGTAATCAAAACAAATCCCAGAGAGATGTCGAATCGATTCAGAGAGAAAGACTTATCGATGATCATAGAGATATAGATGAGACGATGCTGGAAAAGAGTAGAGAAGCCTCCAGAAGGATTGATATGATGATAACCGAGGATGATGAGTTAGCCGATGAAACAGAGATATCATGGAGGAGTAAAGAAAAAGAAGCAATGGAGAAGAAGGCCGTGAAGGATAAAGAGAGTGAGAGATTAGACGAATTGTTGGAGAAATGTAATTTGGTACAGAATAGCATAGCCGAGAAGCTCTGCATTTACTTTTGAACTTTTCTTCACTCCTTGTTAATGTTAATGTTGTTGTTGCATGTCAGCTTAGTCGAGAGCTATAGGGTAAAATATGATTAGTGATTTAAAATGCATACATACACTATTGCTTGAGGAAAGCAGAGTTATTGTAGAAATCTAAGGAAAGCTTCGCTACGCGTCATCTGTTTACTAAAAAAGTCTTCTACTTCGTCTAACGTGTAACTTAATATTCCACCACAGTGTATCTACTATCTAGCTTCTTCTCTGCAACAAGCAACGTTTTGGGAGCAAATACCGTATTAAACACGTCTCTTAATTCTGTGAAAGAAGCTCATACACAAGATAGAGAGACAGAGAGCATTACTTTTACTTGCTATATAATGAATCTGTGACATACAAGAGTTTGTAGACAAGAAACATACAAAGGGGCAAATAGGAATCTGAATCATGTGCCATCATCACTCATTCATTACGCAGGTTTTTTATCTGTACAATGATAATCGTGATATCATCAGTCCTATTCTCATGCTCCAACCACAGTTTGTATGATTCCGCCGCAGCTGCTGCACATCCATCTCTCGGATCAGCATATCTCCCCACCTGAACAAACACACACATTCATTCACAACTCCAAACACACAAATACAAATTCAAAAGAGTTGTTTGTGTATCTCATTCTTACCATATCAACAACAGCTTGGCTCGGAAGAAACTCGAAAATCCCATCACTAGCAACAACAAAGAACAAATGGTTCGGAGAAAGATGAACCATTGAAACCTCAGGCTCAGCGGTAACACCAATGCTCTCCGCTGTAAAATCTCCAACGCTTCTCGTGAACGCCGTCCCCGGATACATCCCATTCTGCACCCAAAGCCTCGGAGGATCACCTCCTTCGCTCTCTTCACTCGCCCACGTCTGTATACTCGGATCTTTCAGCCCTTCAACCTGATCAACACTCATCACTCTAGCTCCACAAGCCTTAACCCTCTCGCACTCATCTTTCCTAAACGGAGTCTGATCGTAAGACAAATCCTCCGCCACAATCTGATTCCTGTCCTTCACAGCAAGCACAGCTCTCGAATCCCCAACGTTAGCCACATAGATCTTATCCCCAACAACGAGCACCGTGATCGCAGTGGTACCACTCATCGAATCGTCGATTTCGCTGTCGTGTAACTCCTCGTTCACCCTTAAAAACGCAGACTTGTAAGCTTTCTCTGGATCCTCGAGCAGAGTCGGGTCTTCCGATAGCATCTCCACGACTCTCTCCTTGACGAAATTCGAGCACTGGGTGCCGAACACGCCGTGGCCGTCGAAGACGCCGAAGAAGTGGACGTTTGGGTTGCCTTGGAGCTCGGTTTTGATGCAGTAAGTGTCTTGGTTCTCCTTATCCGGCGAATCTGGGTAATAGCCTCGCTGGGAGAGCACGGAGTAGACCATTTCGAAATTGGGGGAAGGGACTTGGATGGATCCGAGGGGTTTCTGAGAAGATTCTTTCGATTTGAAATCCTTGGCGGCGTCTTGTCGAGAATCTCCTTCTGATGATGACGATGGATATCGGCCACAGCATTTGCATTGAACACAACCCATCTATATGGATAACAGATTCGATTCACGCAAACAAATGAAGAAACCGGCAAAATTCCGGGCTACGAAAAGCTCGGGCTCAGCTAGAAAAAAGCAATCTCCAGGTGTTCAACAATGGCGTCCGCGAAGGTGCAGGGTTTTGGAGATGTCATGTTAAACGCGGCAAAATCAAAAGAGGGGGTGAAGGAAAATGGAAGAAAGGGGAAAGACGAAATTCACACCCAAAGCCAGAATCTTTTGTTTGCCCAATAAACGGAGGAATTATTGGAATGATTCGGAATGAATCCGAGAGGAAGAGGAAGAACAAAAAAAAGGGAATTAGTTTCTTTTCTTGGTTCGTCTGTTTTTCTTCTGGATGTTGGAATTTTCCTTTCAACTTCTTCCTTTCATTAGTGTCTTCCTCTAACTTTCCCTTAAAGGGTGATTCCGTCAACCCTTTCAAGAGAAAGCGTCAAAAATTCGAGAAACCCTAAAGGCGAAGCGGAGGAATTTGTTCGAAAGAAGGAATAAAAGGTGAGAGAGAAAGAGAGAGAGAATGATGGATTTTGGTCGATCCGACGGATGGAGTACACGGGTGGGTTTAGCCTCTGCACAGCCGCGCACGAATTCCAAAAACAAACAAAAATTTTGAGAATATTGATGGAACTTTTCTTTTTCCCGAGAAAATCCATACTTTTCTCGTTTCCTTATTTTCCCTCCGTGTGTATACCCGACCCGACAAACATCCACGAAAATATCGTTTCAAGTTAACATAAGGCCTTATGGGCCTGACGTATTCATTGGGCCCTCACCTGTAGATTTACTTTTTGAGTCTTTAACATACTTCACAGTTTACACAACCTTCAAAATGTTTAACAACTTACATCAACTAATTTTCTCCCAATTATCCACGGTTCTACTTCTACAAATAAACTTCGATCATGTGTTTACATTTTGGATAATATTTGTCACTGTCTTGTAATGTTCATGTATGAATCTATTAAAGCATAACTAATATAATTTCCAAATAATTAATGTTTATTTCAAAAATAGAAGAGGTTATGACTAAATTAGTTATTTATGACTAATTTATAGGTTATGACTAAATATCTAAGTTATGCATAGATTTTACTAAATGTAACTGGAAAGTAGATGAGGTTATGACTAAATTAGTTACAGTTGTTTCCGATACCTACTTCTCTGCCATGCGAATCCATAAACTTTCCAGTTTTGAGACTTCTTGGACTATCCAAGCAAGAGGAGGACGCATATTGTGGCTGAGAAAAATCTTTGACCGGGCACATTCTCAGATTCAGATCGGTTGTGACCCATTTAGCTGAGCCGGTCGATGCAGGAGCACTGCTCGTGGAGTTGTTTGCAGAAACTGATTCCAACCCTTCTTTGGTCTGCACTGAGGGGATGTAACCACACGTTGAAATTAACATAACTCGGTGAAACTAGGTCTTCACCAGAGGAGGCTTGTAGTGCAAGAAACATACTTTCACGGGAGATTATGAAATTAGGAGAAAAGAAAGTATACCGACCTTGGCATCAGTTTTTTTGTTTTTGTTTAAATCGGTCCTTGTGGTCATTTGTAACCAAGGTGGCAAGGTAGATTGGGTCTGATCGGAAATGGAAGAAACCGGATTTCCTTTTTGAAACCGGAGAAGGGTAGTTTCAGATCAGAAGGAGTTGAGAAGAATCCACCAAATGGGACGAACGATCCCATCAGGCTGTATTCAGTTACAACATGTAAAGTGTCAACATCATCTAAAACGTCGGTACAGAGCAAAGAGAGAAAAAGAAAATACACTCATAAAGTTAGTGCAAGAGAGGAATCTAGAAGTCAAACTGGACATCAATGCTCTGATTCTACTACATTCAAATGACTCTTTGTTTTACAAATCATGCCCATTGCTACTTTTATCGATTGCTTTTATATTTACATGTTAAACCATTGTGTTTCTCATAGAAAAACCAATGTCTTAGTGCGTATATATATCTCAAACACCAATTAGAAATTATAAAAAACAAAAACAAACGTTCAAACGCATAAGAAGCTAAAAAAAAAGCCAATTCATAGTTTAAAAGATAAGTTTCTTAACAAATGATGTATATCAGATCATTATCACAAACAAAAAAACGAACAAATTAACAAAGATCCACTAAGTTTAAACAATTAGATTGTTTATCCAAGCAACAAAGATCAATAAATCTTAAATTAGTGGTTCTTTATTTATAGGTGAAAAGAAAAAATCAAGACTACAAAATCGACTCCTTGTTAATGAATACAAGGAGGTATATTACTCGAGAATGTTAACAATAAGCTATTAATAGATCATTTACCAGATTAAATTGTGTTGGATGTGATTGGTAACGTATTTTGAAAAGGAATTAGGGTAGAAAATAAAATAATGCATTGGAGTAAAACACATTCTCTTTTTAGAATAAAAATGTGATAATACATTTGAAAATGCTACTAGACTCTAGGGGATTTCCATAATAATATTAAATGTGGGAAAGAGTGAGATTATTTTATTTCTATTTTAAAACTAAAACATCATTTAGTAATTATAAACACACAAGTAATTCAATCATAAAATAAACTGCATGATACAAAACGTTATAAGCAAATATAAAGAAATTAATTTTGCAAAGAGTATTACGACATATGTATCACTTAATTTGAAACAAAACGAATTTTCTACCTGAACATCTCTTAAGGAGAAATAAAATTTTTAAATTGTGAAAAAATACTGGATGAATTTGATCCGTTCATTTCTGTATGGACGGATAAGATTCATTTCAGCAAGTTAATCGTCTTTATAAACACTCTTGCAGTCACTTCGACATTTACGCAATAGCTTTGATTCTTGCTTCTCTTATAATTTTCCCCCTGCTCTGCTTAAAGATTTCGAATCGAAACTCTAGCATCTTTAGTACCTGTGATTGCGAATTTCGAAGATTATTGAGATTTAATTCGCGATTTTGGGTGTTTAAAGTAAAATTCGGGTGTTTTATTTTCGCAGGATTTTGATTTGCCACACGACATATGACATTCAATCTCTCTGCGATCCGAAAGAAATTCTAAATTCAATGTTTCAGGTAAAGAAAATATCAAATAGCATGGATCGCATGCGAGATCTTACTAATTTATGGAAACCTATAAATTAGTCATAAATAACCATGTGAATCCATGCTATTTGATATTTTCTTTATTCCCCTATACACATATCATTTATCTTTATTACTTTGAGTAGAAATCTTTATAACTTGTGTTTTTATATACTTGATTCTTAGGAAATTTTTGCCAACTTTTTAGGTTGTTTCTCAAACTACATTCTCTTGTCTTGGTGCACTTTATGAGCATATATCAAGAAGTACATGAACAAAAACAACATATTGTGTTTTGGAACCATCTTATCGCTTGTAACAGAATCAACAAGCAAATCAAACTAATTTTTATCTTTTACATAATGATAATTTAAACTCAACTCCCACAAGATCACTAAACACAACACAATTAAAACATTTAATTTTCATCTACTTACTTTAGGTTTGGCATATCTTGGAGAAGACAGCTTCCAACTTGCAATAGAGATCAAATGATCATTTATCATATATACCATGAGATCATATTACAAAAATGGTTTTCAAACAAAAAGGTGTGATACATTTATCTCTATTTTAAGATGGATTCACAATAAAATATCCAAACTACATGAAAATCATGCGATACAATACAATTTTTTTACAAAAAAAAAACATGCAATACATTTTTTAGGAGAAAGTCGTTATTCTAAATTTGGTACTTACCAAAACATTTCGCCGGCGCATTTAACTAAAATGACAGCAAAGAAAATTAATTGATCAGCACAATTTCTTCCTAAAAATAAGCAATAACTTATTTCCAAAAAGAAAACATACCAGTTTCTAAGAATCCAAAGAAGAAGGAACATAATCTAAAATCATCTCCGGTTTCATTGGACAAAACAAACTTGTCTTGTTCCTATTTCACAGGAAATGGATTTTTTTAAGACAAAGATTGTGTGGGAAACAGTCCGAACTTCAATCTCTTCCTCACATTTCGACTGCTAATAAAACAAGCCTCTCCCCAACTCCTTTATTCTAGCCCTTCCCTAAACAATGGCTCTATTAACTATTCATCTTTATAATTTGTTATAAACCTTTTTTTTTATTAAAAAAAAAAACCCCAAAAAAATATTAAAAATAAAAGAGTTAACCTGAGAATTAGGTTCAGGATGGCCTCAAGGAGCCGCTCCTACACACAACTCCTAGGCCTCCTGTCCTTTAACATCATCATCCTCCTATCCGTCACAACAACAATGGCTGTTCGTGTTGGAGTCATTCTTCACAAGCCTTCTGCTCCAACTCTTCCTATCTTCAGAGAAGCCCCAGCTTTCCGCAACGGTGACCAATGCGGTTCCAACGAAGCTGACCACATCCACATCGCCATGACTCTCGACACAAACTACCTCCGTGGAACAATGGCTGCTGTTTTGTCTCTCCTCCAACATTCCACTTGCCCTGAGAACCTCTCTTTCCATTTCCTCTCCCTCCCTCATTTCGAGAACGACCTCTTCTCCAGCATCAAATCCACTTTCCCTTACCTCAACTTCAAGATTTATCAGTTCGATCCAAACCTCGTCCGCAGCAAGATCTCCAAATCCATCAGGCAAGCCCTAGACCAGCCGCTAAACTACGCGAGAATCTACCTCGCCGACATCATCCCCACCAGCGTCGACAGGATCATCTACCTAGACTCCGACCTCGTTGTGGTCGACGACATAGAGAAGCTATGGCACGTGGAGATGGAAGGTAAAGTCGTGGCGGCTCCAGAGTACTGCCACGCCAACTTCACCCATTATTTCACGAAAGCTTTCTGGTCAGACCCGGTTCTTGTCAAAGTTCTTGAAGGCAAACGTCCATGTTACTTCAACACAGGGGTTATGGTTGTGGACGTTCATAAATGGAGGAAAGGGATGTATACACAAAAGGTAGAAGAGTGGATGACTGTACAGAAGCAGAAGAGGATTTACCATTTGGGATCATTGCCTCCGTTCTTGCTGATCTTCGCCGGTGATATTAAAGCGGTGAATCATAGGTGGAACCAGCACGGTCTAGGAGGAGATAACTTTGAAGGGAAATGTAGAACGTTGCATCCGGGACCGATAAGTCTTCTTCATTGGAGTGGGAAAGGGAAACCATGGTTGAGACTAGATTCGAGGAAGCCTTGTATTGTTGATCATCTTTGGGCTCCGTATGATCTTTACCGTTCGTCAAGACATTCATTAGAAGAGTAGAGAGAGGCAAAAGAAAGATGGCACATGTTTATAAATAGGAGAGGAGGAGGAAGATCCAAAAACAGGGGTTTTAGCAATCAAAGAGAAACGGAAAGACATTTTCATTTCGAAAATCCAAACAAAGGAAAGAAAAGTGTAGCAAGAAAGAGATAAAGCAAGAGAGAGAGAGAAGTATGTTAACACATTTTGAGCTCAAGAAGTGTTTGTTCATCACAAAGAGATGGTATCTTATCATCATCATCATTTTTTCTTGTTTCCTTCTCTTATGATTCGGACCCTTAGAATATTCCGCGTGTAATATATTATAGGTAGTATTACGGCAAAAATGGAGGATCAAAATACATTTTTTTAATCAGTTTTCTAGTCTTTGATCAAGCATAAACACATTGATTACCGAAATTGTAAAAAATTGTACAGATAACAAAAGGAACCGATACAGAAAGCCGTTTCAATTCCCGGTTAGAGAGAGGAATCGAACTCAGCACTAAAGCAGGAAAATCAACAAGAAATGTTACCAGAATATGGAGGAGATAGGCGTTTTGACTCCGACGAGCATAAGAAGACCTTGTAAGAGATTGAGCTACTCAAATCAAAACAGTTTTACGTGTAAACCTTTTCTCTGTACATAAATTAAAGTCTGGTTTAATCTCGGTTTAGTGGAATGTTCGGTTTTCTTAAAATTATAATAAACCGAGATTGTTGAGCTTATTTCTTAGCTCTCTCCGGTACTAAATTATGTTAAACGAAGATCCTAAAATCGTTTGATCAAACTAGTATCCAATATTTTTGTCGGCAATTTCCGACAATTTCAGAAGATACGGAGATGAGCTCATCTCGCGGAGAATCACACTGTCTACGGATTCTCTGATTCGTAACAAGTCTAATTTTCTGATTCCCGATTCGATTTGGATTTACGAACGCTTTTTCTTTTCTTTCGCTTAAAGAAAGAAGAACAATCTTTTTACTTTTTTTTTTGGACGAAGAACAATCAATCTGTTAAAAATAAAAAGGAGTATTAATTAGTTATTAAATGAGTTGGAGTCCATGTACTATTCATTGTACTTTGTAAAGTTAATAAATACACTTTTTAGAATAAATCATAAAATCAGTTTATTACATCAAATCTAAAATTTGGTCAATTGACGGATAAAAAAGGGAGTCTTTGGCATGCTTCTTCTCATTCTCTCTCCTCTCTCTCTGTATCTCTCTCCTCTCTCTCTCTCTCTCTCTCTCTCTCATTACAATCCCTAAATTGTGTTCTTCCCTCCGTCAATCACCTTTTCAAGGAAAATGGGAAAGGTCCAGAATTGAGACTCTAAGTGAAGTCTAATCGCCACACACACAAACTGAAACCGTCTCTCGCAATCTCCGTCAAATTAAGAGTGGGTTTTGCTTCTGTTGCTTCTCTCTGATTCGTTGGTCTCTGTTTCGCTTCGATGGACATGGAAAGGTAATCTTCGCAGAAAAAAACCATTGCTTGATTTGGTTTTGGATTATCATCCCTCGAGAACTTCATTTCTTCTGACGTTAGCTTCAATTCGGTTAGATGTAGGTTTCGATCTAGCTGCACTTCACTTAAATTCTCATTCTTTCTTCATTACGAGATTTCCATTTTAGCATTTTGGTTCTTAAAACAACGAATTTAGGACAGCTAGAGATCTACTAATTCGGTGTTATGTCACTAGGACTAACAAGAATCTCTGTCTAGTTTGGTTTGAAGATCATTGACATTGGTCGGAATATGACAAGAACTGTCTTTTTACATTTTTTTTTTGGCCCTTTGTTTGGTTTGATGCAGTGCAGATACTGAACCTACAAGTTTGAATTGTGGGAACAACATGGTTGTGAAAGCTTACCCATTAGGAATGGTACGTATCATGAATAACAACGGCCTCAACGAAGAAGACGAAGAAGAAGGAGACTCTGGAGTCGAACCATACGTTGGACTAGAATTCGACACAGCCGAAGAAGCTCGTGACTACTACAACTCCTACGCTACTCGAACCGGCTTCAAAGTCAGAACCGGACAGTTATACAGATCGAGAACAGACGGCACCGTTTCGTCAAGAAGATTCGTTTGCTCAAAGGAAGGGTTTCAGCTAAATTCAAGAACAGGATGTCCTGCTTTCATCAGAGTGCAGCGACGAGATACAGGTAAATGGGTTCTTGATCAGATTCAGAAAGAGCATAACCACGAGCTCGGTGGTTTAATAGACGAGACTACTACAACCACTCCACGACCTTCCGTACAACAGAGAGCACCGGCTCCAACGAAGCTAGCTGTCTCGGTTCCTCACAGACCTAAAATGAAAGTTGTTGATGAATCTGATAAAGGACGGTCTTGCCCTTCCGGTGTGATCTCTTTCAAACGTTTCAAAGGAGCTGAAGAGAGCGACGAGACGCAGAGCAAGGCTGCTACTGAGCCACACGCAGGGTTGGAGTTTGCTTCAGCTAACGAAGCGTGCCTTTTTTACCAATCCTATTCAGAAGTTGTCGGCTTTCGTGTCCGGATCGGTCAGCTGTTCCGTTCCAAAGTCGACGGATCCATCACTTCAAGAAGATTCGTCTGCTCGAAAGAAGGGTTTCAACATCCTTCGAGAATGGGATGTGGAGCTTACATGAGGATCAAACGTCAAGATTCCGGAGGTTGGATCGTTGACCGTCTCAACAAAGTTCATAACCATGACCTTGAGCCTGGGAAGAAGAACGCCGGCATGAAGAAGATCACAGAGGATGTCACCGGAGGGCTTGACTCCGTCGACCTCATCGAGCTAAACGACTTCACCAGCATCAATCACAAGACACGAGAGAACACCATAGGTAAAGAATGGTATCCAGTCCTCCTCGACCACTTCCAGTCAAAGCAAGCAGAGGACATGGGCTTCTTCTACGCGGTGGAGCTCGACAGCAACGGAGCCTGCATGAGCGTCTTCTGGGCGGATTCTCGTTCAAGATTCGCGTGCAGTCAGTTCGGCGATGCGGTTGTGTTCGACACTTCGTATAGACAACAAGACTACTCTGTTCCCTTCGCTACGTTTATAGGTTTCAACCACCACAGGCAGCCAGTGCTTCTCGGCGGCGCTTTAGTCGCCGACGAGTCTAGAGAGGCTTTCTCGTGGCTGTTCCAGACGTGGCTTCGCGCCATGTCGGGCCGTCGTCCGAGATCTTTTATAGCCGATGAAGACTTGCCTATCAAGGAAGCTGTAGCTCAAGTCTTCCCCGGGACTCATCACCGGTTCTCAGCGTGGCAGATTAGGTCAAAAGAGCGAGAGAATCTACGGACGTTCCCTAACGAGTTCAAGTACGAGTACGAGAAGTGTTTGTACCAGACGCAAACAACCGTCGAGTTCGACACGATGTGGAGTGCTCTCGTTAACAAATATGGGCTTAGAGATAACTTATGGCTCAGAGAGGTATACGAGAAGCGTGTGAACTGGGTCCCAGCGTATCTAAGAGCTAGCTTCTTCGGTGGGATCCCTGTGAACGGGACGTACCAACCGTTTTACAGGGATTCGCTGAGCTCTTTAACCTCTCTGAGAGAGTTTGTTTCGATGTACGAGCATGGTTTAGAGCAGCGACGTGAGGAGGAGAGGAAAGAGGATTCGAACTCTTACAACTTGCAGCCGTTTCTTCAGACGAAAGAGCCAGTTGAGGAGCAGTGCAGGAGGCTGTACACGCTCACCGTCTTCAGAGTCTTCCAAGGGGAGCTCGCGCAGTCTTACAACTACCTCGGTTTGAAGACGTACGAGGAAGGAGCTATCAGTAGGTTTCTGGTGAGGAAATGTGGGAACGAGAGCGAGAAGCACGCGGTGACTTTCAGCGCGTCGAATCTGAACGCGAGCTGTAGTTGTCAGATGTTTGAGTACGAAGGGCTTCTCTGTAGGCATATCTTGAAAGTGTTTAACCTTTTGGATATTCGGGAGTTACCGTCTCGGTATATACTTCACCGGTGGACCAAAAACGCGGAGTTTGGGTTTGTACGCGATGTGGAGTCTGGTGTGACTTCTCAGGAGCTTAAGGCGTTAATGATATGGAGCTTGAGGGAGGCGGCTTCCAAGTATATAGAGTTTGGGACGTCGTCGTTGGAGAAGTATAAGCTTGCGTATGAGATTATGCGTGAAGGTGGGAAGAAGCTGTGTTGGCAGAGATGAAGCATCAAGTAAAGGTCATTGATTATCCTCTCTGTTTCTTCGTGTGTGGTAGAGACTAGAGAGGTTGTTTTTTCTGTTCTTGTCCTAACTGGGTTATGTCTGTGCCTTCATCATCAAGAAATTACAGTTTCATTGATTGCGTTTATGTATTGTAAAGCTCTTGGATCGTTTTTGCCATAAGATTCAGGAAGATTCGTACATTTTAGCAGATCTATTGTAACATATTATCATCAAATTCATTTTTACTCTCGCTAATCATTTTAGCTTTAGTTTTTGGATATGGTTTTTATTCATTAACATAGCATTAAACTATAAAGAAAATACAACTTTTATCCAAATTACACGTGTAAATTACGTTTTAAGAACATACTAATCTATACTCTAAAAGAGCCTTTCTTCAGTTTCGTATACCATACGAGTTTGGTGAAATGAGACTCTCTACGTACGTATTGGCCTCGAAGCCGTCTCTAAGCTTAACCCCACGAATTCCAAGACTCCTCGACGCATCAGTCGCGAAATTGTACAGGACCATTTCTCCATCAAGCTCCATAAGAACCTCCTCACGGTTCTTAGCCAAGGAACACAGAGGTTTCAACGACCTGTACAACAAGCTGATCCTGATTCTGCTCCACGAACTCGCTTCACCGTACTCATTCATCACCCATACGTCATCGTGAACCTCGTAGCAACTATTAGTCACGCAGAGACGTCCATTAAGATTCCCAACCACAAAGTTCTTAAACCTGTGAGGACAATCCTCAGCTTCATCAGGCAACGGCATCTCTCGAAACGCTTCCGTTTCGAGATCAAACGCCAACACCAGCCTCTGGCTTTGATCACCTTCTTTGAGAGTGAACACCCAGTGGATCGCGCCGTTGAAATTCACACCGGAGTGAAACCCGTCGTTGTGCTCATATCTCAAATCACCGATCCGTCTCCACGTGTCTGATTTCAGAGAGTAGACACTAGCGTTGATGACATCGTCGTTATCAGCGATAAGCTTCACCACTTTGTAATCACAAGTCAGATCATCGAATCCAAATCCGTAAGTTTGGAATTGTTCTCCGTACTCTTTCGATTTGGGACGAGCAGTCTCAGGCAATCTCTTGGATTCTCCGGTGGTTGGGTTATAGAAGAAGATCGCGGATCCACCGGGAGAGATACAGAGTAAACCGTTGGAAGATCCGATGATCTCGACCCAGTTTCTTCTATACGATTTCGCATTCAGCTTAAGCATCACACGACGGTCATCTTCGTCGACGACGGTGTCAGATCCACCGCCGTGGAGATGCTCTCTCACATAACTCCTAATCATCTCATCGAAGATGCTCGGGTCGTCTTTAAGCGGGTAATTGAGCTCCACAGGAGCCAAATCCCTAATTCTTCCACGTCCGTCACCGATCGAATCCAATTTCAGTGCGTAGAGATTATGCGAAGAGACGATGAGCTTCCGGTGAGGTAATCGGAGTGAGCCGTTTCGAAGAATTAGATCGAGGTGGCTCTTCGCGAACCCCGGATCAGTCGAGAGAGAGCGAAACAGCTTCGAAACGCACCTGAATCTCCCGATCGTTCTCGCTGGTAATCGGAGAAGAATCTCCATGATGATCTCTGGAGGAAAGACGAACGATTCCGGTGAGGATTCGTGCTTGGTCTCTGCTTCGCCGTTATCATCTTCTCTCCGCTTGTCCCTCATCATCGCTTCCCAAAGGAAATGAATGCATTGCATCTTATGGATTGTCGGCGTCTGGTGGCTCTTTCTTTTACTTATGACCCGAAAACTTTAAGTTCGCCCGGTAAACACTGGATCCGGGTCAATATCGATAACCGATTTTAATCACAGCGGTTCAATAGTCAAACCGGGTGATTGCGCGCGTAAAAAGACAGTATTGGAATATTATTTTTTTTTTTTAAGGGTTAAACAAGTAAAACGAAATGAAAAATAAATTGTTTGGAAACAAAGACAAAGAGCTTCCAGCCAGGAGTAACAAACGATTTCACCATTTTTTCTTGCAGAGATTTTGGAGCTCTTCTTCGATTTCTTCTTCCTACAAAATGTATATGAAACATTGAGTATTTGGAAAATGTCAAAACATAAATAGAGAAGTGTGGAATCTAGAAGCATTTCAAAACACAGAAACAACAACTTACATTTTTTTTTTGCCAGTACATATGGTTTTTTTCGATTGATTGATAATACGCATACAAGCTACGCTCCTGCTTGGGAAAAAAAAAAGTAAGTTAAAGCACTCAAAATGGTTAGACAATGAAACAGTGTACTGATACAAGGAGATAGAAGATAAGGATGCTTACTAGCTTGTTATGTCCTTTACTTGAGAGATGGACCATTAATGTTAATAGATTGTATACAAGAAAATTAATGTTTTTTTTTATAAAAAAATAAAAAAATTAAGAAAATTAATGTTCACAATGCTTAAGATTAGAAAAATGTCAAAATCAAGATTACTTGACATACATCCCACCAAACTAATCAATAATAACGCATGATTACTTAGCGAGTTCATAATCACCAATGTGTAGACTGTACATCTTGCCGGAATTCCACTAATCTCATCTTATTTACAATAGTTACACCAAATCTTTTGATCTCTCTGATTCAGTCAGAGTCTCTTGAACTCTCAATATCTTCAGATAAATATCCCAAACTCTAAGCTGTCCGGAGAAGAAAAGGGTGGCTGAGAAGTTGTGAAGCTGTCCATCTCTCGCTTGGTTTCTTACGTAAACAGCAATCAATGAAGCTCTTAAAATCGTCAGAGCATGCCTCGGGGGCTTTCGGTGCTTCTCCAAAGCACACAGCGCACATTAGCGTGGCCCAATCTGGTTTCTGCCCTTTAGGAAGCAGAGGGAAGTAACCCACCAAGATCTCCAGCATCGTAAGCCCAAAGCTCCATATGTCTCCGGCGTAAACGTTTGACTTGTCTTCCTCTGTATCAACAGCGTCTTCACTGTTGATTCTCTCGGGACTCATGTAGGCGCACGTGCCGGCGAACGAGTTGCACTTGTCTAAGGACTTGACCATGATCTTGCTCACTCCGAAGTCTGCGATTTTGACCTCTTCTTTCGAGTTACGAAGCAGGTTTGCTGGTTTGATGTCTCTGTGGACGATCTTGAGCTCATGCAAATAGTTTATCCCTTTCAAAACATGACGAGCGATCAAAGCGAGTTGCTTCTCCGTTACGTCTTCGCCACGTAAGGACTCGAGCGTGCCACGGTCCATGTATTCCATCAGGATAGAGACTTCTCCTGAAGGTTTCTCGAAGATGTCTTGACACTTAACGATGTAAGGAGAGTCAACGAGACGGAGAATCTCGATCTCACGGAGAAGTTGACGGCGTGAAGTAGGATCCATGTCTTCTTTGACTTTCTTCAGTGCGTAGGTCTCTGACGTTGTCTTGTGGCTAACTTTGTAGACAGTACCGCCGTTCCCGCTGCCGAGAACGTTGATTCTCTCCAAATCAGAAGCAGAGAAGGTGTTGTTTGCGCAGGAAGTAACTGTTGTAGAGGCTGTTGCTGTGGCTGCGATGTGGAAACAGCAAGGGAGGGTGGTAGTGGAAGCTTGAGGAAGAGAGAGCTTGAGGTTGAGGAAACGAGGATTTCTCACCAAAGCCATCGTGTTGTCCTTGAAGGATTTGGTCTTCAGGAGGCTAGGGCTTTCTTCTGTAACTGAGGGTCACTCTTACGTACGTAATATATATGAGAAAATATACACAAACGATCTATCCCATATTTGTTGCCGACCAAAACAAATTCTTTTATATTTGATTTCTTTTGTTATGGGATATATTCAAACGTAAATCCAATTTGTTGCCATTTTTTATTTACAAAATATAAAAGATATTGAGTTACATTGGATAAAAACAAAATCATTGTATTTTGAATGAATACTAGTAGTCTCCTATTCCGAAAGGAAGTGAGTTTGAGTTAGTTACGAAGCTTGATAGACAAGTAAACTTAATTTGTTGAAAAAACTAATGGCTCATGCATGCTTGAGGAAATTGGGTTGAGCAGTTTCTAGAGACTTGGAACAAACGAGCTTAGGTTGGGATTTTTAGCCCACAGAGACAGAATGATATCTTAAAATATGATTTTGATCCAAAAAGACAATCACTTGTTTTATTTGTCCAATGCACCAATATATTGTAACAATCAAAATGTTCTTAAGGATTAATTGTTTATGTATTTGGGTTTGGGTTTAGTATTTTGGATTTATAGTTTAGTTTTCAGTATTTAGAATTTAGTTTTAGCTTTCTGTTATTTTTGGTACTTTTAGCAATGGTACTTTTGAAAACACAAACTTACTTTTGTGGATGAGGAAGATATGATATGTTAGAAAGTTATGAAGTTCTGGTAAAGTTAGATAAATCAATGCAAACAATAAGTAGCACGATTAATCAAATTGTGAGTATGATGATGATAGCACAATCAATGTAGCCAAGCGTGAAAATATGCTTTTAACAAAAGGATTCTTCATTCACGAAGTACCGATACCAAAAATGTTTGCTCTGCAATGAAACCGTGTCTGGAGAGACAGTAAGCAACATGCTACAGACAATAATATCTGCAAGAAACCAACGTGAAAACGTTAACAATACAGAAAACATGTGTACACCCACAATTCCAACAAAATAGCTCCTAAATTACATTTACAGGCTATGCATATAACTAAGTCATATCACACAAAGACGCAAATCTTTCACACAAGAACGTCAACACATTAGCTGCTCAAGATCTTCAGTGATTTCAAGGATTCAAAACATATTGGACCATACCGTATCAACTAATATAGCCAAGTAGCAATAAAGCTAATAAATGGAGTGCTTTGAAGTCTGAAGCAAGCAAGACACAATACCTGCAAATCAAATCCTGACAATCCTTTGATGAACTTTTGACTTCTCAGCGTCGATAATGGATTCCACTCGACCCACCGCATCATCAAGCCTTCCTTTCGCATTCACCACAACGTAATCGAACTTCTCCATATGCCTAACCTCTTCCCTCGCCGTCGCTACTCTAACAAGCAGCTCCTCCTGACTCTCCGTCTTCCGATCAATCAACCTCTCCACCATCGCAAGCTCACTCTCCGCCACGAGGAATATAAACACGGCGGAGTTACCAAGTATCCTCCTCAACGTCTGCGCTCCTTGAATGTCGACTCTGAGAACAATGTCTTCCCCTTTAGCCATGAACTCCTGAATCTGCTTTTTGGGAATCCCTTTGTAATCGCCGTAAACGAGCGCGTACTCGAGAAGCTCGTCGTTCTCCACCATCGACAGGAATTTCTCTCTGGACACGAAGAAATAGTCTTTCCCGTCGACTTCGCCTGGTCGCATCGGACGGCTCGTGGCGGTGACGACGAAATGCAGACCTTCACGAACCTCTCGGAGCTTGTTGATCACCGCGTCTTTGCCGACTCCGCTCGGACCGCTGATTACGATTACGATCTGATTCGGAGGAGGCACAATCGGATTGGGGTTGAAATTAGAACCCATGTGGAATTCGAGAGAGCGGAGCGATTCGGGCTTGGTGGGAGATGGAATTGGGGATGAATTAGGGTTGTTGTTCTGGGTATCGGTCATTTTCAAGGAGGAGTGGAAGAGAGCAGGAGAGTGACGACGGAGTGGTTGGGGGAAAGAGCGGGAGATGGAGATTGGTTTGGGGGAGAAGACGATGGAGCGAGAGAGAGAAGAAGAAGAACAGAGCTTTCGAAACATTTGGGGATTTAAAGGTGAAGCCTTTGAGATCTCCAATGGGTTTTCTGGGTTGACCCGTTGATTGAGTGGACTGGGTCACTCGGTGATGAACACTCTCTTCCGGTTCGAGCCACCGATGCTTTGCCGCGATATTGAGCTTTGCACGATTATTAGGGCTTTACCCAATTTTGTAAATTTCGTTATCTGGATTTTTGGATTCGTTAAATATTTAGAAAATGTTATAAATATTACTGAATTTATTATACTCTAAGAGGGATTTAATTAATTAATTTCTTCCCTAAAGTGCAGAAATTTTAATTTTTCAAGTCATGTAAATATTTTAATTTACGACGTTATATTCGCTACCTACCATATTGTGTGAAAGTTAAACCGATCATCAAAGTGTTTCTCCCTGGCTCGCATCTCTCTCTCTCTTCCTCTCGTTGCGGCCAACGTCGTCGTCAAGACCCACACACACGCACGACGATTCAGCTTCTGAGTGCCGGCGATTATAGCTCCGACTTCTGGTTCCGCAAAATCCCTCCTTTTCTCATCTCGTCGTTGCTCTCGGTTTCGCATTATTTTCCCTGCAATTCGAGACCCTGATTTCGCGTACCAATCTGGAAAACTACGGCTTCTTCTCCGAAATTCGAAGACTTGAGCCGCGGGCGGATACTTATTCCGGGGAAGAAGATCGACGACGGAGTCAATTTCGTGATTTCTTGGATCTCGTCTTTGTTTGATGGCCACAATTAGGGTTTGCACGGAGGTTCCTGGATCTTCGAAATCGGCTGCATCGTCGCTCACAGAGTCGACCTCTCGCACGGAAACCATCAATGGCTCCCACGAATTCAAGATCAGCGGCTACTCTTTGACGAAAGGGATGGGTATAGGCAAATATGTCGCGTCGGATACGTTCATGGTCGGTGGCTACTCTTGGGCGATCTACTTCTACCCAGATGGAAAGAGCCCGGAGGATAATTCCGTGTACGTGTCTCTCTTCATAGCCCTCGCTAGCGAAGGAGCCGATGTTAGGGCTTTGTTTGAGCTAACCCTCGTCGATCAGAGCGGCAATGAAAGGCACAAAGTCCATAGCCATTTCGGTAGAACCCTCGAAAGCGGCCCCTATACTCTTAAATACAGAGGAAGTATGTGGTGAGTAAATTACTTCCCTTTCTGGAAATAGTTTTAGCTTTAGTCTCTGCTTTTTACTGGTGATTTTAGATGGTGACATGTTTGGGGTTGCTTCAATGTTTTGATTTAGGGGATACAAACGGTTTTTCAAGAGGACTCTATTGGAGTCATCGGACTATTTGAAGGACAATTGCCTATTGGTCCGGTGTTGTGTTGGTGTGGTGAAGTCACACACAGAAGGGCCAAGGAGTTACAATATCCCGGTGCCGGTTTCTGACTTGGGTCACCAGTATGGAAAGCTATTGGAAAGTGGGAGAGGAGCTGATGTTACTTTCGATGTTGATGGAGAAACATTCGCTGCTCACAAGTTGGTTCTTGCAGCGCGTTCTCCAGTTTTCATGGCACAGCTTTTTGGCCCTTTGAAAAGCGAAAACACCAAATTCATATACGTAGAAGACATAGAACCCCCTATCTTCAAGGTCCTCCCTTTAACTCTCTTTATGGACTCAGTCTGTTTGTCCTTGGAATGTCTTAGTAGAATCTTTAGTTTAGTAGATTTACAATTTGAGGATGTTAGTTACAGTTATAGGAAGAGAGATAGCTTTTTGGTTTCTTGCCTTTTCTTGGGTGAGTGATTGTGGTGTGATACAGGATTATCTGTTTACGAGTGTACAATCCAGGACCTTCTCCTGGGGAGCGGCTCTTGTTCTCAGATTTTACTCACCCAGGATAAGGTTGAATCTTTCTGCTTCTCTTTCTGATTGAATGATTGTCTTGACTTGACTGCAGAAACTTTCAAATTTGTAGTAGTGCAAAAGTATGAATCTTTTTACTGCTTTGCGGCTTGGGTTTTGTTAGTTAAGATTGGTCTTTAGTATATCCAAGGTTAAAGTGTATGCTGATACAACGTTCCTGTGTGTTTTGTTTCGCAGATGTTGCTACATTTTATCTACTGGGACGAAATGCCTGATATGGAAGACTTAATGGGCACGGACTTGAAGTGGGCGTCTACTCTTGTTTCTCAGCATCTGCTTGCGGCTGCAGACCGTTACGCTCTTGAGCGGCTTAGAACAATCTGCGAGTCAAATCTATGTGAAGGAATCACCATAAACACGGTTGCAACCACCTTGGCCTTAGCAGAGCAGCATCATTGCTTCCAGCTGAAAGCCGCCTGCCTCAAATTCATAGCTTTGCCAGAAAACCTGAAAGGTAAAAATGAGAACCTCTGTTTTTTGCTTGTATTACTTTGATCATCTCTGAAATCTGAAGGCTGCCCTTGTGTATCATAAGAAGTTGTCTGTAATTTTGTTTCTGTCATTTATATAGCTGTGATGGAAACGGATGGGTTTGATTATCTGAAGGAAAGCTGCCCGTGCTTACTAAGTGAGCTATTGGAGTATGTGGCTAGGCTGAGTGAGCACACTTTAACGTCATCGGGTCATCGAAAGGAGTTATTTGCTGATGGTTGTGACTTGAATGGGAGACGAGTGAAGCAGCGGTTGCATTAGGTAACTAACCCTGAGAGAGAGAGGTCACGTTTGAGATGATGATGGTGATGGGGTAAACAGAATTTTAGAAGAGTAAAGATTTGTGCATTTGTCATTGTAAAAGGATTAGTGGTTGATTTGTGTTGTCCAGCAATTAGAGTGGAATGTTTTTGTTTTTGTTCTTGTTCATGATTTTAGGACCAAAACCGCTCCTCTCAAAGTAAAGTTTCATGTGTCTCAAAGTGATAAGACTGAATTATTTAGCACTCAGTGGCGCAACAAAAACAGGCCAGACCAAGGAAACTACCAAGTAGCAAATTATAAGACAAAACTAAAGACAGTTTGGTCAGGTTGCAATTGCAGATTCTGATAAGGATCATCAAAAAACTCCTGAGATACAAATAAGATTCCTCGTCATAGGACCAGTGAACTTGAAATTTCACTTGAGAAGAACAAAAATTAATAGTACTCGACTTGACTAAGAACAAGAATCTTCAAGGACATATTAACCATTTGATATCTGAATGTTCTCAACTCGGAATTAGATTCCCTTTGTTTCCCCGTCGTATGTAATGTAAGTTCAATAAAAAGCTAAGCGTTCAAGTTGTAATATTGGGACAATTCTAAGGTAAAGAAAAGAGAGAGTATGAATCTGCAAACGAAGCTGTCCGGATTTCTCTAGTTTCCAAGACGAACTATGCAAACATTGTGGAATGTGACATATCTATAATGATAAATGGAAGAGTTCCTATCGACCTGATCAGCGATTGTCTACACCTCCCTTTAGAGCCAAGTTTGCCTGTGATCTGCACAAGTTATATAAAGGCGTAAACTGAATTAGGATGCATAGAGAAGAAACAAAATGGCATTGACTAAGAATGCGTAAATAAGATTAAAGATCAAATGATAGATACGGGACAGACAAACAAAGAGAGACAATCTGATAAGAGCACATGTAGGTTGTAATAGAAGAACACATACGACAGTACAAATCTACTGATGAGTAACCAACAACATCCTTAGTATCAACTAATGGACAGAATTACATACTGTATGCACCTCGACAGACATATTACAAGTTACATAAGCCAATTTGGCTACCTAGCAGTCTAGCACCACTTATATCACTAGCACTATATATGTAAGAAATCCAGACTCTCCAGCAAAAGAGATTGGAAAGAAAATAACCGATATTTGCAGCAAAGATGGAGTTTCTCATCCCTAAACTAGACCAGAGGCTACTATCCATTGACCATCATTTTAAACAACACGGAGACATGACAATGTCCTCAATAGAGTTTAGATCTTGAAAGGAACATGTTTTCTAATTTGAACAATCTAAATGGCAGAGGAATCATATAATCCATTATCAAATTCCAACTTTCCTTTACATCTGACTCGCCAGTACTTTTCCCCTGAATTTCGATTCTACTATATTGAAAAACTTCAGTAATCAAGCGGATATGGTAATACAGATCACCAGATGAATAATTACTACACCAACCATCACGTTCATTTTGATTCCCTTTCATTTCTCACTTAAAAAATATTCAAATCAGCTCCAATTCGCTAGCAAATTTGATCAGCACAACCATGCAACCTTATAAAAACTACTACTTTACCAAGACACTCACAATTCAATCATCATGATTCATTATCAAAATGCCTAAGAGAAAAGCAACTATTATCAAGCAAACGCAAATACTCAAAGAAACTGAATCAACAATGATCAAACTTTGCAGCCATTGCAAGAAGTTCCTAAATTTGAGTTCAGGCAAACGGAAATTGAAATTCGAATAGGCAATGAGGAGGAGAAACTGACTTACTTTTTATGACGCCGGCCTCGTTTAGGTCCCCAACCTTGGAGCTTAGCGACGGGGCAGCCGCATCTAGATCGGAAAAGTAAAACGGCACGGCCATTAGGCGGAGCCATCCTCCTCAGCTCAGCCCTCAAACATTCATAATCAGGATTGCTCTCGCTGCCTCCTTTCCAGGGCAAACGATCGATCTCTTTACTTGCTCCCGATTTAACGCATTCCTCTGTCTGTAGCTGCAAATCAAACTCCATCGCCTTCTTCAACCCCTTGCACTTCGGGTTCTGGCATTTCCTCGATCTCGGCCCGCAGCACAGGTCGAGGAACGCAATCGACGCGGCGAAGAAGATGGCGAAGGCGAAGAAGACGGACGCCGGAGGGAATGGGGATGGATCTTCCTCATTTTGATCGGAGAAGATCAAGGGGATAAGGGAGGAGAGGGAAGGGAAGTGGGAGGAGAGGAGGGAGAAGGAGTGGAATAGGTAGGAGAAGTAGGAGGAGAGGAGGAAAGCGCCGGAGAAGAGGACGAGGATGAGGATTAGGAGGTCGAGAGTCGCGGAGGGGGAGTGTTTGCAGGGGTGAAGGGAGGAGGAGGAGGAGGAGGAGGAAGAGGAGGAGGAGCTGTGATTGGAGGCGGATCTAGAGGCGGCGTGGGAAGGGGGCATGCTGGTGGGAGAATCTTCGTCGGAGAGAAGGAGGAGATGGAGCATGTTAGGAGGAGGACGACGGTGGCTCCTTTACATATAAGCCTCGTTGTATCTATACATTTTTGTTATTTTAACCAATTTTGAATTTTTTAAAGAGATAGCGAAATAAATAAATAAATGGAAAACTGTAACCGGGAGAGAGATTTCTCAAAAGTTATTAACTACTGGAAATATCATACGTAGTTAAGCTGCATTTATGTTCTTCCGTTACTCCATCTTAGCCAAAACAAAAATTGATTGGATTGAAAGTTAATTGTAAATCTATTAACATTTCTTATGTATTTTAAATCATACAAAACTATTTAAATTTAATAATTGTATAAGAAATGATGAAAATGTATGTTTTATAAAAATGTTGTCACGATATGTATATTTTTATTTTATTTTATTTTTATCAAATGTATGTTTTTGCTTTCTACCTAAGAAAATAAAAACTAGTAAATGTGCACTATTTAAAAATGATGTCTTCAAACAAAACTTCTTTTTTTGTTAAAAGTCTTTTATTTCAAACAAAATTTCTTCTTATCCGTTTTCGTTTTCCATTTAACGTTTTCCATATTTAAATAGATTTCGTCTTAATAAAGTGTTCGTGTGTGAAAATTCTAGCTCTCGAAAGAACATCCGACTGACAAACGGTATCTACTCATTTCAACAAATCATTCATGTGTTTGTTTTGATTGGCTTGTTTTCAAATTTTCATGACTAACAAATGAGTATTCTCATAACTAGCAACCAAAATATGAGGTTAAGCTTTATTTAGAAAAAAAAATAAAGGTTGCCTATTTCAAGTGATAATTAATATGTTATTCATTTATGGTGATAGGAAAATGATCAAATATGTGTAATTGTTATGTGTGTTTTCGGAAAGAGTGCAATTTTTGTGTTGGTGTGAGTTAAGCCATCTCTGTCATGATTCAAGAGAATAACGTTATAGCATATGGGTTGTCTTTGTCTATAGCAAAAAAGTTTACACACCTCATTGTCATATGAATTATACAATTTGTTGACAAGATAGGAAAGTCTAAGAGCAAATGAGAGTTGTAACTGTTTCTATGTAAAACATTGTCAAAGTAAAATATATATGAGAATAGTTGCTACTTGTAGAGTTACAGTCATACAAAGAAGAAATATGTGGTTTCTCTGGATAACATGAATGATTCTGTTTAATGTATAACTTTAAATTTATTTACATAGCACTCATAAACATAATGGTTCACTATAAACAGAAACACATTTCCAACATCCAAGGTCTATAAGTTCAAGTTTCATTACAAGACTTAATCTTGACAAGAACTACATTCATAACCATTACCATTACCCAAACCAATACCATTACAAGAGCATACTCACTTAATCCTCACAATGAGGTGTGTAAACTTTTTGCTATACACAAGAGCATACACACCTCATACACCGGACTACATAGTTGAGCCCCTAAATCCTCACATGCTTTGAGCCTTTGATACGCCCTTCTAGTAGAACTCGCGATCCGGAAGGATGAGCGGTGCGATGAGTGTCCAGATGTAAAGTCCAGCCGTGACCCAACCGGTGCATATCTTGACCCAAACCGAGGTCCATCCCACATCAATCAGAGACGCACTCTCTGTCGAGTCGGTCCATCCTGAGAGCAGCATCGCCGCGTACATGCTCGCTAGCGCAAATATTATATGGAAGAAAGAGTATGAGTAACTCACAGGCTTTCCCTCTCCTTCACCATCTTTCCCTTTCCCGTCCTCTAACAACGCCTCCTTCCCACCTGCTCTCGGAGAAGACGGTGGCGAGAGGAACGTAGTGGAAGAGCCAGCTCGGAGAGCAGAGTAGAGAACAGAGAGAACCGTAGTGAGCATTCCGAGTATCAGAGTACTAGCAGTCACCGCCTTGGATCTGTTAAGTCCGTTGCAGACATAGTCATGCGGTTCGCTAGAGAGACCGGTGTAACAGACATAAGCACAGTAAACCGATATAACAGACGCCGGTAAGAGGCTGCCGTTCACGGCGGGATGTAAAGCGACGATGGCGAAAACAAAGGCGAGGATCATCGTCATGACGATGAAGAACACGTTTAGTCCACAGTCTTGACCAGATGGGTTGAACCAGATGAACAGGATTCCTGAGAAGGCGTATGTCGCAAGGTAGCACACGATTGATATCACTAGCAGAGCCACGTACCATTTTCTTTCGTCCTTCTCGACCAATGAGTCGTTCAAATTGTGTGTAGCGTCTAACAACAAGACCACTTGAACCAACAGAAATGCTCCGGCGCCAAATTTTGATAATGTTTCTGAAAGAATGTGCAAGCACAGAGATTTAACCGCATATATAGAATTATGAGGAGGTTAAAAAAAATGAAAACTTTACCGTAGATTGAGACGATGACATTTGGAACAAAGAACATGAGGACAACAAGCAAAGCCCAGGCGATCATCTTCACACCCCAACCACCGTGGTGCCACGAGTCACGCCTGTCGTTTTGGTCTTTGACACCAATCATGATGAGAGCATAGATCGCAAAGAAGAGGAAATTCCCAAAGCTCACACGAAGAACGGCTTGTTGCTGATACCATTCTTTGGTGTATGTATCCGAAGTGTTTATCCCTGTTTGTTAACCAAGATCCAAAAACAGAGTTTTTTGTTTTCAATACTCAAAAGTCTTGACTTATATAAAACAGGTATAAAATGAAGACTAAGCAGACACAGACTGAATTTTATGAAACTCTAATCAAATGATGAATATGTTGCAGCCACAAAGGAACCAAATTTTCAATGACCCAATAGAAAAATTCCGGAAAAAAAACAGAGCTTGATGATTTAAAATTCACACCTTTACGCTATGGCTCATGTCTCACTATTCAAAACTTCTAAATTAAAACCGAGATCGGAATCAAGAGGCTTAAAGGAGGAACGTTTCAAGCGAAGCCAAGATACAATTTCAATTGAAAAGATCAGAGAAAACCCAATTTCGTAATTTGATGGTTTCCAATTCCAATCGAATTATCTCTTCAGATCGAATTTCTTTCTATTTTTATTGACGGAGGATGAAGAGAAAAGAGTATGGATCAGAGAACGTACACGGGAGTTTCTGGAGAAGTGGAGCACCAGTCTCGCGAAGGATCCAGGAGACGACGAGGGAGGCACCGAAGAGACCACAATAAGCAATCCTCGCAGATTTCCTCGTAATACCCGAAGCCACCAACGAGCACAACCCACATGTCGCCGACGCACAGCAATAAGCCAAGCAAGACATAGTTTTCTCTTGTGAATAATCTGAGAGAATTTTTTGTGTTCGATTTTATTGGTCTGGCTTGATAATCTTCTTCCTCTGTTGTTGCTTGTGTGTCCAAGCAAGAAAAGACATAAAACATTTCGAGAAACTATTCAATCTGTACTTAAACAAATTAAAATTATCATTTTAATCCATTTGTTTTTGTTACCCGGTTGAAACATTAGCCGGGACGGGCTGGGATTAAAACCGGTTCAAAATAAACGAACCGAGAGTAGACTCGGATCCAAATGTTACCGGTCAAAACTAGAAGACCCTTCCACTATATTACTTTATCGCCATGATGTTATAAGCATCATACATGGATTACCTTTTTGGTAACATACAATCTTAGTAATTTAGACATAAATTATTATTATATACATATACGTATAGTTCGAATTAACCAACCAGAAATAAATGCATAAACCTTTGGAGAAATAAGTTTTCCCCGAATTGTTTTTCTTGTAAACGTTTTGCTCAAATAGGTATCAGTTTGTTCGTAAGTATTACATATGTAATTCTTTTGTAAAAAAAATGTAGATTATCTTTGATAATACTGTGTGTAATAAAATATTGGTTCATAAGTTTTTGTAGCGAGTTGTTGGGCAATCGCGTTTACACGGTGTATTGAAGCATTATTCAATATCAGTAAAAGACTTGAAGAACAACATTTACAAAAAACTGTAGGGAAATCTTGTGCCCATGAAAATGTAAAACTTTATATTACTTATGAATCTTGATGTTTTAAAAATATATATTCTTGTGATAATTAAGTTTTTTTTTCTAATTTGTAGCCTGTGATAGAGACGGTTGACGATGTTGTTGTCATCGACACGGTTGATGTGGTGGAACTTGCAAGGTTGGTCCAAAGGCTTTGTATTAGCTTACTGCTTCTGGTTTATTTGCGCGTGAATAGAGAGAGTCATATAAAACTAGAACAAATATCTAGCAGACACCATGAAGTATTAAATCCACAGCATTCCTTGAAATTCACACACCATATCTTCTTTTCTTTTTTACAACATTCACACACCACGTCTAAGGAGACAATTATCACGAATCTTGGCCCTATTCCTTATCACTCGTCTAATTTAGCCTAATCTTGCTGTGTTCCGAAAATGTTCATGTATGTAGTAGATTTTTTTTTGTGGTAAAAGTATGTAGTAGATTTGAAGTACTATCTATACACCACGACCAACCATCTTTAGTTTCAATGAGACAGCCTTCTTTTGTACGATGAGTCATGAGCATTTCAGATTGTAAGTTGTTGTCACCAATTCTTCACAACTTTAGCATGTGTACGATGATGAGTCATGAGCACTTCATATTGTAAGCAAGAAAATATAGAAAACATTTATTTATTACAACAAGAAAATCTACCTAACAAATTAAAATTATCATTTTAATCCATTTATTACCCGGTTGAAATTAAAACCGGTTCAAGGAAACCGATATTAGACTCGGATCAACTGTTACCGGATAAAATAACGGCTCTGGGCCGGAGACTCATAAATCCGGAAAGGAATGATGGAGGCGACGAAGAGAGAAAGGCGGAGGAAAAATGACGACCGAGAAAAAAGCAGCAATCACGAAGCTTCTCCGGAACCGGAATTGCCCAGCCTTCCTGAAGAGGTATTCACTGAAATTCTTCTTCGATCACCAGCCAGATCAGTAGGGCGATTCAGGTGTGTCTCCAAGGCTTTTTGCTCTCTCTTGTCACATCCAAAGTTTGCGAAGAGTCACCTCGATCTAATCCTCCGAAACGATGCAGTGAAATCTCGGAATCGGAGACTTATCCTTTCGTTGAATAATCTATTCGCGGTGGATCTCGATTCGATCGGCGATGGCGGTGAAGGAACGAGCGATTTGACTGCTGTGGAGCTCGATTACCCGTTTAAAGAAGATCTGGATCTCTTATCCGAAACGAGAAGCGAAACTATCAAATTCAGGCTTTGGGGTGGAACGGAGATGACTTTTGACTCCGATTCGGATCCGCCTAAAAGAAGCTGGGTTGATATCGCCGGATCTTCGAACGGGTTGGTTTGTATCTCTTCGGATGAAGACATTGTCTTCTTGTTTAACCCAACCACCGGAGAATCTAAGAGGATACCGGAATCACCTGAATCTCTTAGCTCAAAATATGTAGACGAGGAGCTAGTGGAAATCGAGATACTTGGTTTTGGCTTCGATGATTTAACCGATGATTACAAAGTGGTCAAGTTTGTTGCTAGTAACGACGGTGATCTCAACGCTTATGTCTACTCTCTCAGGAGAGACTCGTGGAGGCGGATCTCTGATATGCGTTATCGCCACGTGCATCCCAATTCCGGTGTGCATTTAAACGGAGCGGTTCACTGGATTGTCAAACTTGAAGAAGGTCAAAACAAGAGAGTAATTGCGGCGTTTGATCTTGAGACAGAGAAGTTCAGGGAGATGTCATTGCCTGGTGAGGCAGGGGATTGTGACCATATGTTCATGAAGCTTGAGGTAGGGATTCTCAGAGAATGTCTCTGTGTGGTTTACAGTTGCTATGAGATGCATGATGTTATGTGGGTGATGAACAAGTATGGTCTCGAGAGTTATTGGAGTAAGATTCGAATCAGCATGTCGTACATATCCTTGAAACCGCTCTATTCGACGGAGAATGATCATGAGGAGGTTCTTTTAGTGCTTGATATGAACTTGGTCTTGTACAACTTTAAGTGGAATACATTGAGGAATCTGGAAATCCAAGGTGTTGATCTCGGAGTGGAATTTGAGGCCAGTATGTACGTAGAGAGCATCATATCACCAAACTCTTATGGTATAGAGAGCTGAAGAAATACTTACTATGTTCAATCAACATTGTTTACACCAAAATGAAAGATTTTTTATGCTTTGTTTTAATCGCAAGACTTTGGGTAGCTTTGGAAGTTAATGTCACATGTTACCACATAGGCTTTTCAGAACAATTACTCAAGATCAGAACGGTAGCTCATCTTAACTGTTCAATCTTACCAGTTAATATTCTCTTGCTTTCTCCACAAAATTTATATTTGGTAGTACATGTTAATTTCACTATTATGTGCGCAAATTCTCTACATTAATCCACACTCACTGTAGTATTTTCACTGTAATCCACACTCAGACAATTATTCCTTTTCTGTCAACCAAACTTAAGTATCATTACGAATAGGTACATCTTGCTTCGATCTATTTAGCAAAAATATATGAATTGGATTTGATTTGATATTGGATAATTACTTTTCTGAAGCAATTTGTTTATTTATTTTATTTTTTTTGGTGAAAGCAATTTGTTTCCTTTTCAAGTACTCCGCCGTGTCCTCCTTTTTACGATCACATATTTTTGACAAGCAAATCTTTTTTATTTAATCCCCAAATGAAAAGATTTATTATTGATTATCTCCTGCAGAGAAATAGGAGCGGCGGTGCGCGGCAGCGACAAAACAAAACAAATGCATGTGACACCAATCACCACACACCCATACACGACGGATTAAATGCGTAACCGAAATGACAAAAACAACCCTAACGCCACACCGACGCGACTTCTTAAACCACACATGTCGCTCCTCAATTATTCAGCGTGATCATCGGTCTGGGGTCATGGTAAATCCAGTTGAACAGCAAGGATGTGATCGTCCAGACATAAGATTGTCTTTTCTCCCTCTCTGCTGCCTCCATTAAAAGCTTTTCTGGCTGCACTTTGTCCTAAATTTTCCTGGAGATCACTTTTAGCTGTTTTTCTTTATTTTTTCACTCAATTGACTGTATATATGATTATTAGTTTCCTTTTACTCTCTTTTCCGAATATAGGGAGGATTTTTAAGTTCTAGTGAATCTAGGAGTTTCGAACTGCAAAACCTATTAGGAGAAGGAATTTTTTTTGCTTTTGTTGTTCTGTTTAAAGAAAGAAACTCGTGGATTGTGAATCATTCGTCATCATCATCATCGACGAGTTCAGCTACATTCGCACAGACGATAAAGTATACATCATTGAAGCATTTAGAGTAAGTTTAATTTTAAAGTGGAGGTTTTTTTGACTTTTTAGTTCTTCGGTAGAGAGAATCTAAAAGCGTAATGCTTTACTAAAAAAAAAAACTCATCTTGGAAATTGGCTTGTCGTCAAATTGATTTCTAGTTTTTCCTACTTTCGTCTGGTTTCTCAAATCTTTTGTTTTGTTTTAGTTTTAAATTTCTCAGGTTTTTACTCACTTTTAATTGTCGTTTCTGCCGGTTTTTTCAGATGCCGGAGAAAGGAGCGATTCCATCTCCGGCGCCGAGTCAACTGTTGATTCTACGGCCGAGCCCTCTACTTCAATGGCGTCTCGGTGCTCTTACTGCACTCATCTTCTTCCTCATGTTGGTCGTCTGGAACATCGACAGTTGCTCGATCCAAAGCTTCGTCCAGCCATGGAGATTCAATACCTACTCTGTTCGAGTCACTCTCTCTCCATCTCCTTCGCCTTCACTGTCGCCGAAACCTCATCTAGAATCCGATAAACCCCACCGACAAAATCTCACTCTGAACACGACGACGGGTCCACGAAATCCGGATCCGACCCGGGTTCAAGTTGGGTGGATTGCCGCCGAATCGGAGAAGAATTTCACGGCGAATCTGATGAGAAACTGGCTGGCTCCAGGAGGAGCACCGTGCAGAGAAGCGAAGACCGTCGAGATCTCCGTTCCCGCCATCGACGGGACTGATTCAGTAGAGCTAACCGCCGGCGAGATCCACGAATTCAAATTCCAAGCCTTGGACGAATCTAGAAACCCGGTTTGCATCGGCGGGGACTATTTCGAGACTGATTTATCCGGCGAGAACTGGAAATCGAGGCCGCCGGTGAAAGATTTCGGCGACGGAAGTTACTCTTTCTCGTTACAGGTCCATCCAGAGTTCGCCGGAGAATACAACCTCACCGTCATTTTACTCTTCCGCCACTACCAAGGCCTGAAAATCAGCACCGCACGCTTAGGCTTCGACCGAAAGCTCCGCAACGTCCGATTACGTTTCCTCAACAAGCCTCACATTCTTCTCCCGGAGCTCAAATCATGTCAAAAATCCGATTTCACACGAGACGCATGGTCCGGGCGATGGACCAGGCTCGGGAGAAACGACGACTGCCAGATCAGCAACGACGGGCGTTACCGGTGCCTCGCCGCGGATTTCCCTTGCCGGAAACCGTGGTGCGACGGAGCGGTTGGAGCTATAGAGAGCAACGGTTGGGTTTACTCCACTCACTGCTCTTTCAAGCTCTTCTCCGGCGATTCCGCTTGGGATTGCTTGAAGAACAGATGGATCTTCTTCTGGGGAGACTCGAATCACGTCGATTCGATCAGAAACTTGCTCAATTTCGTCTTGGGACATCCGGAGATCCCAGCTGTGCCGAGGAGATTCGATTTGAAGTTTTCGAATCCGAAGAACTCGTCGGAGACGGTTAGGATCACGAGTATATTCAACGGTCATTGGAACGAGACGAAGAACTATCAGGGACTCGATTCGCTTAAAGACCGCGATTTTAGAGAATTGCTTGAAAAATACTTCTCCGAGAATCGCGTTCCCGACGCTATGGTCGTGAATTCGGGTCTACACGATGGGATCCACTGGTCGAATCTTAGGGCGTTTGTGAAAGGAGCTGAAACCGCGGCTGCGTTTTGGAGAGACGTTTTCGAGGGGGTTAAAAGGAGAGGGTTGAAACCGCCGGAAGTGGTTTTCAGAAACACGATCGCGACGGGCGGTTACGCGAGAACGCTAGCGTTTAACCCGAGCAAAATGGAGGCGTTTAATGGAGTGTTTCTTGAGAAGATGAGGGATGTGGGATTGGTGACAAGCGTGGTGGATAATTTCGATATGACGTATCCGTGGCATTATGATAACCGGTGCAGTGATGGAGTTCATTATGGTAGAACGCCGGCGAAAATGCGGTGGAGGGACGGTGAGATTGGACATCAGTATTTTGTGGATTTGATGCTTGTTCACGTCTTGCTAAATGCATTGTGTGCGAGATAGTGATCATACAAACTTTGGTTTAGGATTCTTTTCATTTTTTGGAGTATAGAATGATTATTATTTGGGAAGTCTCAACTGAAGCTTGAGTTTGTACTGTATGTATAATATAGCGAGACACTGGAGCAACAAATGTACTATTAACATTTTAATTTCGATTTTTTTTATATACTTCAATTGACCCATTGGAACAAGTTTTAAATATGGTCCAATATAAAGTGACTATTGAGGTAGCTGATGATTTAGTATAATTGTTCAAATTTGAAATATGGTCAGTACTTGGTTTATTTGGTCAAGGATGATATTTTCTATCTATTCATTAATTGTGTTCTTTGATTAAAAAACCAGCTTGATATATTCTTTACTAGCAGCTAGCAATGCTTACATTTGTTAATGTTTGGAACACATACTACTTCCTAGTTCAACCACTAGAACCAGAAGGACCTCCTCATGTTCATTCTTGGTTGAACAAATTGGTTTCGTGGATATGTAAGACATGCTGATCCGAATACATGATCTGGCTACGCGGTATTCGTTCATCACCCATTTATCCTTGTGTTTGTAGATCACAAAGACATGCCCCTACAGCAGCCGTAACTTCGTGACAAGCAAACATCCTCTCTATGAGCATTCGTTATTACATGATCTTAGAGTATAGTTTTGTTATTAAATTCATGTTTGTTTGAACAGTTTTTTTTTTTACATTTTGTTTGGCAATTTTCCCGAAATTAACAAAGGCGCAAGTAAGTGTGTCTTGCTGGGGGTTTTACACCCGAAAATCCACTAATCTCATACTATTTACAACAGTTACACCGAAACTTTGGTGTGGCTTTTGATCTCTCTGATAAAGTCAGAGTCTCTTGAATTCTCAGTATCTAAATAATGTACAAGATCTTCAGATATTCCTAAACCCTAATCTGTCCGGAGAAGAAAAGAGTGTCTGAGTAGCTGTGAAGCTGTCCATTAGCTCGCTTGGTTTCTTGCGTAAACAGCAATCAATGAAACTCTTCAACTCGTCAGACAGTCAGAGCGTTCCTCGGGGGCTTTCGGTGCTTCTCCAACGCTCACCGCTCGGTCAAACCTATTATCTTGATTTTCATTGACCGAAAAGTAAGTTAGATTCTAAAAACACAACAAAAATACAACGAATAAATCTATATTCGTACCTGAGTCTTCAAGTTATTCTCTTGAAGACTATTGGCTAGATTGTTCTGTTGCAGTCTCGACTCGGAAACTTATCGTACAATCCTTGGCTGAGGAAATATTTCCATCTAGCGAGTGTTCAGTATTCACCATCACCATCACCACCGTCATGATTCAGAAAAGCTTTCTTCAGTTGTATCAAATTGTGATACATCAGGTCTAAGAGAATGTTGGTTATTTTTTGTATGCTTCAACGGATCCGTTAATGTTGTGTTAACTTAGTTTGGCAGAGAAGAAAATAAATTAGGGGAGTCCCTCTCTACAACTAAACCCTAAATTGCAAAGCTCTAGACGCCAGATTCCAACTTAACCCTACATCACTCCAACAACCTAACATAGATAAACCAATGAGGAAGTTGCAAGAATTCAATGCAACATCAAACGCCAAGTTGATATGTTTGAAAAGATGAGAAACAAACAGAACAAGTTCACTCTCAATTATACATTAAAATGCAACATGACAACACAAACACAAACTCCTCTTCTGATTTTATTCCTTCTTGGAATAACTCATACTGATCCTCCTCCATTCTGCTTCACTTTCTTCTCTCTGGTAGCGTGAAAACAGAGAAAAAAGAAAACACAGATGAAGTTTTTTGTTTAATTTATTTTTGGTTATAAACAAATAAAAAACAGAAATAAACTGCAAAATAATTTTAAAAAACCAATTCATACCCATTGATAATAACGTTGATGCCGAACTTCCTGTGCTGCAAAATAGCTCTTCAACATTGGATACGCTTGCCAACAGTTGTAAATTTCTAGAGGTACACATAACCAAAATTAAATAGAAGCAAATCACGATAAAACCTCAAAACAATATATATATCTAAGGATAATCTTGAGATTACGCGAACAACAGTAAGCCGATAATCCAATAAGTATCGATGTGCCAGAGTGAAACGGCGCCCTAAACGGACTATTAATCTTAAAAAAATTAAAAACCGATTTCTTCGAACCGGCTCGCTTCAACTCTGCAATCGAAGAAACAATCACAAAATCCTTATTCAAATGTACATCAAAGATCCGAGGAAACACGCTCGATAGATATCATCCGGAATCAGAGAGAACGTTACCATTTTTACAGAGTGGACATACAGAGAAATTACGGCGAGACACGACCGGTAACGATTTGGCGGCGAGAGATCTCAGATTTAGCGGCATGATCGATAAATTAGGATATGCTTCTATGTTCAAAAGAGGGTAAAACACTAAAACACGTATGTATACTGTATGGTCTTTTCACTGAAAAACCCTAATATTAGTAGAAAAACCCTAATATTAATTGTTCTTTCAAGTATGCTAATATGGTTTAGCGGATTTCTTCTATTTTTGCATAGTCCTTTCCCATTAAATCCACTAAATCAAGTTAATGTTAATGTTTTGAAAGAACAATCCCGTAAACTTTATACTTGAACTCGAGAAATGTCGGTTACGTTCGGGTTTACTAATGGTTTACCGGATTTAATTGCAAACATAATTTAGAACGTTATCTCTGTGATTTTGCTTGTACTGCATTAGGTATATAACGTACTGATTCTGGTGTATGAAGATTCTGATCTTTGAAAATTGAAATGGTTAGTGCGGTAGTAACATATAAAACTAAAACAAATTTTACACGCATGAGTCTGCATGAAGGCCCGTAGCGTACGCATTATCGTATGACTAGAGATTTCTTCGAAGTAACATGCATCTCTTCTGCTTCCACGAAGTACCTCCTTGACTGAAAAAGGACAAGAGGATAAAGATGAAGTTTCTTTTGCGCCTAAAAAAAGAAAAGAAAAGTAATAGCAACAATGGTCATTGCCAGTAATCAAGCTCATGCAATGGGGGCTCTTGTTTATTTTCATCCCTTTTTAATTTTTCCTCGGCTTGTAATAAGTTTAACTTAGAAATTCTCGGAAATGGTATAAATTAGTCTGTAATTTTGCGTGTATACATAAATCTTTTGTGTTAGTGTACTGTTTCTAGTTGGTCTGCGCGTGAATAGAATCAACTATACAAGCAATACACTGTTCTTTGAAAGGGTTAGAGCTGTCGCAACATATAAAACTAATTTTTTTTTTACAGTAAGCTAGTGAATAGATGAGAGAGCAAAGAAAGCAAACTTTTATTTCGAGTCTAAAAGAAAAGTTTCCAGTTTACACAAAGACAAGGCACGAGAACGTACGTCCCAAGTTTTACACACACATAAAAAGAAAATAATGGGTTCCATCAAGGGATACTCGCATATCATAAACTACAATAACTACTATGAAACCGGAGGAATGACTAAACCTTTCTAATTCTACCCATAGCTAAGGCATGCGCCTCTGCATCTTTCGCGAAGGCCTCTCTTGACTGAAAAGGACAAGATGATAAAGATGAAGTTCTCTTTGAGCAAAAAAAAAAAGAAGGTAAAAGATGCTGTAATAATAACAATGGTAAAAAAATGTCATTCTTCATGATTTTTTTTTTACCTTTTCTTCCTTGTCCAGAAGATCCGCTACAACATCGCCATATACCATCGCACCTTAATACAAACAAAAAAGGAAAAAAAAAACAAATTTACAAGCTGATTAATTCGAGTAGTACAGAATAAAATCAAATATCTCAGTTTTTCTCATGCTCTCTCCATACCTATGTTAAATCCGAAATACACACTATAACTTTGAGTTAGGAGCCACACGACTCTCCCCACTGGTCCCTCCGAGTAACTTCCATCCATTGCACCCTCTTCTGCTGCTGCCTTGGACACTGCACTCAAGAGAAAGAGAAAAACAAAAAAAAACAATCAAGAGATTTTCATTCTTGTGTTTTGCCCTAGGAATACAAATACATTGAAACCCATTTAGATATCATCCGGAATCATAGACCGTTACGTACCATTTCTGCTGCTACGATCTATTGGGAAACTACGGCTAGACCTGATCGATGACGACTTTCGATGTACCTGTCCAATAGCAGCGGTATTTGAGGGGAGAGGAAGGATATTCATAATCACGTTTTCGATATGTACCTGCGCGGCGATGGATCCAAGATTCCGCTGCATGGTCGAAAATTAGGCTTTTGCTATGTTCCGATACGCAGGAGGAGAAAACGGACCTTTTGCCGATCTACTTCTCCGGCAATTTCTCCGATCGGACCCAAAAAATCAAGATGGAATAATATACTGTATGGTCTTGGTTAAACGGGCCTGCATCTTCTGTTATCTCTGATGGGCCCAAGCCCCCTAATTTCTACAATCCCGTTATTATTATTAAATTACTCTCAACCATATGGAATCTCTTTTTCCGTTTAAGGTTTGTGTAGCTGACAAGAATGAATCAAAAAGTAAGGGGTGCAAGGAGCATAATGCAGCAATTCATCATTTCAATTTGGGTCAGATATATAATCTTTTTCATTGTAAAGCCTAATATTAGTAGAAAAAGGAGATACAGTCGTAAACCAAAAGGGTGATTAAAGTTTCCCAAACTTCATAATGGTGCAAGTTCAAAAGCAAAGTGAGTTTTAAATGTATTTGTTTGTTTTTGCAAAGAGGAAGAGGAAGCGAGGTATATAATATCAACTTGTTCAAGAGAAACGACCAAGTATTTGTCGGTGTCCTTGATTCTTGGCTTATTGTCGATCCACATACCAAATTTACAATTTCCTTCACCACATGATTATAATCGATTTCCAAATATTTTGGATAAGTATTCTTAGATTTTATTTCATGGCTTAATATGTGAAACATGACCAAGTTGGTGTAGATCACCATGATGAAATCACTAAAACAAGTATGGACATCTAGCTATCTCACTTCGATTCTTTCTTTTCGTTGGGTCTATAAATTTTATAACCTAACTGAATTTTATTTTTTTTAACTTAGTTTGGCAGAGAAGAAAATAAATTAGGTTGTCCCTCTCTACAACTAAAACCCTAAATTGCAAAGCTCTAGACGCAAGATTCCAACTTAACCCTATAGAACTCCAACAACCTAACATAGATAAATCAATAAGGAAGTTGAAAGAAATCAATGCAACATCAAACGCCAAGTTTATACGTTTGAAAAGATGAGAAACAAAAACAGAACAAGTTCACTGTCAGTTGTACATTAAAATGCAACATGACAAAACAAACACAAACTCCTCTTCTGATTTTATTCCTTGGCACGACTGGACCTGTTCCCCAATGATGCTAAAGTTTCCTCTGTCTGATAGCATGAAATCAGACAAGAGCACACAGATGAAGATTTTTGTTGAACTTATTTTTGGTTATAAACAAAAAAAAAAAAAACCAATTCATACCCATTGACAATATATTTGCTTCCGAACTTTCTGAGCTGCAAAATTGCTCTTCAACATTGGATACGCTTGCCAACAGTTGTAAATTTCTAGAGGTACACAAAAACAAAATTTAAATAGAAGCAAATCACGATAAAACCTGAAAACAATATACATTTATATATATAAGGATAATCGTGAGATTACGCGGACAGCAGTAAGCCGAGAATCCAATCAGTATCGATGTGCCAGAGTGAAACGGTGCCCTAAACGGTCTCTTCTTAAAAAAATTAAAAACCGATTTCTTCGAACCGGCTCGCTTCAACTCTGCAATCGAAGAAATAATCACAAAATCCTTATTCAAATGTTCATCAAAGATCCGAGGAAACACGCTCGATAGATATCATCCGGAATCAGAGAGAACGTTACCATTTTTGCAGAGTGGACATACAGAAAAATTACGGATCGGTAACGATTTGGCGGCGAGGGATCTCAGATTTAGCGGCATGATCGAAAATTAGGATATGCTTCTATGTCCAAAAGAGGGTAAAACACGTATATGGTTTCACTGAAAACCCTAATATTAATTGTTCTTTCAAGTATACCAATGGTTTAGCGGATTTCTTCTATTATTGCATAGTGTCCTTTTCCCATTAAATCCGCTAAATCAAGTTAATGTTAATGTTTTGAAAGAACAATCCCGTAACTTTTAAAGAATACTTGAACTCGCGAAATGTCGGTTTACGTTAGGGTTTACTAGCTAATGGTTTACCGGATTTAATTGCAAACTTAATTTAGAACGTCATCTCTGAAATTTTGCTTGTACTGTATTAGGTATATATAACGTACTGATTCTGGTGCATGAAGATTCGGATCTTTGAAAATTGAAAGGGTTAGTGCGGTAGCAACATATAAAACTAAAACAAATTTTACACCCATGAGTCTGCATGAAGGCTTGTAATAAGTTTTAACTTAGAAATTCTCGGAAATGGTATAAATTAGTCTGTAATTTTGCGTGTATATATGCATAAATCTTTGTGTTAGTGTACTGATTCTAGTTGGTCTGCATGCGCGTGAATAGAATCAACTATACAAGCAGAGCCGGCCCGGACCTAAGGCTCGTAAAGCGGCTGCTTTAGGCGCCAAAATAATATCAACTTTTAGGGGCGCCAAAATCTGTAATATTTGTAGTAGTGTAGTTGTTGTATCTCCCGAAATGTAAAACAAGGTGAGCAGTTCGAGACTTTTGTGTAACATATTTTGTTCATTTAATTAAAACCGAATTTTTTAATAGACCTATTTTTATTTTTGGCTTTAGGCGCAAAATTGGGTCAGGCCGGCAATACAAGCAATACACTGTTCTTTGAAAGGGTTAGACCTGTCGCAACATATAAAACTAATTTTTTTTTACAGTAAGCTAGTGATGAATAGATGAGAGAGCAAAGAAAGCAAACTTTTATTTCGAGTGTAAAAGAAAAGTTTCCAGTTTACACAAAGACAAGGCACGAGAACGTACGTCCCAAGTTTTACACACACATAAACAGAAAATAATGGGTTCCATCAAGGGATGCTCGCATATCATAAACTACAATGAAACCGGAGGACTAGTCCAGAATGACTAAACCTTTCTTGATTCTTCTCATACATAAGGCAAACGTCTCTGCATCTTCCGCGAAGTCCTTTTTTGCCTGAAAAGGACAAGATGATAAAGATGATGTTCCTCTTTGAGTAAAAAAAAAAAAGATAAAAGATGCAGTAATAACAATGGTCACAAAATGTCATTCTTCTTGATTTTGTTTTTTTAACCTTTTCTTCCTTCTCCATAAGGTCCGCTACAACATCGCCCAATAAAATCCCACCTTAATACAAACAAAAAGGGAAAAAAACAAATTACAAGCTGATTAATTCGAGTAGTAGAGAATAAAATCAAATATCTCTCTGTTTTTCTCATGCTCTCTCCATACCTATGTTAAATCCGAAATACACACTATAACTTTGAGTTAGGAGCCACACGACTCTCCCCACTGGTCCCTCCGAGTAACATTCATCCACTGCACCCTCTTCTGCTGCTACCTTGGACACTGCACTCAAGAGAAATAGAAGACAAAAAAAACAATCAGAGATTTTATTTCTTGTGTTTTCCCCTACGACTACGAATACAAATACATATAACGTTACCATTTATGCGGCTACGATCTATTGGAAAACTAGGGCGAGACCTGGTCGATGAAGATTTTCGACGTACCTATCCAATAGCAGCGAGAACATATCGCAGAGAGAATTGAGGGGAAAGAAAGGATATTCATAATCACGTTTTCGAAATATACCTGCGCGGCGATGGATAGAAGATTAAGAGTCCGCTGCATGGTCGAAAATTAGGCTTTGCTATGTTGTGTTCGGATACGCAGGAGGAGAAAACGGACCTCTTTGCCGATCGACTTCTCCGCTCGGACCCAAAAAAATCAAGATGGAGATGGTTGGTTCTTCCTTGTATCAACGAAAATCTCGTCGCCGAGTGTATCAGGTAGAGATTTTATGGTTTGTTGATTCTCTAAAATGATATCAGAAAATATGAAGGTTGTTAGTTTTTAGGAATCTAGGCTCAAGCCACCTAACCTGGTTTGATTTGGTTTCTCTCGATTAGACCTCTATTTTATTGATTTTTTATCTGAAGAAAAAAATATATACTGTATGGTCTTGGTTAAACGGGCCTGCATCTTCTGTTATCTCTGATGGGCCCAAGCCCCCTAATTTCTACAATCCCGTTATTATTAATTACTCTAACCATATGGAGTCTCTTTTTCCGATTAAGGTTTGTGTAGCTGACAAGAATGAATCAAAAAGTAAGGGGTGCAAGGAGCATAATGCAGCAATTCATCATTTCAATTTGGGTCAGATATATAGTCTTTTTTTCATTTTGAAGCCTAATATTAGTAGAAAGAGGAGATAGTCGTAAACCAAAAGGGTGATTAAAGTCTCCTTACTTCATAGTGGTGGAAGTTCAAGCAAAGTGTGTTTTAAATGTATTGTTTTTCTTTTTGCAAAGAGGAAGAGGAAGCGAGGTATATAATATTACATCAACTTGTTCAAGAGAAACGACGAAGTATTTGTCGGTGTCCTTGATTCTTGGCTTATTGTCGACCCACATAACAATTTTACAATTTCCTTCACCACATGATTATAATCGATTTCCAAATATTTTGGATAAGTATTCTTAGATTTTATTTCATGGCTTAATATGTGAAACATGACCACTTAAACTTGGTCTAGATCAACTTGATGAAATCACTAAAACAAGTACGGACATCTAGCTATCTAATTTAATCTGGTTAAAATTCTTCGATCCTTTCTTTTCGTTTGGTCTATAAATTTTATAACCTAGCTGAAAAAGTTTTTTTCTTTTGTTTTATGCAGTTTGATTCAAATTTGTGTGTGGTTGGGTTCAATTTTGGTATATTTTTGTGTGGTATACAAAAATTTATCACTTCTTATCAATCCAATATTAATTTAATATATATTTTCCAAGAATCTAAGTTTGTTGGGTGTACAATCATCACTAGTAAACCGAAACTGTTTGTTTTTCTTCTTATTTCAGATAAGTCGTGTATAAATTATAAACAATACAAAAATCCAATATACCCACTTGTGAGCCATAAAAGAAAGTGAGTGAGTACACAAAAATGGATATGAAAACATCAAAAATGAAGTTCACAAAAGAGATGATAGAGTCTATCAAAGACAAGCTCCCAAGGCTCAGCCTTCTCCTCCTCTTTCTCCGACAATGCTACGGTGGTTGCGGCGACCGGACCCACTTACTCCCTTGCTCCATCACCAATGGCTCCACCCGCTTCTGGAACCTCTCGGACCGTCCCGTGGAGCTCCAGATTCGAGTCGGGTCGATCCTAAAAAGGGTCCACATTCTCAAACCCGGCCGTTCCAAGAAGCTAAGACACAGTAACATCCACAGAGCCTTTGTGCCTGACCAAGAAGGACGCAGATGGTTGTACTACGACGACACATGTCTACCGTACGTATGGGTTCACGAGACCGGTACGGACTTGTCAAAGATGGTGAAGCAACAGTACGTGAGTCTCGAGGATCTGAGGGATTGCTCGGAGATTAGGGTTTTTAAGGATTTACATAGAGGTTGTGTATCTGTGGAGAAGAGAGACAGAGCCTCTGCTTTGTGTTGATTCTTTTTTTCATTCTTATGCTTCAGTTTCTGATTTTCTCATGGTGAAATTTATCATTGTTGGTTAGCTCATCAAAATATATATTATTATAATATATGATGCATGTTACTATAGTTTTTCGTTGAAACTAAACAAACGTTTTTTTATATTGTTTTGTCTAAATAGAGATGAAATTAAACAAAGTTTCTTATAGTGAAGACAGTTCCTGGAGATTTCTTTCGTCTTCTTTCTTGTTGAGAAACAAAATATTAGAGAGATCTTATCTTTACACATTTCTCAATGATCAATAATGTGTTTGTGTTTCTATCGAGTGGAGAAAAGCAACAAAACCCAGTGAGGTGCTTTGATGGCAGGCAAAATAATGACTTTCCTCGAGACCTCAGATCCTCTCCACTTTGGTAGAGCACTAGTAAATTATTTCAACTGTATCATAATATATTATCCAATTTCCAATATATTGATGCAATAGACCTTCGGTGAAAGCTCATGAAACAATGAGAGGAACTTTTAAGCATGATAACTGATGAGATTTTATATGAAAATTTTAAAATTGATGCATGAGAGATGGAATGGTAGACTTGGATGTATCTCTATCTTGTACACTTGTAGAGCTGACTTTCGAGGAGCATCAGTTAGCTAGGCACGTTAAGTGAGATACTGAGATTAGGTGGGAAATTTTTGAAAGTCAAAAGTTATGAAAATCAGAGACAACCTACTTCAACCTCAACTTTATAGTTGGACCATGCTTCAAATTTGTTCCAATGGGACAATTTTACTAAAAATATATCGAAATTCTTATTATAAGAAAAATGTTAGAGAACACATTTGTTGCTCCAATCTTTCGCTATATTATACATACAATACAAACTCAAGCTTCAGTTAAGTTTTCCCAAATAATAATTACTCTATACTCCAAAAAATAAAAATGAAAGTCTCTCTACAACTATACACATAAATAAATAACCATTGACTCTTATCTCACACACAAAGCATTTAGCAAGACGTGAACAAAGGCCCTGCGATTCGACCAGTGGATCCCATCGTGTAGACCCGAATTCACGACCATGGAGACTTTGGTATTTGCAGAGCTTCAAATAGAGTTAAAAACATAGGTGAAGTGGAAGAAGAAGATGAACATTTTGTTCTGCTTTTTGCCTATTAGGCTATCAATTTAAAAGATACATTGAAGAAAAAGCTGCTGGAGGAAAAAGAATGTTTCCCACTCAAGTTAGGCTTTACATAAAAGAAAAGTTCCTTTGAAAAAAAGGTGTATTCATTATTTTGGAAGAATGTTCAAACTTTTGAAATGAGAAAAGTCTAAATTTGATCTGTTATTGTTGGTCGCAAGTTCTAAACTCAACAAAACTAGATGATATTATCATATTTACTAATAGTCAATGTATAATCAAAAATGTTAATAGTTCTGTCAGTTTGATATATCTAAGAGTAATTCGATTTATCTTATGCTAATTAAGACAAAACATATGTATTTCAGAATTTTTGAGATGTAAAGAATAATGGTAAGAAAAATTACGGATTTAAACTTTTCAGTAAACAAAACTTTTATGTCGTCTTTTGTAATGTATCCATCAGTCTCGTTCTATATAGCTATCATTACCATCATGAATCTTCTTACTGCCCAGTCAAACCTATATCTTGATTTAAGCCAAGAAAAACACTTTTTTTGTCAGTTCACTTACGATGATTTAAGAATTAAAGACAATGCAATGCACGAGCCATTTGCAACATTAATGAATGACAATAATACTTTCTGCGGTATTCAATACATAAAATATCATTTAATTGACTAAAATGAAATGGGGAAAATGTTATCAACGGTGACGTCCATGAGAATTACTACCTTTTATAGTCCGAAACGTACAATAATGCACTTTCCCAAAATATGAACCTGAAAAACGAATCCAAAGTAAAAGATGGTAGCACGAGAAGAGAATCGGACAAAACAACTTGAAGAATTAATGTCATTTAGTGAAGAAGAAGAAGAATAAGAAGAAGAGCCATGTCGTGTGCAGGGACACTCATGTGACCAACAGCTATCAAAATTAGGCAAAGCTTCAACGACAGAAGTCAATTATTAATCTCCAAATACGAATGTTTTTAACCCATCAATTATTATTTCAATTATACATATTCTATTTGGAACTCTACAAATGTTTTAATTATTCTTCTTATGGTTTAGTTCTGTGTCAATTATTGTACTACAATCATAATTTGGTCAGATTTAATTAAGAATGTGGTAATTATATAACTAGGCATACTTGGTTGAATAAATGAAAGTGTCCTTCACCAACTGAACAATTCCATTATAAGATAAACCTCACTTTAAATGTTCACCATCCATATGGAAAAAGAAGAAGTGAATTTCTTAAAATCCAAAAGGAGAGAAAATATATGCGAGAGAGTTTTTGTTTCATAATTTCATTGCATGTTATGAATCTTATGATTGTAAATGAGTCGAAGAAAAGTGTCAAAGGAGAAAAACTATATTAAAATGTGATTAAAATTTTTAATAAGAGAAACTTATTTGTCTAAGCTTAGGAAAAAAAGAAGAAGATAATACACAGTTCACTTCTTTCTTCTAAAATCTAATAAATTGAAGCAGCAACTTTACTCTTCTCTCTCTCTTTCTGACTCTGAAAAAGATGGAGTGGAGAAGTTAATGTTCACCAACTGACTGTAAAGTCTTAAACTTTCTTCTTCTTCTTCTTTGCCTTCTTTCAAGTATGTCTCTCATTCTCCATCTTCTCTGTTTCTTGGTTGTCCTGCTTGAAGTTTGAAGTACCAGAGGAGTTATCTCAGATCTAGCAATATTGGGAGAGAGAGATCTGAGTTTTGTGACCAGACCAATCTACTTTAGGAAAAAATGAGTAAAGAAGAGATGATGAAGATTCAGGTATGTTCACCATTTCCCTGAGAGATCCTCCTCTGTTTTTTTCTTATTAAATTGTGTTCTGTTGACTAAATCTGATGATTTTTATTTGTAGACTTGTGTTCTTAAAGTGAACATACACTGTGATGGTTGTAAGCAGAAAGTCAAGAAAATCTTGCAGAAAATTGAAGGTAGAGAAAAAAATTAATCAAACTCAAAATCTCTTTTTGACTTTTTTTTTTTTAAGTCTCTGGAATCAATATTTTGAGTTCGTTGACCAAAAAAGTCTTGGAAACTCATTTTGTGTTTTGTCTGAAACCAAAAAACTCAGGTGTCTTCACTACCAAGATTGATGCAGAGCAAGGGAAAGTGACTGTCACTGGGAGTGTAGATCCTTCCAAACTCATCAAGAAGCTCGCCAAATCTGGTAAACATGCTGAAATCTGGGGAGCTCCAAAGCCTAACAACAATCCAAATCAGCTCAAGGGAATGCAGATTGACAATGGAAAAGGCGGCGGCGGAAACAACAATAACAACAAGAAAGGCCAAAAAAACGGCGGAGGCGGCGGCGGAGGCGGCGGAGGTAACAGTAATGCACCAAAGATGGGTGGTCAGCAACTGAATCCACAACAGATTCAGCAGCTTCAACAGATTCAGAAGCTGAAAGGGTTTCAAGATCTGAAGATTCCTCCACAGTTGAAGGGATCTGCTCCGGTGAACAAGAACCAAAACCAGAAAGGTGTCAAGTTCGATGTTCCTGAGGACGACGAAGATGATTTTAGCGATGACGAGTTCGATGATGAGTTTAGTGATGACGACGAGTTTGATGACGATGAGTTTGACGATCTCCCTCCTCCGTCTAATAATAAGATGAAGCCTAACATGATGATGCCTAACGCTCAACAAATGATGATGATGAATGCTCAGAAAAACGCCAATCTTGCCGGTGGTCCCGCTAAAAACGCCGGCGGTAAGGCGGCTCCCGGTGGCGGCGGCAAAGGTGTTCCTGGCGGGGGCGGCGGCGGGAATGGGGGAAATCAAAACCAAGGCGGAGGCAAGAAAGGCGGCGGTGGAAATCCACAAGATGGTAAAAACGGCGGCGGTCCAAACGCCGGAAAGAAGGGTAACGGCGGAGGTGGGCCAATGGCTGGAGGACTTCCGGCCGGTTTTCGTCCTATGGGAGGCGGAGGACCACCGAGCATGAGTATGCCGATGGCCATGGGTGGTCCGATGGGGAATATTCCGGCGGTTCAAGGATTACCGGCGACCGGTCCAGGCGGTGTACCACCGGGGTATGGGACAGATCCGATGCAAATGCAGCAGCAACAATATTTAGCAGCGGTTATGAACCAGCAACGAGCGATGGGGAACGAGAGGTTCCAACCAATGATGTACGCACGGCCACCAACGGCGGTTAACTACATGCCACCGCACCAGCATCAGTATCCGAACCCGTATCCGTATCCAAACCCGTACCCGTATCCATATCCACCTCATGGGAATGATCAGTACTCTCATGCCTTTAGTGACGAGAACACATCAAGCTGCTATATTATGTGAGAGAATGTCAAATTAATCTAAATAAAACTTTGTGTATGTTTTTTGTTTTTTCTTAATCCCAAGTTATTATTATTAGGGTGTTGTGTTTTGCTTCATTTTGTGATAGTTTCAGTAATTTTATAGAGTTAAAATATATAATTTGAACCACTTTCGTCTATAGGTTAAAAACTTGAAATTATATTGAAGTTGTTTCTCTCCTTCCATGTGACTTTTAAGCTTTAATATTCGGAATTGCAGTGAACAGATTCGGTAGATACCAAATCATGATTAGATATAAATATTCATACTTTGGGTGTAATCGTACTTGCATATTTTTCTATTTGACAAAATCGTATAAGAAAATCGAATTGGAGTTGTTACCCCACGGACCATTATATTAAAGTTCCCTTGCTCCATTATATATGGATCTTGCTTTAGATTCTTGTTGTTATCGTTAGTTCTGAATTAAATTAAGGAAATTAAGTTTTTCTCTTTCTTTTTTATGCTGACATTGGGTTAAGGATATAAAAATGATGAGCAAAAGTCAGCATATTGGTTGCATTTAGATTCAAAAGTAAAAAAAAAACAAATGTAAAAGGAAGGAAAATAATACTATCAGATAATCTGAGTATAACGACTTGTAACTAATTTGTAAACAATAACAAAAAAAAATTGGGTCAAGTCTTCCTAGTACATGAAATTGGTTATCAATCTCTATCACCAATTCACGTCCGATGTCAACCGTTGCTAGTGGTAACACTATTGGACCGTTTAATATTTGGTTATCGATCACTATTATTGCAACCAAATCAATTACAATCATGACTTTTATCCACACATATTTTTTTTTTTGGTAAAAAAAGGACCATGCATATTACCATTGCAAATGTCGTTTTGGGGTATGGTATTAACCATTTTCAAACCTATTTTACAAAGACTATAATATAAGAGATGAAAATATCATCATGTATGCATTGTCATGGTGATGATTAATAATGAAGATCATGTGTGATGATGATTGAAGAAGATGGGCCCAGACACCAGAGAACAGTTGAAAGACTTAAATGAAGGCTATGTGACAGCCTAAAGTATGTGTAGCGTCAGCAGAAATGTTCAGAACCGCATGTATGTCTCATCTTCTCTATGCTTTTGCGTTTACAATAACCACACAAACTTTACTTGCATATTTGCGTCTAGATTCCGCCTAGATTCTGCTTATTACCTAAAGAGAAATTTTATGAAATACACATTTTAAGGTGCAAATTTTCAAAATTACACCTATAGTGTGGAAATTTTCAAAAATACACCTCTCCCCAATTTTAATATATATGTTTGGGTTCACTAATCATATATTAGGGTTTAGATTTTGGGATTTAGGGTTTAGATTTAAGGGTTCAATATTAGATTTTAAGGTTCTGGATTTATATTTTAGGGTTTAGAGTTCTTTTAAAAAATGAAAAAAATATAGTTTTGAAAATTTGCACCATAGAGATATATTTTTGAAAATTTGCACCTCAAGAGGTGTAGTTTTGAAATTTCCCCTTATGTAAAGTTTTCCTTTTACGCTTACATACCTTATTGTTATGCAACAAATTTAAATATTTTTGCTGTTTCTATGAAATAAGAGTTGAACAGTGGAGAGCGTATAAAAGTGGCATGCGACAAAGTGTGCGAGCAGCTCGAGAGGTCCGACATTTGTTCATTTCTTGTTTGGTTCTAGCTTTAAGTCTATCCTCTTACTCATGTTTCCAATCAATACCTTTACAGGTATTTGTCTATTTGACAAAACATATCATCTTCTTCTACTTTTTTTTTCTTTTGGGACCCTTAGTTTTCGATTTAACTTCTTCTGCTTGACATACTCTGTGTTTGTCGTTATTTTTCAACTAATCCAATCCCCAAACTGATATGTCTTTAGTTTTGTAAGGACACGAGACCTATTGTGGTGGAGTGGTTGTAAATTTGATCAACACATCACACTTTCACTGGTTTTCAATCAATTAGTGACTAGAGAGTATTTATTTGTGAGAGATATTTTGATTTTGTTGAAAATAGTTATTCATTTAAAGAATAAATCTTATGAAAAAATAAAATTAAATGGGGGCATGATAGTATGGCCTAGATGAGCATCCCACCAGGCCTTTAGATATGTTTCTTTATTATTGATAGGCATACTAATCAATTGAAAGTTTGAAACGTATGTGTGTGCATGGATAGAGCTAGGGTTTCCACTGTGCCGGAATAGTACTGTTTTGGAGGCTTTGATCTTTCACAGTAATAATGTCATACACTAGCGATATTCTTCTTTAGGTCACGAAGCTCTTCTCCCACGTCGTCCTTATAGAGCTGGGAAATAGCGGCATTTCTGTAAATGGCGTATGCAGATGCGGATCCGGATGCAGGAGGCCAAGGAGGAACTTTAAAGTGATCATTCTGATTAGCTAGGCTTACATGATTCTGAATCCGAAACTGAAACTGAGGTTATGATATTTGATAACTTTTTGTAGTTCTTGTAATTTGGTCGGCTTATTCATTGATTCTTACAACAACTGTAACAGGAAAAGCTGTCTGAGGCTACTACCTTCACGCCTGACTTGTCAAGTATCTCTATTCAATAATATACCTTCATATATATCTCTATCGATTATGATTGTGATTGTTTGTAACTCATATGTGTTAATGTTTTCACCTGACTCATCAGCATGCCCAAGCAATCCCTCCAAAAGACTTTGAAAAAGTAGAAGAAGAAGAAGAAGCTCGTGATGAAGAGCAAAGGCAGCATCTAAACCCTCCGCTTATCCTATCAGCAACTAACTATTTCTCTTTCTCTTGTCTTTTTCAACTTGTGATGTGCAAGTACTAGTAAACTAGTTATTAAGAGTATAATTTGTGATGATTTATTGTGAAATATTACAATTACAACAAACTTAAGTAAAACATAAGTGATAAGATCGATACAAGTTTAGACAATAATTAAGTTTGAAGGAGCTTATTTTTAGCAAAGTATCAAGTATGCTCATGTATACGAATACACGCTAATACACGTATACTTTTTGTTCTAGTTGGGAGAGACATCGACTTCACACACAAAGCTTTTCTGAACTTCAAGGGTTAGCTCCTCCAAGCTTAAGTGACACTCCAGTCCTATCTGCATATGTTATTTTTTTTTTAAATTATATAAATTATAAACAAAACATTCATATTAATGTTCTTTGATCGCTTATTAGTTATTAGTAAAATATTTTACAAAAGAAACATTATTCAAAGTTGAACAAACTTAAATTGGTTTTAGGTTGGCATGGTTGTTCTAGGTATTGGACTAGTAACATTGTTTTTTCATATGTAGATGTGAAATGATATGTACCTTAACAACGAAGAAGAACAAGACAGTCTCCTCCATGCTGCTAATGTTGAGATGAAGAACCTGAAAAGATAGTTTCTCCAAGACGGATATGATCCTCACAAGCTGTCCCTCAATTCGCCTACAGACAACTCTCAATACAACGTTAGAGCCTGAGATCTTGGCTTCGACGTTAGCATGAGGGGAGTTGCAAGTTGCTCCTACTTCCTTGAAAGTGCTTGTGGTCATTACGTTCTCGATGCAACTAAACGGCACTCTGGCGGTTGCATCGGTGGCCACAGCGGCTGCTAACGCGGATGGCTCGAGTGTTTGTTGATCATAAGGAAAAGAAGGTCGGTTTAGTGTTTTTCGACGTTTCTTGGACTCGAGAACTTCCACTAATTGCTGCAGCTCTTTGATGAACTCTATCACTCCTCCGATTATCGAAGCTTGATCTCCCTATTATAATACCGATCATCATAAAAAACAAGACCATATATTTATGAATAGATTGGTGCATGCAATTAACTTGTTAAACAAACTATATTTTTCCATGCGTGATCCGTTACGCATCTATAACTTTTTTTTTTTTTTTTTTCCTTTTGGTCTTGGAAAATGAAACTATTCGAGAAGGTTCAATTATCTGGAAAATTTTAAATTTAATGAATCTCAAATTTAGACCCTTTGAAATTGCTTCAAGGCTTCAACAAAGAAATCACCGATCGATCATTAAACTAAAAAATGAAAAGAAAAGAAAAATCCTCAACTTCTTCGATTAAACTAATTAATGGGATTGAGTATAAAGGAGAGAAGAGATAACATGAAAGTTACCCTTTTGATATAGAAACAAGGAGTCAAAGAACGAAGGGATTTAAGATGCTCGTTCATTTGCCTTCTTCGATTCCTCTCAACTGCGATGTGAGACATGATCCTTAATTAATTGATACCGACTTATATCTCTTCTAGGGTTCCTATCTATCAAAGAGGAAGATGATCTCTTTTTCACTTTTTTTGTTCTCTACATATTCTTCAAACCAATGTGGTATTTATACAGCCGCAACAACGAGAAATAAATAGTAAGGGTTTAGAGTTTTGTTTTTTTCATAGGTTCATAAATGCACTATGTCGCTGTCTCGTGACATTCTTTTGTCTCTCTTATTAATTTTTATCTATCTTCGTATAAGTACAAAGTAGAGAAAGGTATGCATATACAAAGATACGTCACGTTTGTGAAGTTGGATACATTTACATTTACATTCACCGCGTGAAGTCTTTTATGATTTTATATATATGGTAGTGTTTTCATTTAGAGTGCATGCCTTTGCACCACCTTCTTTTACTTCTACTTCTACCCTTCTTCCTCTTCTTAGTCCTTAATTACCGTGTTTTTTCTTACCAAACATAAACTGGAATTTTCTTTTTCTTTCTTAGAACGATTATATAAACAGAAAGGTACGGTTAAACTGGAATCGGGCATACAAATAGACATGATTTCGTTAGTTAAAACTACTGGTGGAAGGGATATAATAATACTCCATTTACAGTATGATTGGCAATATGCGAAATTGCGGAATGCAAAGGGATATAATAATATTTAAAGTCGTTTGATCCAACAATCTTTTACTATTTATGATTCCGTGTTGTGTTACCAATCGGTACCATAATTCTATCACTTTTTTGCATGAAATAGGCTCTAAAAGAAACTATTGGTATAACCTTTTGTAGCAAACATAAAGTTCAGTTGTTCATGCTTCTTCATGAGTCTCAACTACCTTGACGGCTCATTAAGATTCCTCTGCAAAAGCAGTGTTCTTATTTTAAGAGGTGAATCAAAAAAATTCGGCTCCGTTTTATAAAGTTAACAATTTCTCAATTCCAAACTTCATGTTAATAAGTTGTTAGTGGTCTATGCAATCCAATGGAATAACACATACACTACAGAATTTGCAATGGAATGAGAAGATGTGATGAAAAAGAAAAGAAACAATAATGGTTATCTCCCAAGTCCCAAAAATGTGGAAGTTGGAAAGAAAAAGTTGGTGACAAATGTTCATACCCGCTAATGTTTACAACATGCAAGGTGCATGCCCCATTTAATTAAATATTAACTTTAGGAGTAAAGATTTAACTCCAACATCGTCTATTCAATTTGTTCATGGTCGATCACGTTACTGATCGACAACTCGATAAGAAAATTAAAAACGAAAAATATATATACGAACGGTCAAGTGATCGGTTTGCATAAGCAAAGGGTAGTAGTACAACTAATATCCTATCTACAGAAATAGATATTATGTGGTATCTTGGAAAAAAACAAGTTTTTGTGGTAATTTTGGGAAAATCAGTTTTTGTTGTACTATTGTAAAATAAAATTAGTGATGTTAATTTTGGAACAGAAACTTATTTTTGTTGTATTTTTAAGAATTGACCCAAAAATATATATAGAGGAATTTTGATTGTATGAATTATGTTTGGTAAATTTAAGCTACCAACTTAGAAGGTACGAAAGATTATCTTATGAAATTCTGGTTTACGTCATAAACCTAATACTTATGTATGTAACTATCGATCTACAGTGACAATCTTATGGCGTTTATATGCAATGCAATGCATGGGCCGAAAACCAATCGAAATCACTTCAACCTGCCAATCTGGTTTAGGTTTTGGTTAAGTGCATTCATCTTCCTTACAAATAACATTCATTGTAGTATACAGAGAGGAAATGTAAAATTCAGCGTTTCATTTATTTCAATTGGCTAATGGGCATGCCAAAGAGCTCGCCATCAATTGTTCACAAGATAAAAAATACATCAGAGCACGATACCAATAAGTTAAAACACGAATAAAAATATTGACGTGTTTGAGGATAAAACAGGTAAAAATAACATGAAACAAACGTAACAGGTTCAGTTTAACTTCAAAAACAGCACGTCACATTGCTGGAAAGGAAATGTAGCAAGCTGGAAAGTAAGTAGAGAAACTTCTTGCTGGTCTCGGTTTAGGAGTTGCATTTTGTCCATCTTCTCATTCTGGCTTCCGGGCCAAGACAAAATACATTGGCGTGAAAATCCCTTTCCTGAATTCAAAATTAAAAATCATAACTTTTCTCAAGAAAACAAAGGTCAGAGAACATTACAATTACAAGGCAGTTGTGTGAAATGATGTGAATAACAAAAAAATATACTTACCTTCCACCATCAACCAACCCATTTGCTGCTTTTTGTAGTATAGCTTGAACTTTTTGAGTTCCTGCTGGAACGACTCTTACGTATTCTAAGGCCTTCAACTAAAACAAAATGAAAAAAAAAAAAATCAATGCCATGATACACACATACACAAATTTAGTAGTAGATATTTCATGTTTAATATATCACAAAACCTAATGAGCTTTAGCTTCATATTTGATGTACATCCAAATTAGTGAATGAAATCAAAAGACAGAGGGAAGCAAAGTTTTACCAGATTATCAGTTAGAAACTTTCCAACAGTTGTCACGCGGAAACTGAGAAACGATAACTTATTTGTATCCATAGGTAAGTACCATGGCACTGGAGAATCCGTAGCAAAATCATTATCCCATATCACCTTCATCAAAATAGGAAAAATGTTAAGTAAGTAAGATTCTAATGCATATTTTCTGAATTAGATCAGGAGGGAAGATGCAATGTTTACATCAAAACCCGCACGCTTCACAGCTTCGAGGACTTGAGTAGTAATTCTTAAGCCAGGGAGAGCATTTCCAAACTCTATCTCTTCCTTTACTTTCTGATGTTCGTAATTATTAGGGTCAAATGCCTCGGTGAGGCACCACTCATATATAGCAAATTTTTGTCCGGGCTTTAACACTCTATACATCTCTTTGTAGCATCCATACTATTGAAAATAATAATCAAGATTTATGAAAAAAAAAATGTAAAAAAGATGATACTGAAACTATTGACTTAATTTTTACATACTGCATCAGGTGCATGGCAGGTTGCTTCTATAGCGTAAACCTCATCAAAACTATTGTCAGGGAACGGCATATTCATGAAATCAGCCTGTAACATTTTATAAATGTTCTTAAAAGTCCAATTAATTAAGTTTCTAATTTAATCTAAGAAAAAAAATTAGTAATTTAATTCACCTGGACAATGTTACAAGTTTCGTCCACACCAGCAAGCTGGTTTAGTTTCTTGCATCTTGCTACCTGGTATTCATTATTGTTGACTCCAGTTATGGAAACATTGCTGCAGCAAGTGAAAGACACTAATTATGAAACAACACAAAATTATAGCATTCAGTGCAATTTCTCAAAGTATACCTAAAGCGTGCAATTTCTCTCATAGGTCCACCAATTCCACATCCTACATCCAGGACCTATTCAATAAAAAACTAAGCCTTTATATCAATAATTTGAACTAATTAGCATTTAATGGTAAACTAAGGTCATCCAATATTAAACCAAACCTTGTCTCCTTGTTTCATTGCAAGCTGCATAGCAATAAAGTGCTCATATCGTTTTAAACTCTCCCGTAGAGACTCTCCTTTCCATCTACAGTTACCAACTCAATACATTACTTATATGATATTATTTCCCAAAAGAATCCGGAGGAGAATAGTGAATTACTAATTACCTGTGTGCAAAATGTAAGCAGTCCCCCCATCCGTACTCATAAAATTGACTAGCAAGATCATAGTATTTATTAACCTAAAAAACGTGTTACATTGAATATTAGGAGAAACGAAAAAAAGAATATTAGGAGAAACGAAAAAAATGGTCAAACTGTTTGAGACAAAAAAAAATCTTGCACTTTATTCTGTTTACCATGTCAGTATAGTTTACTTTTCTCGGATCAGCTTCTCCATCATGGAGAACATGATATCTCTCATACCTGAATCCTCGAGTCATTAAAAATCAATGACAAGGCTTTAGCAAAATAATACCATTTAGAGTGAAACCTTTAAAAAAAAAAAAAAAAAAAAATCCAATGGAGAAGTCAAGCAAGAAAAGCTAAAGTATATATAATCACTTCTCAACGGCTGTGAGGACATTAGTCTCTCCACCTAGGCCCGGCACGAGACGGAAAGCATCAGAGTTCGACATTGTTAAGGATCTTGTAGAGGAATGAGGCAGATGGAGATGTTGCGGAGAAGTGGATGTAAATAATTTAAATTATATAGGAGAGAAGATGCGAGATCAACTATCCTATCCAACTATCCTATCTAAGAAAATATATATTATGTGGTTCTTAGAAAAAACAGTTTTTATTGTACTATCGGAAAATAAAATTAGTGATGTTAATTTTGGAACACAAACTTATTTTTATGGTGTTTTTAAGAATTGACCCAAATATATAGAGGACTTTTGATTGTATGAATTCTGTTTGATAAAGTACGAAAGATTATCTTATGAAATTCTGGTTTTTCTTTTCAACTTCTTTCTTAGGAGAAAGATTATCTTATATGTAACTATTAATCTACAATGACAACATTATGGCGTTCAATCTGATTTGACATTGGGTTAGTTTTTGGTTAAGTACATTCATCATCCTTAAAAACCATTCACTGTATTTGTAGTATACAGAGAGGAAATGTAAATTCAGCGTTTCATTTATTTCAATAGGCTAATGGGCATGCCAAAGAGCTCGCCATCAATTGTTCACAAGATAAAAATATACTTCACAGCAAGAAACCAATAAGTTTGAATTTTTGGTCATCAATGGGACTTTGTTCATGAGACTTGCAAGTAATCTCCGAGAGTTCATGACACTATCTTTTTATCAGCTGAATCCTCATCATGTACTGCATCCAAACCAACAAACAAACAAACAACAACAAAAAAATGCAAATCTTGTATCAGTAAGTGTTAGGATTATAAGAAAATGCAGACATTTCAAAAATGACTAGTTTTTCCACACAAAAAGAAACCAGGTAAAGATTCTGTGTAGGATCAAGAAACAGTGATACCTTGGATGGATTTCTCAAATCGCTGGAGCTGCGAAATGAAACCAAAATTAGGCGAGGCTTGAGCTCTTCGACTCCTCACAAGTTCCATAGCTTTAAAGTATCCAATCCCATGCTTTTTCATCAGATAAGCCACCACTATAGTCACACTTCAAAGTAAAAAACTCAAAACAATCAATTCATGTAAAGTATATACATAAACAACAGAGAGCTCATCTGCTTTAGATGACAACAATTTACCAAGTTACAGTCTCTAGAAAAGCTCTTTACTTGTCCACACAATATGCAAAACTGTTCACTGCCATAACTCTTAAACCAGAATCACCACTAAAGCACAAAAGCAAACTACAAGATTCATATTTAAGAGTCTGTAGATTTCAATGGTTCTTAGCTATGGCTTTAAATCTCATAACTAAACCTCTGCATACTTTATTCTCCTGTAAGCTTCTACATGTTATTGCCATTGATTCCTAAACACTATTATCTATATCTAATGCTGAATTTATCATTAAAGATGTCACCTTCTAGAAATTCCCATGAAGCAATGGACCAAAACACCACCACCAGATTGAATAGCTTGGTCCATGAAGCTAAAACACTCTTCGAAATATACTGTCAAATCGGTCTCCGATCTGTCAACCACTACCTCAAATCAAACGAAACAATATCAGAATTTACTCGAAAAGGAACGATCAAATCCACAAGCTACGATTCCCAGAAAAAGCACCTTCGATGACTTTGTAGACGAAATCATCAGGGTAAGGAGGAGCCAAGGCAACGGCTATAGTTAAGATATGAGTGACATTTGAGCTTTTGAGCAGATCCTTATTATTCGCTTCAGCTACTGATCCTATGAACAGTCCCTGAGAAAATCGAAACAAAGGTTTTTCGGGAGAACTTTTCAGATTAGATTTCAACGAATCGGAAATGGAAAACGGAAGTGTGAAATTAGACGGAAACCTGTTGGATCTGGCTGAGATCGTTGCCTCCTTCGTAGAGTTTCTGGGTACTACCGAAGAGATCAACCACTTTTTCCATCTTCTCGCTTTTTTCGCAACTCCACTTGTGTACGTGACGAAATTTCGCAATCCAGCAGATTCCAGAATGTATATAAACCTTCCTCCCGAATCAAAGAAATGTTTAGGGTTTGTATATTAATTATGCTTAAACATTTCAACAAGCACCAGTGGTCTAGTGGTAGAATAGTACCCTGCCACGGTACAGACCCGGGTTCGATTCCCGGCTGGTGCAATATTTTTTTGTTTTTTTTACACTTCAGTTTTCTGAGGCTTCTTGTGTATTATATGAAGTGTTGTGATGATTGATGAAATGTTTTCCAGTATCCAAAGAAAAAACATTACAGATTCACTGCACGTGTGACGTGTATGAGGCTAGCCCTGGGCATTACGGTTTTTGGGACGGGAATTGACGGGTTCGGGATGGAAATGGGAAATTCGGGAAACCAAATTTGATTCCCAAAGCATTCCCTTATTATAACGGGAAGGAAAATCACGGGAATGGGAAGGGAATAGGAAATTTGGGAATCAAAATATAATACCCGAAGTCTTAATAAATTGGGAAAACTGAAGATAATATGGGAAATTACGGGAAAATACTGGAAAATACGGGAAATTATGGGAAAATACGGGAAATTATGGGAAAATTTGGGAAATTATGGGAAAAATTGGGATATTTAAGAAAAAATGTCTAATTTTCAACTTTTTATTTTTTTTTAAACGGGAAAATCGGGAAATCCCTTACCATTCCCGAACCCTTCCCTTATCCGTTTGAATAAAATAAATGTTCCCAAATGGGAAATTGCAAATTCCCATTCCCAAAAAGTTTGGAAATTTTAAATGGATAAGGATGGGAACGGGATTCCGTCCCGAAATGCCCAGGACTATATGAGGCTGAAACAAGCGAAATGTACATCATGAAATTTTTTTGAACTTGAGAAACACATAAGAGCGGCCGAGGAAAATTAAGCATTAGTCGTCTCGATTTACGAAGTGCAATTGCTTGTTTTCTGAATCTGGCTTTCGAGCTAAGACGAAATACATTGGCGTGAAAAGCTCTTTCCTGAACAAAAATGAAATGTATGTAATAATGTTAGCATTACAAGGCAGTTGTGTGGAATTACGTGAATAACATGAAAAGAATACTTACTTTCCACCATCAACCAACCCATTTGCGGCTTTTTCTAGTAGAGCTTGAATTCTTTGGGTTCCTTCTGGAACGATTCTTACGTATTCTAAGGCCTTCATCTAAAAAAAAAAAAAAAAAAAAAACAAATAAATGATCACATATTACATTTATTTAGTATGGAACAAATTAACACTTATTTTTATTTTTGTGGTATTTAAAAGAATTGTTCTTGTATATAGGCTATGGCTTAGTAAACATTTTGCACAAGGTCTACAAATAATTGAGACGGTCTTGAAGCATTTGTTACCAGTTTTTCGGTTAGAAATTTTCCAACGGTTGTAACGCGGAAGCTGAGAAGTGAAAAATGAGTTGTATCTAGAGGTAAGTACCACTGGACAGGCGAATCCTTTGCGAGATCTTTTTCCCATATTACCTTGATCCAAATACGAAAAACATTATGTTAGTAGATTCTGATGTATTATTATGAATTATATCACATATATAGGATTCGTACTTGAAAACCTGCTTGCTTCAAAGCATCGAGGCATATCGTAGCCGGTCTTATCTCGGGAATAGCATTTCCAATCTCTACCATTGCCTTTATCTTCTGATGTTCTTCATTATTGGGGTCAAATGCATCGTTGAGGCCCCACTCATAGAGAGCAAATTGTTGTCCAGGCTTTAACACTCTGTAAATCTCTTTGTAGCATCCATACTACATATGGCGAGTAATAATAATTAGAATTTTATCAAAACTACGAAAAACAAAAATAATGTGTATATTAACTTTAAACATTCACATACCACATCAGGTGCATGGCAGGTTGCTTCTATCGCGTACACCGCATCAAAACTGTTGTCAGGGAATGGCATTTGCATGAAGTTAGCCTGTAACATTATATGTAAAAACATTTTTTAAGTTTCTAATTTAAACTCCAACAAAAAAAAATTAGTATCTTAATTTACCTTGACAAAGTTACAAGCTTGGTCCAGACCAGCAAGCTGGTTTAGTTTCTTGCCTCTTTTTATCTGGTATTCATTATTGTTGACTCCAGTAACGCACACATTACTGCAACGAGCCAAAGACAGTAGAAACTCAATTTTTTTTTTTTTTTTTTTTTTTTTTGGTTCAAAACAGTAGAAACTCAATATGAAATATATTCAATGAATACATTACACACAATTCAAGCAACACAAAACTATGCAAATTAATATACAAGATCTATTCTAGTATTATATATACCTAAAGCGTGCAATTTCTCTCATTGGACCACCAATTCCACATCCTACATCCAGCACCTATTTAATAAAACAGAAGCTTGTATATAAATGTATGAATCATTTAATTTGAACATAATTAGCATTCGAGGTTCCCCACTAAAGTCGCCAAACCTTGTATCCTGGTTTAACGTCAAGCTGCAGAGCGATGAAGTGCTCATGTCGTTTTATACTCTCCCGAAGAGATTCTCCTTTCCATCTACAAAATACAAACTCAACATCTATTGTAATAATAATATTATAAGATTGGTCTTCTTCTTTTTTCGGTTGTGCCATTATTTTCTTGAAATATTCTCGGATCTAGATCTTTTCTTCTTGCGGAATTTAAACACCACAATATTTCTGTGACATCTCGCAAAAAACAAATCCCGGAAAATAATTAAGAGTTACCTGTGGGCAAAATGGAATGATTCTCCCCATCCAAACTCATAAAAGCGAGTAGCAAGATCATAATATGTGTTAACCTGAAAATGTTATATCTTGAATAGTTAGATCGATTATATATCCATTTTAACAAGAAGTGATTTGTGCAAGTGAGATAGACTAGTTTTCTAGGATATAACTTTTGAATTAGTGAGGAGAGAATTTGTAAGGGGACGTTATCCAACCAAACCCAATAGGGACGTAACCGAGTATTCTGCTTACCATTTCACTATAGTTTTCTTTTCTCTCAACAACTTCTCCACCATGGATAGCATGATATTTCTCATACCTGAATCATCGAATAATTACCAATCAATTCAAGGCTTTAAGAAAAATACCATTTTTTTTTTTAAATCCAACGGAAAAGAACATCCTAAAAGGTATGGTCAGAGTCTCAGTCAGAGAGCAAGAAAAGTTAAGCAAAATAAGGAAATGCATAATTGCGTACTTATCAACGGCTGTGAGGACATCGGTCTTTCCACCAAGCCCCGGTGCGAGATCCAGAACACTAAACTTCGACATTGTTAACGTAAGGTCTTGTAGAGGGAGAACAAAAAAACAGAGAAAATGGAGATATTATGGAGAAGTGTGGATCAAAACTAAAATAAGGTATATTATAGGGGAGAGAGAGATATGCTTATTTTAATACAATTGGATAGTGTATGCATGTGCAGGAACGTTGGATAGAGATATTTTGTCTTAATCTAATACAACAAAATCGGTGTTTTTCATTTATTTTGATTCCATGGTGCTATGCGATCTCTTTTTCGTTATCCATTTTAAAAGTGATGTCATATACATATATATATATGTATATTAGTTTCTGGCTTAAAAAAATAAAAACTTTATTAGTCGATGGACACTTGAACTAATTGTGTTTGAATTATTAACCATTCCGTTAGTTAACTCAAGCCACAGAAAAAAATGAAAGAGACTACTACAACCACATCTCCTCCATATGCATCATAATAATTAACCACATAAATCTAATTACGTAGAACGTTTAATTTGTAGTGTAACCTATAACCACATATATCTAATAAGTTAAAACACGAATAAAAATATTACAAATTCAGTGACGTGTTTGAGGATAAAACAGGTAAAAATAACATGAAACAAACGTAACAGGTTCAGTTTAACTTCAGAAGCAACACGTCACATTGCTGGAAAGGAAATGTAGCAAGCTGGAAAGTAAGTAGAGAAACTTCTTGCTGGTCTCGGTTTAGGAGTTGCATTTTGTCCATCTTCTCATTCTGGCTTCCGGGCCAAGACAAAATACATTGGCGTGAAAATCCCTTTCCTGAATTCAAAATTAAAAATCATAACTTTTCTCAAGAAAACAAAGGTCAGAGAACATTACAATTACAAGGCAGTTGTGTGAAATGATGTGAATAACAAAAAAATATACTTACCTTCCACCATCAACCAACCCATTTGCTGCTTTTTGTAGTATAGCTTGAACTTTTTGAGTTCCTGCTGGAACGACTCTTACGTATTCTAAGGCCTTCAACTAAAACAAAATGAAAAAAAAAAAAATCAATGCCATGATACACACATACACAAATTTAGTAGTAGATATTTCATGTTTAATATATCACAAAACCTAATGAGCTTTAGCTTCATATTTGATGTACATCCAAATTAGTGAATGAAATCAAAAGACAGAGGGAAGCAAAGTTTTACCAGATTATCAGTTAGAAACTTTCCAACAGTTGTCACGCGGAAACTGAGAAACGATAACTTATTTGTATCCATAGGTAAGTACCATGGCACTGGAGAATCCGTAGCAAAATCATTATCCCATATCACCTTCATCAAAATAGGAAAAATGTTAAGTAAGTAAGATTCTAATGCATATTTTCTGAATTAGATCAGGAGGGAAGATGCAATGTTTACATCAAAACCCGCACGCTTCACAGCTTCGAGGACTTGAGTAGTAATTCTTAAGCCAGGGAGAGCATTTCCAAACTCTATCTCTTCCTTTACTTTCTGATGTTCGTAATTATTAGGGTCAAATGCCTCGGTGAGGCACCACTCATATATAGCAAATTTTTGTCCGGGCTTTAACACTCTATACATCTCTTTGTAGCATCCATACTATTGAAAATAATAATCAAGATTTATGAAAAAAAAAATGTAAAAAAGATGATACTGAAACTATTGACTTAATTTTTACATACTGCATCAGGTGCATGGCAGGTTGCTTCTATAGCGTAAACCTCATCAAAACTATTGTCAGGGAACGGCATATTCATGAAATCAGCCTGTAACATTTTATAAATGTTCTTAAAAGTCCAATTAATTAAGTTTCTAATTTAATCTAAGAAAAAAAATTAGTAATTTAATTCACCTGGACAATGTTACAAGTTTCGTCCACACCAGCAAGCTGGTTTAGTTTCTTGCATCTTGCTACCTGGTATTCATTATTGTTGACTCCAGTTATGGAAACATTGCTGCAGCAAGTGAAAGACACTAATTATGAAACAACACAAAATTATAGCATTCAGTGCAATTTCTCAAAGTATACCTAAAGCGTGCAATTTCTCTCATAGGTCCACCAATTCCACATCCTACATCCAGGACCTATTCAATAAAAAACTAAGCCTTTATATCAATAATTTGAACTAATTAGCATTTAATGGTAAACTAAGGTCATCCAATATTAAACCAAACCTTGTCTCCTTGTTTCATTGCAAGCTGCATAGCAATAAAGTGCTCATATCGTTTTAAACTCTCCCGTAGAGACTCTCCTTTCCATCTACAGTTACCAACTCAATACATTACTTATATGATATTATTTCCCAAAAGAATCCGGAGGAGAATAGTGAATTACTAATTACCTGTGTGCAAAATGTAAGCAGTCCCCCCATCCGTACTCATAAAATTGACTAGCAAGATCATAATATTTATTAACCTAAAAAACGTGTTACATTGAATATTAGGAGAAACGAAAAAAAGAATATTAGGAGAAACGAAAAAAATGGTCAAACTGTTTGAGACAAAAAAAAATCTTGCACTTTATTCTGTTTACCATGTCAGTATAGTTTACTTTTCTCGGATCAGCTTCTCCATCATAGAGAATATGATATCTCTCATACCTGAATCATCGAATCATTAAAAATCAATGTCAAGGTTTTAGCAAAATAATTCCATTTAGAGTAAAACATAGAAAAATAGACATATTTCCAATTGAAAAGTCAAGCAAGAAAAGGTAAATGTATAATCACTTCTCAACGGCTGTGAGGACATTATTCTCTCCACCTAGACCCGGCACGAGACCGAAAGCATCAGTGTTCGACATTGTTAAAGATCTTGTAGAGGAATGAGGCAGATGGAGATGTTTGGGAGAAGTGGATGTAAATAATTTAGATTATATAGGAGAGAAGATGCGAGATCAAGCCTTCAATATTGAGTCGAATTTGTTAGCAACGTTTGTGAGCTGTGACAAACAAAAGCTGCGTGCCTTAAAGTTCCTTCTCTTTCCCCTTAGAGTGCGGAACACGATAAATGCATGACCGAATTTATAGTATGCATCATGTGAAGGCAGGTTGTACATACTTGTGATTATTAACGTGGCAGATAGCAGTTTTTTTTTATGTAAGTTGAAACAAACCAAAGGGTGTATTTGATAATCGGACTGATTATGTGCAGCTTTTTCGTATATCGGAAAACGTGTGACGTTACTTTTCTCTGCTTCAACATTTCGCGGTTTTTTTACCCACTCATCTTCCTATTCTTTTCAATTTCACCCAAATGCAAACTCGACAAGTTTGAAAGATGGATAATGTACATTAAATGGTGTGAAATATTACAAGAATTTACATTCACTAGAGTTGAATTTCGAAAACAACAACAAAAGGAGGCGTTAATGAGTTCTATAATATTTAATCACATACATGATGTGTTGTGAAGCAAACTAAAGCGAAGATGTGAAAGAAAACTCTAAAGCCTTAGTATCAAACCCTACAGGATTATCTACGAAGCCTCAAGGTCAAACTGTACAAGATTATCTTGCATTTGATATCCTCCGGTTTCATTCGAAATATTCGTATTACATCTATAAAAACGGTCTTCTTAAGCTCCACAAGCGAGTTTGGCCCATAGATGTTCCATTTCGCTCCTCCTCCCAGTACGAAACTGATCAACGGAGTCTCCTTTTTCAAGAACGACCTTCCACCAAAACTTGTGTAGTCTTTGAACACGGCTTTTCGCTTCTTGGCATTTCCAGCAAGTGCTTTAAGAATTGCTTTGTAAATGGAAGACTCCTAGAAAGTGTGCGGAATCATGGTGTTGATCGCTGTGCCTCCCCGAGTCACTCGTCTTGTTGAATGTCAGCAAATCTTGACTAAAAGAGAGCGTATCTCCGTTGACTTTGATATATTTCACATATGTAAAACGTGACAAAAAATAGAGTTGGTCTTTTTTAAAAACAAAGGATAAATAAGCCAATAAACGAAGACAAAAGTCAAAGATTCGTTGGGGGTTCATCTTTAGCGCATCTCAACTCTTTTGCCAGGAGTCAGTTTTATCCAAAGTCGGTGTTATGGATGGTGGGTTGCTTCAATATGAACTTTGATTTGGGCCATTGATGGACTTTGGATCTTGTTTTGATTGATTCGTTCTTTTCATTCGGTATCGAAGTATGGTTTTAGACTTTTAGTTACGTTACCATTAAAAATTAGGTTTTTGAAGGTATAAAATTGTTTAAGCTAAGGGTCAATCTTTACACATGCATGAAACGAACTTGATAAATAATTTGCATGACTTAGAAATCACCAAATTAAACAAAGAAATGAACACAAGAAAAGTGTTGAGCACCCTCCTCTCCTTTGAAACTGCTTAAGCAAAGGAAAGTAGCTCAGTCTTCTTCTTCTTTTTTTCTTCATTATACACTCTCCATCTTCTTTGCGTTGTTTCTCTCTATCCATCTTTTTTTTGTTCCATCAGATCCTTCATAAAGCCGATCCAACCTCGTGACTGTCCTCGACTCTTGATCACCATCTTGAGGGAAAGAAGATGAATGTTGAGGCAAGATCAAGAGTTGTTGACCAAGAAACTGGCTCAACTCCATCTACATTGAGAGATAGTGATCAGCCGTCGACCCAACGGCTTTTTGGATGTCTCCCTTATGATATAAATCTCAATCCCCTACGCATTGTAAGCTTCATATATATCATTTATCTTAATGTAAACGATTCATTTAAATTATAACACTATACAACATTTGGATCCAATTCCCATATGATCATTTAAATTATAAACACTTTACCTTTATTTGTTACTATACAGTACTCATATAGTTAGCTGAGCTAAGACATAAAACTTATGAAAAATATTATAAATTTATAATAGAAATGCTAATATATCCGGAACAATACGAAGGTAATGGCGGAATTGGTGGGGACATTCATTTTAATGTTCAGTGTATGTGGAGTCATAAGCAGTACCCAGTTACCCGGAGGCCACGTCGGATTGCTAGAGTATGCCGCGGCGGCTGGATTATCGGTGGTGGTCGTAGTCTACGCGATCGGACACATATCCGGCGCCCATCTTAACCCTTCCATCACCATTGCTTTTGCCGTATTTGGCGGCTTTCCGTGGTCTCAGGTACACTACAACAATGTTGCCTCCGTATTCTTTTTCATTTGGCGTTTGACCAACTGATTCCGCGATATAATGAAATTTGCGATATGGCAAACCGGATAAGATATCTTGCTACTCTTAATTAGTTATTTGTTTTGGTTTGCGTATACTATACGTTTGCGTTTAAATGACATAATAGCGTGTTAATGAAGATGCAAACTATAGGAGAAAACACTTACATATTTGTGTTGAAGTTAACAACTTGTTTTATATGAAACTGAAATATATTATTGGTCTGAACAAAAAATATATATATATATATATATATATTATTTAAAAAAAAAAAAAATTCAAACACAAATGAAAACATAAAATTTGGCATTTGTAAAATTTTATGAAAACCGGAAATCATTTTCTTTTGTGTTTTAGGTTTCACTTGCAAATGTAGACTTTAAAATCAGCTATTGCAAAATATTGTTAATGAAACTGATATTTTTTCCATATGTCAACGCAAACGCAAGAGACAATCGCAGTTTTCAATAGTTAATAACTCGAAGTAAAAGCCCAAATTCACCAAATCTCAAATTTCGCCTTTTGTCAGGTTCCGTTATATATAACGGCGCAAACGCTGGGGGCAACGGCGGCAACGTTGGTTGGGGTGTTAGTCTACGGAGTAAACGCCGACCTAATGGCAACAAAACCTGCGGTAAGCTGCGTTTCTGCGTTTTTCGTTGAACTCATAGCTACGAGCATCGTCGTGTTTCTCGCCTCCGCGATGCATTGTGGTCCTCATCAAAACGTAAGTGGACTGAACGATGTTCCTAATTATAAAAAAATAAGACACCTAAAACTAAAAGTAAATACCTTGGACTTCCATGTATTGCCTGTGTATATAGAATTTTCATCTATGACAATTTACTTTTAAATCAGAATTCTCCGACAAGAAAACGTATATATATGTTAATGCTATTTGTACAGTTGGGCAATTTGACGGGGTTCGTGATTGGAACAGTAATTTCCCTGGGAGTGCTTATTACCGGGTACTTACTTTAATGCATTATCGTAAACAAAGTTGAGAAATAATCGTAAAATATGGAAAATAGTCACACATTTTATTGAGTCGAATAGTATAACGTTTTTTGGACTACGGTATGGTCAGACCAATTTCAGGAGGATCGATGAACCCAGCTCGATCGCTAGGACCGGCGGTGGTGGCATGGGATTTCGAGCACTTATGGGTTTACATGACGGCGCCGGTGATCGGAGCCATCATCGGAGTTTTGACATACAGATCAATCAGCCTCAAAACCAGGCCTTGCCCTTCTCCACATCCCACTTCCGTCTCTTCGCTTTTACACTAATAACCTCAAAGCCCAGTATCTAATTATATTAACCTTAATTACTCTACAAATAAACACTTTGACTTTACGTTTAAATAGCCTATGTGGTCTTTATTGAGCCTATACTGAGACTACTTATAAACGCTAGGATATTTTACAAGACTATTTTTGACTTCATATGACTGTGGAAGTTTTGCTTAATTTATAGTACTATTTTGTTAATTTTCTTGCTTCTTCAAATGAAAACAGAGAGCTTCTTGTTCTCAACAATGCAATGGACAAAATAATCTGTTATATTCTTAAAAATGAATAAATTTATTTGAAAACTCCAATTCTTTGCTTAGATTGCAAGACTCCATTACAATATATAATCTCTGAAAATAACGATACCAAGAAACACAACTAGAAAATTATATAAAATATTTTAATGATAATCTTATTACCCCAAGTAAAAATTTAGTGACCGCAACCTCTGCGACTTGGACCAGAAGCTAACTTACGACGCGAAGAAAAGTTCACCTTCTTCTTCTTCTTCTTCTCCTCGTAGTTCTCAAACTCATCTCTTGAAGCTTCTTTGACCATGCTGGTTCTCATTGGCTTCTCTGCAACATCTTCACAACCATGATATCTAGCCATCGCAATGGAACACGTTAAGTAAGTGACCAAGAAGAACACAACTTTAAGAAGCTTCGTAATCTCCATTTCCTTAGAATAAACTACTCCTTAAACAATAGATTCTTGACGATGATTCGTATTAATGTATATATGCATGTACTCATAAACTGTTGGCCTTTTTTGACGTGAGTTAATGCATATTTAGTTATATGGCCAAAATTTTATTGACTGAGAGGGAGAGTACAGTCTAGGAATAGTAAGTTTTAGGTTGCTACTTTGTATTTATCGCTGTTTCAGAATTTCTAATTTAAGAACAAAGGTAAATTTCATTAATTCATGATAATGTATGTCTGACAGTCTGATTGTACAACTTTAGACCATGTGTTTTAGTTAGACTATGATTAACACTCCAACTAAATATATTCAAAATTTAGGTGGTGCCTTCGAGAAATTGCTCGATCATAAGAGGAAGTTATATAGGTATAATACGGTGACCTCTAAGTTTATAATCATTGCTCAAGCAAAGTATTAACAATGCATCTTTGCATCTCTTAATATATCAAATGCGTTTTTGAGCTTTATCAATACGTAATATTATATCCCATTTTCTATCTGCTTGCGAGATTCATTGTCCACAAGAAAAGTGACATGTGATGTGTTACAAAATCTCAAGACAAATGGCATGGCCGGTTCAGAACTTTAAAAAGAAATCATTAGCTGATTTCATCTTATTTGGAGATTCATTCATTTGTGAATTACATATACACACACGTAGGTGGACCCAAATCCACTGTTTGGTTCGGTGTTAGTTTAAAGTTTCGCTTACGAGAAAGTATATTTAAAAACAAGAGCTAATTCTATACTGACTTGAATAGTAGGTTTTTGCTTACGGAAAATGTGTTCTTGACTTGTGTCATGTTTTAAAGAAGATTTATGTTTATTCTTCTTCGGCTTGGTTCCGTATCTGTTTGGTTCTTTGTATAGCAAAAATAAAATCCAATAAACAGCTTTTATTTTTGTTCTGTGTGTGTGTGTGAGAGATCAGTTTTTTGGCCTCCGGTTTGATTGAGTTTAACCAAATAGAGTTTTGCCTTTTGGGTGTCTTGCATAATTTCGAACCGATCCAAAGTAATTTTAGCCTATTCTAACGTATATTGGAGCTACTATATAGTAAAATATTTTCATAATTAGTGAGACAAGCTGACGAAGCTGATAAGGATATGAAGCTGATAAGTGATAAGGATAGAAGTAACCAAGAAGAGAAATATTGGATGCTTAACGCTCTTGATTATTACATTTATACCATTGGTCCCTACACCTTTTAATTTCCCATAACAAAAAAAAGATTATCTTTGTTTTCCTAAGAAAATTAGTTATCTATGAAAAGTATAAAGTGTTGGTTGGTTCTATGGAGTTGGGAGAGAAATAATAAGCGTAGATACACTCAGGAATTCAGATAATGGGACTACGTACAACGTTCGAATTACATATCATATGCTAAAATACACGAGATTTAGATTACTCGGATTACAATTAATCCATAGTTTCCTTGTGGCCAAGTGCTTAAATTGCAATTTAAGCGTATCTGCGTTTTGAAAAAAAAAAAAAAAAAAAAAAAAAAAAAAGCGTATCTGCGTATGTAATCAAACTTCCCTCTATTTGCTATGTATGCTACATAAACATAGAGCCTACATACATTCACCTCAATGGCGACAAATCACTTTTCATAACTTTGTTCACGTTTGTGTTTAAAAAAAATTGCTTGGTAAAAAAGATGAGACCGTTGGTTGTCAAACGTCAAAGCAGGGGACTACGTGGGGTTGCTTACACTTTTTTTAATATATATTTTTGTCCTTAACCTTCCGAAATTACGAGCCTAATTAGTAATTCTTGTACAACTTTTGTTTTTCTTTTACTATTTTTGTCTAAGCATTTATCAGGTACCAAATTATCTACTTTCACAACCACAATTTACAAATCTTTATTACTGATATAAATATTTAACAGTCCCACCATAGAACAAATCTCTCTGTTGCAGCAAGGAATCAGTTGCTACTTAATACTAGAAAACAATTCCCAAAAGATTGATTAAAACGCATGGAACATTCATGAAAGATTTACGTAAAATTATTTTAGGTGAACACCCTTTAATTCCTTCACTAATTAAAGCGCACAAAGCCGGTGGCCCCACCATTATCACCACTCATAACATTTTATCCCACGCGCCTACACGTCGTCTTCACTCCCACGTTTGGCTTGCACGCTCGTAACTCATGGCATAACTTTCGTTACACGCGCCCAATTGCCGCGTGTACCAATTACGTATATCTATTTGTCTCTTCGAAGAATATCACTGTCCATTTAATTAAAGCGGTCTTCTTACCATAACAAAACAAACACAGTTCATAATCTGCTTTCTCGAAATAATTTAGTTTGTATTTTTTTTTCTTATTACAAAAATCGTTATTTTTCTATGCATTTTTCCAGAATTTTATAATTTGGTTATAATATCTATGCATTTTTCCAGAATTTTTCTATGCAATTATTACTTGTAGATTGTAAGAATATTTGGTTGTGCCAAATTATACAAAATTTGGTTAATTTCTTACTGTTTCTGGAATTTCTTACCTGTTGACTTCTTAATAAGTTACGAAATATGAACATTCACTTTCAAGTATTTGGAAAATCTAAAGTTACCACATAAGCAGAGATTTATTTCCAATTATTAAATATGGTAGATAATTAAAACAAAGAGGAATTAAATGGACCCATAATTCAAAACCCCACGATTCTCAACCAATAGCCTCACTCATCTTCCTCTGAATGTGAACACAAAAGTACAGCAAAAAGACAAGAAGAGAAAGTTGAGAGTTTTCTTTTTAATTTCCTCTTGTTTGGAGTCTTTGGACTCGAACCGAATCGCCAGTGTTGTGTTTATTGATTGCCCAATATCAAATTAATCAATCCCTCTCTCTCTCTCTTGGTCTCTTCGTCTTCTCTTTTCTGAAAAAAATCAAAACTTTTTTTCTTTTCTCAGATTAAAAAAACCTCCAACGAAAAAGCGCATCAAAAACATCCATCCATGAGTGTTTCTCGTTTCCTTGACACATGTTTTTCGCATCATTCTTCATAATTTCTTCTCTAAAAGAAAAAGAAAACAAAACTGACCTACCAAGCAAAGCAGCCCACTTCTCTCATGCTTCCGCTTCGTTCGCAATCGTGTCCCTCTTCTTCTTCTCTTTCCTAATTTCTTAAAATTTTCAAAAACCGCCTTTATTCGAATTTCCAGACTGACCCAATCAGATGTCTAAGAACATACAAGTTGAAGAAAACGGAGGGGGCAAGTCAATCTCGGAAGCTTTGAAGAGATTCAAGAGGTCGAGGCTCGTCTTCGAGCCGTCTCTAGGAGTATTGGGTTTCTTCTTGGTTGGGGTCTGTATGGTCTGGAGCTTCTTCTACTTCGACTACAGAAGCATGGCTAAAAGCTATGGCCTTTCGGATAAATCAGAGAGATTCGTTTGGCTCAAGCTCGATAACAACAACAACAAGAGTATGAGTTCCAAGAGAGTTGGGTTTCTGGAAGAGAGTGGTAATGATTGTGATGTGTTCGATGGAGATTGGGTTTGGGACGAGTCTTATCCGTTGTATCAATCCAAAGATTGCAGATTTCTCGATGAAGGGTTTAGGTGTAGTGATTTTGGAAGGTCTGATTTGTTCTATACTCATTGGCGATGGCAACCTAGGCTCTGTAATTTGCCCAGGTATGAGACAAAACTCGATGCTTTCTCTGTTCCTTACACAGTTTGTTCCTGCCACTTGTTGCTCCTTGATTGCTTAATCCGTGACTATGAATCAATTCGTTGTTCCTGTTGAGAATTCTTACACTGATTGGTTTGAGATTAAAATTGTTATCTTTTAGAAATTTTGGTACAGTAACAGTAATTTAATGGGGAAATCAAAAGGGTTGAGATTTTGGTCTGTGAGGAAGAGAAGTAAGAGAGCTTCTTTGAGTTTTTGTTGCTTTCATGTCGTTTTCTATGGTCTCTTGTCTCCAGTTGTGTCCGAAAGTCACGGCTTAAGATAAGCACAATCTGTGGTCAGCTCTCTCTCTTTTATCTCGTGAAGGAGTCATCGTCTGTTGAAATTAAAGGCAGTCTCTTTTTTGTTGTCTTCTCTTAAATTTGATCTCTTTAATATGGTCCCTTCTTCTTCCATTTCACATTTACATCAGCACAACTAGTTCTTCACCAATCATCAATGTGTCTGCTCCTTTTTTAACAAATGTTTTTTTTAATTACATGAGCCTGTGACTATCTTGAATTGAACTTATCTGACTCTCTTTTTTATGGTTTGAACTATGTTAAAAATGGATCAGATTTGATGCTAAAGTGATGCTAGAGAAACTGAGAGACAAGAGGCTAGTGTTTGTTGGAGACTCGATAGGAAGAAACCAGTGGGAGTCTCTTCTTTGTCTACTCTCTTCTGCAGTCAAGAACGAGAGCTCTGTTTATGAAGTCAATGGAAGTCCCATCACAAAGCACAGAGGCTTCTTGGTGTTCAAGTTCGTAGACTACAATTGCACTGTGGAATACTACAGATCTCCGTTCTTGGTTCCTCAAAGCAGACCACCACCTGGATCTCCAGGAAAGGTCAAGACAACTTTGAAACTTGAGCATATGGATTGGACTTCTAGCAAATGGAGAGACGCAGACGTTTTGGTGCTCAATACAGGACATTGGTGGAACTACGGCAAAACTGTCAGAACGTAAGCTCTTCTTCCTCGATGTCTCTCGTTAATCATCACTTGTCTGATCAAATGACAAAAATCTTGAATGTTGTGACCAACAGGGGATGTTACTTTCAAGAAGGAGAAGAAGTGAAACTGAAGATGAGTGTAGATGATGCTTATAAGCGAGCTATGGAGACCGTTGTGAACTGGATACAAACCGAGGTCGATTCGAACAAGACTCAAGTCTTCTTTCGCACTTTCGCTCCTGTTCATTTCAGGTTAAAGATTCAGTCAAATTGGTTTATCAGATTTGTTGTTGAATGCTCTTTGGCTGAGTCGTTTGTTTGGAAACAGGGGAGGAGATTGGAAAACAGGAGGAACATGTCACATGGAGACATTGCCTGAGATTGGAACATCATTGGCTTCATCAGAGTCATGGGAACAGTTAAAGATCATCAGACACGTGTTGTCAGGTTACTCAAACAAATCAGAGACTGTTAAAATGAAGGTGTTGAACATAACGGCGATGGCTGCTCAGAGAAAAGATGGTCACCCTTCGATTTATTATCTTGGTTCGGTTGGTCCTGCACCGCTTCATCGCCAAGACTGTAGCCACTGGTGCCTTCCTGGTGTTCCTGACACGTGGAACGAGCTACTCTATGCGCTGTTTATGAAACAAGAAGCTTCTTCTTCTTCTTCTTCTGGAAGAGTCGAAGAAGTGAAAAGTACATCAAATGTTACAATGTCTTGACGATTGGACAGATCAAGCAAAGAAAAACAGCAACAAGCTCTTGATTCTTCTGAAGTTGGCGTTTTTTTGAAGATGCTGAGGTTCAAAGATCAAAAAAGGGTTTGGAATTTTTTGATTGAGTGATTAGATTAATTAGGTGGGGACCTGTAATTAGGGTGATAGTCTTAAATTATCTGGTTGTAAAGTTAAAAATCACAGATGAACTCAAAGTTTCATACTCCCTCTATTTCACTATATTTGATGCAGAATTGCAGATATTAAGAATCATTTAATGTTTTATTATTAATGATTTTTCTTTTTATATCAACTAAGTATTCAATTAGAAATCTAAAACATCAAATAATAAAGAAAAAAAATCTTAAACACCAAATATTAAGGAACAAATGAAGTATATAAGATTGATTGATCTCATACCATGCAAGTTTGATTTAATTATAAATTAGAATGATAAGAGAGAGAGATTTACGATTAATCAGATATTCATATTTCTTCGACACATGAGAATGATAACAGAGAGTGATTCACGGTTAATCAGATATTCATATTCATATTAAACTAAAATCTTGCTAACAGACTCCACCGATGACAAATCAAACTATCTTTTAAAAATATTCTGAAGATGAGTTGGTAGTTTACCTATGCTAATGTTTGCAAGAGTGAAAATTGCTTAACTCAATGAGTTTTTATTATTGCACGAGCTTTGTTCTTACTGTTTCTCAAACATCTTTGATTGCGTTTTCTTTTTTTTTTGTTGTGTTTGTATAGAGAGTCTATTAGTCTATAAAAACACAATTAGGATTAAAAAAGGTTTGGGGTTTTTTTATTGAGTGGTTAGTTTAATTATGTGAGACCTGTAATTAGGTTGGTCTTAAATTTTCTGGTTGTAAATTTGAAAATCTCAAATGATTATCTAAGTTTCATATATATATATATATATATATATATGAAAGATTGAGGTATCTCTAAACCCTAAACCCTCGATCTGTGGATGAACTTCTTCAATGAGGGAGAAACCGCCGCCGATCTGTTGTTTGAAACGTGATGAAGGAGAAATCGGCGGCCACATAGACGACTCAACATTTTCTCTTTCAAATCTAGGGCTCGTTTTCACATCACTAAGTTTACAATAATTTGATGAATTTTGGCCAAATACTTTATGGAAAAATACAGCTAACATCATAAAGAAAAATTAGGGAAGTTACAATTACAACAACAAAAATAAAAAAATTGAAAGAGAGATGTGAATGCAGAAGAGCAAGATGATAATGGTCTTTGGGCCTAACCCAAAATCTGTAGTAAACGTTATAGGATCCATTCAAAGATTAAAATATTTTAGTCGTTGGCTACACAAACGTATCATGGGTTTACGTGATTTGGTATTAAAATATGGAAGATGAGAACTGATTACAAGATGAACAAATATGGATACTGTCTGGATCATGTTGATCTGTGTCTGGTGTAAAGGACTAACGAGTGCACGTATGCCTGTCTGGCAACTTCCACTTGTTGAGAAAAGGTATTTTAGGTATTTTCTTTTTACGTGCATTGCATACATAAAGAGTGACGTGCCTATGTGTTTGTGTTAAAATGCTAGATCAAAAACTTTTTTCGAAATCGTAACAATTATGTATTATTATTATGTTAAAGCTATATGCGAACCGAAATTTCTTTTGTAAATCAAGGAGGAATTACTTGATTTCGTTCATTATTTACTCATTGTTACCAACTTACACTTTCCATTTTACATCATTACATGTATATATAAATACAATTAAACAAAAAAAAATATCGTTCGAACCACACAACTTTTATCGTTAATGAACACTCCAACGAGAAATGCATACCATTTCAACCGCACGATGTTCCACCGGCTCATCATTCTATACCCTAGTCGATGACGACTTTGAAAAGAGTGTTTGTTGCGTCATTAATATTCTGATAAATGCACCAAAACAAAAGTCTTTTTATGGATAAGTTCTATGTTTGTTTTTCCGTATAATTTAATTTACAATATTAATAACCATAAAAAGACCCTCTGAGTGAATCGAATCGAATCATTATGATTCATAAAATACAAGTCGGTGAGGCTAAAAAAAAACCAAAGTCGGTGATCGTGACGTGACATGAGCCTTAGCAAGAAGCTCGTGATTGAATATGTGATTGTAAATTCTCTCACTGATTCTCTTCTCAGATTCTTTTACTCTTATCTCTTTTTTTTTGTTTTTTGGTGATATGAGGGATCATGGAGTAAACATAGAGATAAACTTACTTCAATGTGGATCTGAAATTTGGTTTAGTTCGGTTTAAATCGGTTTGTGTTTGATTTTTCTGTCCCTTATCTCTAGAAGTTTGCAAGTTGGAAGTGTAGGGTTGAGTAGCTCATCTATACAAAACCTTGTGGTGTTCTATTATTTGGCCTTTTTAATATTTATGTGGGTGTAAATGATGAAAACACATCCAAATTCGGATAAGTTTCTCTTGTTGTATCAGAATATTATACGTTCGAGATATATATACGTACGATAACTTTTAGTTAGGATCGTTCGATAGTGATCAAGTGTTCATTGATGTCGTTTTCAATGCACATCTATATTCTCATTTTCGTGAATTACGGTTACTCCATACGAATGAGTGATGAACATAGCGTATAAAAGAAGACAAATACACAAATAATCTGTGGAATTATCATTCAGAGTGTTAATTGTTATAGAATTATATGACGACCGTAATCGAAGAGATTAGACTAAATACTAAATTTCCAATCATATGAGATAACTATTTGGAATGTTTTAGTAAAAAATAAAGAAATGGAGAAGGACTCATAAAATCTTGATTTGGAGTCGTAGTTGAAGTTGAGAGTAACCAACTTGACCGGTGTGTGACCCCACTTCCATAAAATTAAGAGTATATACAAAACTCCAGCCAAATCAAATCATGGAGATAGATTCTTCTTTGTTCTCTTCTTTCTCCCTATCTCCAAAAAAAAAAAATATTCCTAATGTCCATTTCCTCAATAGTCCATTTCAGATGCGACTCACCGGTGAATTTCCTCAATATTTTTACTTTTGAATCGATTTTCATCACAACATATTAAAAGCATTCCATTATAAAATAATAAAATATATAGCGTCTAGTACATGTAACGATTTATTCTTAGACTCAGTTAACTTACAGTATTAGATAGACTGATGACAAGCTATACAAATTAACAGTTTGACAACCGACATGTTAAGGTAGTCGAGCATATTCGTTGAAGAGAGGTTTGAACATATTTAGGGGCTAACAACGAACAATCTAAGTATTTCCTTCAAAAGCTAAATAAAGGTTCCAACAATATTCTCGTAACATGTTGAATGTCGATAAATAGCTAAAACATATCAAATGTGACCCCACGGTTCCATATAGCTTGGTATATGCATAGGTCACCCATCGTGGACATGTGCTCGCATTTTCTTATGGATGGATGCATGCATATTGTTGTTTTTGTTTTTTTGGTCAAGTTTGAAATACTATGTCGAGCAACCATGCAATCTCAAGGTTCTTAGACGCCAAACGTACACACACTTTTGAATTTACTCGTTTCTATTAAAGTTTTAGTTATTTTCTGGTTAAATTTGTCCAAACAAGTATGTATATAATTTAGTCATAAATAATAATGTTTTGCTAAAATGAATGGAACAAGATTTAAAGTTTTGATATACATAAAGTTATTTCACAAAACTACAAGTAATATTTGTATTTTCTCATTTTTCTTAACAAGGTAAACCTGTTCTCAAATTTCTATTTGCTTTATTTGTTTTAAAATATAAATTTTCTTTTAAAAAATACTATTACCATATATATATATATATACAAAAATAATTTATTGAAAAATCATAAATGTATTTCACTATTATTAGCAACCATATAACTAATATATTTTGTTTGTATATGAAGGTATATTGACCAAGAAAGTTATTGGATAAGGTAGTTAGGAGTTCCATCTTAAGTGGAGAAAATTGGAACTATGAACTTTGAGCCATACAAGAAAAGGAATTCTGATTTAGATACCATAGTGAGAGGGATGGGTTTTGTGGATGATCATATCTAATGAAAAAAATAGAAATTGAGATATATACGGGTGTTTTGTTCTTGTTGTGAGTTGTGAGCTTTTAATTTAATATCTTTAGGATTTGCAAGTAGTAGATATTACAACATTGCAAGCACAAACCTTCCTTCATGATCCATTTGTGTGTGGGGACTTACTTTTGCCAGATTAGATTGCATTATATATTTTTTCCATCTTTACTTTGGCCCCACTCTCCCACATGGACTTCTCTCTCTTTAAACCCCAATCTCTTGCCTATTTATGCCAGCCTTTGAACATTCCCCCTCACAACTCCACTTCAACAATTTTTTTTTTTTAAAACACTTCTTTCTACAGACAACAAAAGGCTAATTGAGAGACTAGTTGAAAGATAGACCTATGGCCCTAGAGATGGCTATGGAGCTTGAGCTTGATGATGATGTCTTCTTTGCAGACATAAGCAGGCAAATCAATCTCTTAATCACAGATGACGATGAACAAAACCCTATCTCACTTTCCTCCTCTGTCTCTTTCCAGGTTTGTCCAAGTTAACCCCTCTCTCTCTCTCTCTTTATATATTAGTGAATATCTGAGATGTTGATCTTTGAAATCAAAAACAGGGTTTGTTCAAAGAAAGCTACCAAACATCAGCAACACCATATATGATGTACCATGACCAAAACTACAACCAAGTTAGAGAGAGCAAAGGAACAGGAGTGTTCATCCCAAGATGTTCTCACCCAAGAAGGAAACAACATAATCATCCTAATCAGAAGAAGCAAGGGCGATTCGGTTCCTTTAACCCCAAGCAACCGTTTCCTCAACATGTTCATGACAATAACTCAACAACTCTCAACAACGACAACCAAGAAAGCATCACTCTTCATCATGCTTCTACTAACCCAAGAAGAACCTACAGAGATGCAGCATCTCTCTTCACTTAGTCTCAATCAAGATTCGAAGACATATATTTGTGTCGTAACTCATATTATATATAATTGATTTTCAATATTTATGTTTGTAAGATCAGCGAATAATAAAGAAAGAACCATCAATCTAAAGGGATTTGGTGTGATTTATGCAACCGTCTACGGATATTAATTCACTCAATCTTAACATACGTACCACTTCTTCTAATTGTTACAAATTAAGTGAAAAAATAAACCTCATCATGATCAAACTAGTTCTAAATTATATCATCAATGGAGGAATTAATCTGGATCAGGACAAGACTCATGTGAGATTGGGAAATCTTCCATGTCAGGTCTAGAACCAATCAATCTCTTTGGGACCTCACAGTTACTTACAGTTATGTTGGCAACAATGTTTGAATAGACAAAAGTCAGATCTAAAGAGGAAAACGACTGTCACAGACTCACACCCACATGCCTACATGCCCATCACTCTTTTTTTCTTTCTCCATTAGTATATTCTTTGATATATAATATGTTTTAAAGGAAAAAATCACAATTCTTTCAGACATTTACATCGAACAGAGCTGTATGTTTTCTGTCAACTAGCTGTATTTCTCTAAAAATAGTTTTAAATGTCGAATAAGACTAATTAAGCATCAAATATGTGAAAGTGTATTAACTCAAAATCTGTTTCTTACAAGTTGCAGAGTATGAACTCAACATATAATTTACGCTAAGTCTAACACACGTAGAAGACACGTATCACCCACTCTTGTGGAATCGGTTTCAGAAATGGTTAAAATGATTCACAAAATAATATATTTTTACTTTAAAAAATATAATTACCTGATTTGGTAAAAATCATATATAATAGATTTTAATTCTACTTTTACAAATTGTTGTAAGGTACTAGTATATTTTCAAAATCAGAAGGTACTAACTTTCATCCTAATGCAAGCATTAGAGGGAATATATAGTTTTTTTCCCTGATATTGACTCAAATTTAGTATGATAACGATTCTTATATATTTGGTAGAAATATCCAAGCATAGAGGAATCATATACATGTAAGTTTAACATATGTCCTACATCGTGGTTAGTGACATATAAACAAGAAATGTATCATCAGTTTTAGGAAAAAAAAAAAAAAAAATACAAGAGACATGGTAGTGCAGTTCCATCAAATAATAAAATAACAAAATAATTACAGCCAGAAATTCAAACGGCCGGTTAAGATAAAATTCCTTAACCGAGTTCTCAAATCTGTTTTGTTCTGTTTCTCTTCCATTGATCACTGGTTTCACATCGCCGAGCTCGTCACGAGATCCAAACTCTCAATGGCGGCAATTTCTCCTTCCTTCCTTCTCTTCCTCATTCCCATTGTCCCACTCTCGCTTCTCGCTGCCTTAGCCCTAATCGTACGCCCTCGTCCCATCAGAATCCCCATCAAGTCCCGTCACGTCTTCATCACCGGCGGATCTAGCGGCATCGGTCTCGCTCTCGCCCAACGCGCCGCCTCCGAAGGCGCTCGCGTCTCCATCCTCGCCCGATCCTCCGGTAAGCTCGATGAGGCTAAGCAAACCATCAAGCTCGCCACCGGCGTCGAAGTCGCCACATTTTCCGCCGACGTTCGCGATTACGACGCCGTGTCGAAGGCGATTGACGAATCTGGACCAGTCGATGTGTTAATCGTGAATCAAGGTGTTTTTACCGCGAAGGAGCTGGAGAAGCATAGTCCAGAGGATGTCAAGTTCACGATTGACGTCAATCTCGTGGGGAGCTTCAACGTGATTAAGGCTGCTTTGCCCGCCATGAAAGCTAGGAAAGGTCGTGGTCCTGCCTCCATCTCTCTCGTATCCTCTCAAGCCGGTCAGGTTCGTCTCTCCCAAGTTCATAGGAATATAGGAGATTGTAGTTGATTGCAACAAATTAGAGAGTGAGACATTCACAATTTTCAGTTTTTCTTCCAAAGTATTGGTTTTACTAAATCAAGTCGTTGAATTAGCTTTGTAAATCTCTTGAAGATGGATGTTTTTGTGAATTTTCAGGTGGGGATATATGGTTATGCTGCATATTCAGCAAGCAAGTTTGGGCTTCAGGGTTTAGCACAATCACTGCAACAAGAAGTTATTGCTGATGATATTCATGTCACTCTTATTTTTCCTCCAGACACTGATACACCTGGTTTTGAGGAAGGTAAAAAACAATACTCAGATGCTTTAAAATCTCTTTTTTTGATATTCATTATGAGTATACTACAATACCACATGAAAGTAGCTAAGTGGATAACACGAAATTAAATGCATAAAAAAGAGTTGGAGGCAAACTACATAAGGATGTAGTATATGGTTGGGAGATATGAAGACATAAAACTATTATGGTTTGTTATTATTGGATAAATTCTGTGTCCTTATCCGGATTGAATGATTGCATATACTCTATCAAACACTTAGTGCCTCATTCTCTTCTTTATTGTGAGATTGCCATAGTATCTAAAATGAAGCTTCTGCGTAATTGGCTTAGGTGATACTGTTTAGAAGAGAGTAAGGGATGTTCTTTGGTTCATGTTATGAAGTTGAAGATGATGATGATGATGATGATAAGAGTTTATTTTGATTTTCCTTGTTTTGCTATCTCAGAACAGAAGAGCAGGCCTGAGGTCACTGCCATAATAGCTGCGTCATCTGGCTCAATGAAAACAGAAGAAGTAGCCAGAAAAGCTATGGATGGGATCAAAGCAGGAAAGTTCACAGTGTCATGCAACTTTGAGGGGTTTTTACTGTCACTGGCTACAACCGGCATGTCACCTCAGAGATCATTTTGGCTTGCTTTTGTTGAAGTTATAACCGCAGGGCCTATAAGATTAGTCGCTCTCTTCTTCCAATGGGATTGGTATAATGCCATTGCAAAGTGGAGCAAAACCAAAACCAAATAGTAAGTGCCTCATACCACTCTCTTCTTGGTTTGACTAGCTTTATCCGTTACTCTGTTTTGCTGTTCTAATGGTGCTTGCTTCTCTTTTGTAATCTCAGAGAGCTAAGAGGTGCTACCACGCCTGGCCAGTCGATTATCCAATTCAGATGCACGAAGCTGATGATAGTTTTGTGGATTCGTGACTGTCTCAAAATTCAAAACAAGCTCTGTTTGTCATTTGTAGAGAATTATAAAAACAATTCTTTTGAATGTATTAGCCACACAGGCACACACTCATTATAATTGATCAAACGTGTTTTAAATTTGATGTTTTCGACATTAGTCAAAGATGAGTAAACCTAGGAGCAGAAAACAGTCAAAAACAGAATTTGAGATTTTTTTGGGTATTCAAACGCACGAAAGCCACAAAATGTGTGTAATTAGAAGATAACAAGTGTGCCGTTCCGGAAGCCTTTAAACAGCACGCAGTTTGAGTATCTTGTTATAAAACGATAAGATGTGTTTTTTTCAGAAATGAGGTTGAGGGAAACGTTCTTCTACACACACCTATTCTTGGGAGAGTAATCGAACGACTCGGTCTCATTTTGCAGCGATGGCGATGTTTATAAGAAATTCACCGGCTTTGAGATCGGCAGCAAATAGTGTCCGGATCGGAGTTTTCTCTATGGCTTACTCAAAGCTCTCGGAAGGCACAGACATAACCTCGGCGGCGCCCGGCGTTTCCCTCCAGAAAGCTCGGACTTGGGACGAGGGCCTTTCCTCCAATTTCTCCACCACACCAGTCACAGATATCTTCAAGGTTCAAATCTCTCTCCTTTTTTTGTTTCTTTCTGGAATCTCAATTCGATGGGGAATTTCAATTTCTGACATGGCGTTGTGGGGTGTTTGTTGCAGGGGAAGAAAGTTGTCATCTTTGGTCTCCCTGTAAGAAGATTACTATGTTTTCAATCTTTCATATGTCTCGATCAGGTGTCTGCGATCTGATGTTAAACCGGATGATTCGTTTTCTGTGTTTAGGGGGCTTACACGGGAGTTTGTTCGCATCAGCATGTGCCTAGCTACAAGAACCAGATTGACAAATTCAAGGCTAAAGGCATTGATTCCGTCATCTGTGTCTCTGTTAATGATCCCTTTACTATAAATGGCTGGGCAGAGAAGATCGGTGCCAAAGATGCTGTAAGTTCTTTGATTCTTATTACAATCTGAGAATTCGATTTTGCAACATTACATAGAAGATCTGGTTGTTGAAGGTTTTGATTGGTGAAAATGAATCCTGTAGGAAATGTTTTCAACCCCCTTTTTAGCATGTAACTCTTGTTTAGGTTGACGTCATGGTATAAATCTATATCTGTTCTGAATCTGTTGATGAAAAAATATGTGATTCCATGCTAGATATTTGATTTATGCTCTTTGTTCCTTTCGCTGAATGTCTTTGTCGTTATGCACATTGACTCAAATGTGATGCTCTTGAAACTTGTTGATATCAGATTGAGTTTTATGGAGATTTTGATGGGAAATTCATTAAAAGCTTAGGGCTAGACAAGGATCTCTCTGCTGCATTGCTCGGCCCTCGGTCTGAGAGGTAAAACCACTGCAAATCCCATTTGTTGAAAATTCATTTCATTGAACCGTTGACCTTACTGACAGATTGGAGTTGACTTGTGTTGTTGATGTGCAGATGGTCGGCTTATGTAGAAGATGGTAAGGTGAAGGCGGTGAACGTGGAAGAAGCACCGTCTGACTTCAAGGTGACTGGTGCAGAAGTCATTCTAGGACAGATCTAACATGCGTTTCGAGAAGTTCTTCTGCGTCTATTTTCTTCTTTTTTCAAGTTGCAAATAAGTTTGATCCGAACATGTCCAAAGGATCACCCGAAGTAACAGCTTTTTCTTATTTGTTATTTCTTCCAAGTTTTCAGCTTCAATAAAACTTGTTTTTTTCTTGCTGTTTCTCTGCAAATGTTAATCTAAAAATTTGGGAAAACTACATCCTAATGAAAAAAAAGGAGTAAAATACAGTTGTACTGTATGCAGTTTAAACCTCATAAGAACTTTGAAATAAGTTGCAAATCAAAAATGTTATTACATGAGTTTTCCAAACGCTTAGGCTTAGGTACATTTTTGGGAGAATTGGCAATTTACCCCAAATTGAAACTTCTTTTGTCCCACTACACCTTCCCGTTTCCTCTTTGTCCCAATACCTTTTTTTTTGACATTTTTCTCAGTTTTGCCCTTCATTTTAGTTTTGTTTCCATTTTCGTTTTTTAAATTAAAATATATTAAATAAAAATAAAATTAACAAAACTAAACTAATTAAAAAATAAACCGAAAAAAAACAAAACTTATTCTCTCCTTCTCTCCTTCTCTCGCGACGGCGCCGGAGGCGATCGATAACCTAATCTCAATCGATTTCGTCATGATGAGAGGAAGGAAGAACGTGATGTTTTGGATAGTTGGAGGAAAAAAAGGAAAGAAAGATTTGAAAAATATTCAGTTGCAATATTTTCTCGATCTTCGCAGAAGATGAATTCTACAAAACCGTAGACGACACTAGTTTTGCTAGATTGTGTACTAGAAACACGAGTACTACGGATCGTAGAAAACATGGTTTTAGTAGAACACTACTTCTGCGGGATGTAGAGTAGACAAAAACACGTAGAATACGAAAACTATTTCTTGTAGATAGCAGTGTTTCGCGTAGAACGTAAAATCTACGAGTAGTAGAAGATACTTGATTGAGTAGAATACATTTGGTGCGAATTCTACAAAATGGTAGAGCCTATAAGAGTAGGTAGATATCAACTTCTACATCCGGAAGAGGTATGAATAAGTTGTAGATATTATGTTCTACGGAGGTTAGACCTCTGAATATCTTGCAGAAAACGAATTCTACTTTGTTATTTTAGTTTTGTAGAATGAAACTTGAAATATTTTTTTAAATATCATAAGCATTTTCAAAAATGTTCAAAAATTTTACACAGTGCTAAAATGATTTTTAGGAATTATGGCATTTTTTTTCACTCCAAAATACATTTAGTATGAGTTTATAAATAAATTGAAGGGCAAACTTGACCAAAAAAGACCAAAGTCAAAAAAGGTGTAGTGGGACAAAAAAGTTTCAATTTGGGGTAAATTGCCAATTCTTCCATGAGTTTATTACATGAGTTTTCCAAATGTTATTACATGTTTTGATCTTTTTGTCTCAACAAGCTCTGCTTATGTGATATGGTCTTTTTTGTTCTTATGAAACTTATGTCTCATATTTCTGGTTACCAAAAATTAGATTGGTCTATATATTTTCTATAAAAAGTTACCGAAGGTTGATTGTTTGCTTTGTGGAATTGTAAAACTTTTAACTCCTTTTTTTAACCATTCAAGTTTTAAGAAAACTAAAATTTACAGCAAAATAAAAAATCAAAATCCAAGGGCCAAAAACCCAAATTTAATATCCAAGACCTAAAAACTAAAACCAAAAAACTAGCAAACATTCATGGTCTTTTTACACAAAATTTAGTAGACTGGTTTTCTTCCGTATCATCCCAAATAAATTTAATTATATTATGAGTGTTTAAACTAACCAAACTCACTAGGTTACTAAAAAAAATTTGAAAATAGTCCCTTGTTATATCCCGTTTAGTCCCCGGTTTTTTATCATTAGGCTCTAAATCACTCGAGTAATGTCTAACGATTTTATGAACATAATTTACAGGATTAAGCCGTATGGTCGTGAATATGTTTTTGGAGTAGCATATGATGTTATGGCTTTCACTATCATGATATATGTTTAATTCCAAGAGGAAAATATTGACAAATGCTATTAGCAAGATGTTGGATTACATTGTGGTAATGCGTGAGTGAAAAGGAGTTTGCGATCAAATGTAGAAAGTTTATAGCTAAAATTGCAGTAATCAGATATGATATGAAAAATCTCATAGGCTGGAAACTGGTGAGGAATGTTCTGTCTACTGTTATGTCACTCTTAAGCAGATGTTCTTATGGCCATCACCATAATGGTTTATGTTCAATTTCAAGAATTGCAGTGTTATGTGGTGTTTATAATTGTCTTTTTGCTTATTTTACTCCATTATTTTGGATCAGTAAGAGTTCAAGAAGTAGAAGATGTAAGTAATACTATTACATTACCCGTAAAGTTATTTCTTTCATGTTTTCAGTTTCAATAAAATTTATTTGTTTGGGGTTGTTTTACTGCAAATATAAATTAAAAAATTTAGAACTACATCCTAATGACAAAAAAGTAAATTACAGTTTGAACTTTGAATTAAATTTCTAATCTAAAATATTATCATTATCATATACGAGCGTGTTTCTTTTAATTTTGATGGAAATCTTGTAGAATTGGTGTGTAATATATTTTTTCATAATTAATTTTCCAAACGTAGGGAAATTTGCTGTTGAGATGTAATGGGCTTAGTCCATATAAAGAAATGTAATTCACTAGGCCCAAAGAGTGGAATTCACACCCTAAACCCTCTCGTGTATCCTCTCTCTCCTCTCTGTCTCACTGCATCATCAACTCCGACCCCGACGAAGCCAGCCGGAGGTAAGCCATTTCCGTCTTTCTCTTCTTCTTCTCCGCTTTGAAAACTCTCATTTTCACATCAAAGGTCTATGATTCATGGATCCAATTATTTGATTTTGGAACTATGATAACTCACGAATTTGCTAGCTTCTGATCTTCGGTGTTTGTTTCTCTGTAGCCAGAATGGATCATATCATAGATTTTACATCTAAACTATCGAATCTGAGAATACTTTGTAATATCAAATTAATTTTGCGGTTGAGCTGAAATCGATCTTACGAATCTCTTCTTGCTTTTTGTATTCTTCATTTTCCCCCATTGATCTTGTGACTAATGATATATGGATTTGATCTGCAAAGCAACTGTTGAGCCTAAATTGATACAGTAGAGATGTCTCGTTGAAATTATTATCTAGTTTAAGCACTAATTTCCTCAGATAATTGCTCTAATTAGGCCAAATCTTCACGCATATCTTGATTATCCTCTAAGCATTATCAGTCTCATTTTTGTGATTCAAATCTCATTGCATTGAACAGTAACACCTAAAAGCATCCTCTTTTCTGTAACACAGGAGAAGTTTCACTGTTGCTGTCCTGTGAAGATTTGCCGACAAAGAAAAAGTCTTATCTGGTCACTTGAGATGATCTTTGGTTGATGTTTGTTTGTATGGTAGCAGAGTAATACACAAGTCATGAAGCTTATTTCACTTGTCAGAAACGTTTGTTCTCGCCAATGCCAACCGAGAGTAAACCGGACTGTGCAAGTGCGTTTCTTGCAGCAAGATTCCGTCTCCACAGCCAAACCCAAGAAATACAAATACCCTCCGGTTTACGACCCGTACGGTCCAAGACCACAACCTTCAAGCAAAATCGTGGAGCTAGCTGAGCGTATAGCTGCGTTATCTCCAGAAGAGCGGGGACAAATCGGTCCTGCGCTCAACGAACACCTGAGGCTTCCGAAGCAGGAGATGATTTCGACGGACGGGATGAGTATGGGAGCGAAACAAGATGGTGGAGCTGGAGTAGTAGAGGAGAAGAAGGAGAAGACGGCTTTCGATGTGAAGCTGGAGAAGTTTGATGCGGTCTCGAAGATCAAAGTGATCAAAGAAGTGAGAGCGTTCACGAATTTGGGTCTGAAAGAAGCGAAAGATCTTGTGGAGAAAGTCCCTTGTGTGCTGAAACAAGGAGTGACCAAGGAAGAAGCTGATGGGATCATAGCAAAGATCAAAGCTGTTGGTGGAGTCGCTGTCATGGAGTAAGTAAGTGACTTTTCTTGGCACTTGCAGTAGATGTTTTTGTAATAACACAGATCAGTTAATCATTTTTCAAGAACTTGCTCGGTTTCAGATTTTCAACTTTGTGTGTTCGCAAGTTGGTTTTAAGTGCTGCGAAATTGGTGTTTTGTGTTATGTTAGTTTCTTTTTAGACTATTGCATCTAAAAAGATTTTAATTTCCTTAACAGTCTTGAATTAAGGTTAAGATTAATCCGATGGTTGGATATGTAATCTTGAATATGAGGATAGGGGACCAAAGCGAAGTAGTTAAAACTTATTAAAAGGCCTTAAATTGTCGGCGCAACGTCAATATCAGAAATGGAGCGGACAAGAAAAGCACAACAGAATCAAAACAGCTCTCTCCTTCAAAGAGTAAAAGCTAAGTTACCAATTTCTCTCACTCTCTTTCATCATCATCAATAAATAAAGGGAGCCATTTCCATTAAAAGAAGAAGAAGAAGAAAAATATCATCAGAGAGTTCTTGATTCAGTTTCAATGGCGATTAACAAGCTTCCACTTCTTCTCCTTCTCTCCGTCATCCTTGTCTTCCTCAACCGCCCTGTCCTTAGCGAGACCGGTAACTTCCTCTCTCTCTCTCTCTTCCATTATTTTCTTGTTCAAGTAAATCTCTGTTCTTGTGTTTCTCTCTTTTGAGTCTTGATAGATTCACTCTGTTTACTTTGGATCTTTAGATCTGGTCTGAAATCTCTTAGGATCTCTTTGTTCACTTCATTTCAAAGTTCCTCCTTAGATCTCAATCACTAACCAACTAGTAATTTCTCAAGTATTTTGATATACTTTACTTTTCTTGATAACAAAACAAGAAACAGAACATTTACTTTAATTAAAGATTGTGAATATGATTATATGGATTTTTTTTTGTTTAACTTGCAGATGAAGAGGACGTTCTTTTCACAGGCATCAACAGCTACAGAACAACGCAGAATCTGACAACCTTAAACAAGAACGAGAACGCAGAGTGTCTAGCCGACGGAATCGCAGACCAATTCAAGAACAAGCCTTGCACCAACGACACTGGCTCAGCCACAGTTCCTGGAACCGAGCCACAGTTCGCAAACTACCCTCAGATTCTAGCCAAATGCCGCTTAAACGTCTCCGACACAAGAGACGGCATGATTATGCCCGCGTGTGTTCCTCGCTTAGACTCGAGCCTCGTCCTCACCAACTTCACCAAGTCACAGTACTCGGCGAGTTTGAACGATTCCAAGTTTGTAGGAATGGGAATTGGTAAAGAAGATGATTGGATCGTTGTGGTTCTCACTACCAACACACCAGAAGGAAGCTTTTCTGAAGATACTGATACAAAGCATGATGATGATGATCATGATGATTCAAATGGCTTCACCTTTCGTTTTGGTCTAGTTAATTATATGCTTATTTTCCTGTTTTCCATTTGTCTCTTCCTCTATTGAGAGATATCTTCCACATGTTTTGATCTTTTTGTCTCTACAATCTTTTCTTGGACTATATCAAGAATAGTTTCTGCTTATGTGATATGGTTTTTTTTTCTTCTTATGAACGTATGTCTCATATTTCCGGTTACCAAAAATTAGATTGGTCTATAAATTTTCATTAAAAAGTTACCGAATGTTGATTGGTTGCTTTGTGGAATTGGTTGGATACCTATAACTTTCTTTGTCCTATTCCTTGAAGATATTTGAACATTTTTTTTTAAAATGGTTTCTTTCTGTTATTTATTCGGACTTTTATGGAAATGTGAAATATGATTCTCGATTCTGATAAAAATACAAGTAGAAAACTACAAACTATGACATGATGTTATCAATTAGACATGACATTATCTAAGAAGGTTAGTATTTAAATGAAAATGGCATGTGATAAAACGATGTATTTACATATATGTCGGTAGGTTTGGTAGAACAAGATTATTCAACGACCGACACCTCATATGGATATTTGACACGTGCGGACTTTATTGCAGGGTAAATATTTAAGTACGCGAAAGTGACACCAATAATTATGGCAAGGTGATATTTTTTGGATTTTTGAAAGGGTTCAATGGAAAATCACCAAAACTTGCCTTTAATTTGAAAAACAGATATATCAAAGGACAGAATCATTCATGTTAGTTATCTAGAGAAACCACATTTTTCTTCTTCTTTGTATGGCTGTGTAGCAATCACTTATTCTTATATCCTTTACTTTGACAGTGTTTTACACAGAAAAGGGGTCTAACTCTCTCTCTCACTCTCTATGTGGTCCTGTGGACATGAGTTGTCTTTGTATTTAGAACCCTTGAGTGGATTGTTTCGGCTTATTACTATTAGACTCTTTGTAATCTCTGTTTGAATCCGAGAAACTTGCTTAATTAGTGAGTATAACGCCGAGCTTTCTTCAGTTGTATCAGGTCAAAGAGAATGTTGGTTATTTTTCTATGCTTCACCGGATCCGTTAATGTTGTGTAACTTAGTTTGGCAGAGAGGAAAATAAATTAGGTGAGTCCATCTTAACCCTAAATTGCAAAGATTCCAACTTAACCCTATATATAGAAGTCCAACAACCTAACCTAACAAAGATAAATCAATCACGAAGTTGAAAGAAATCAATGCAACATCAAACGGTAAGTTGATATGTTTAAAAAGTTGAAAAACAAACAGAACAAGTTTACTGTCAATATTATACATTACGATGCAACATGACAACATAAACACAAGCATATCTTGTGATTTTATTTCTCGTCAAGACTGGCGTGCTGCAGCATCACGCATCCCACGCATCTCACGTCGAGTATCCGCGATCTGAAATCAGAGAAAAACAAGACAGGTGACGATTTTTATCTTCTTTTTTTTTGGTAAACAAACTGTAAAATTTATTTTAAAAAAAAACCAAAAAAAATCATACCATTTCTTTATAACGTTCTAAGCGGACATCCTGTTCGTCAAAAAGTTTATTCACCGTTGGAAACTCTTTCACGGACTTGTACAATTCTGAGGTACACAAAACAAAATTAAATCACGATTTTTTTTTTTAGTTTTCTATCTTGTCTAGAAAATAATTAATATGTTAGGATGATAGTGACATTACGCGAACAACAGTAAGCCGCAAATCCAAGAACCAACGACGTTCCTTACTTAAACGGAGGGTTAAACGGACCTTTCAAATACTCCAACTCTGCAATCGAAGAAATAATCACAAATACATGAAAGATATCCGAGGATAGACGCTCGCTCGATACGTATCATGCCATGAACGTTACCATTTTTTCTGCCAAAACGTTACCATCGGATAGACGCTCGCTCGCTCTATGATTCATGCGGAATCGTAGAACGTTACCATTTTTGCTGATCGAACACGATTTTCGATATACCTGCCGAACAAAGAAATTTAGAGAAATTTCGGCGAGAACATACACTGAACAAAAATTCCTAATCACGTTTTCATAGTACCTGCGCGACGACGGATCTTAGATTTGGCACCATGATCGATAATTAGGGTTTGCTATTGTTCGTCTCTGAGGGATACTAACATATACGAGGTCTTGATGAAACGGGCCTATTTTAATACAAAAGCCCGTAGTTAAATTAATTAAAACTTGAACTTGAGAAATGTCGGTTAGGTTACTAATGGATTTTTAAGTATATAAAGCTTTGTGTTAGCCTGCTGATTCTGTCTGGTCTATTTGAAATGGTTAGTACAAAGAAAGCAATGTATACAACTAAAACTTTTGAGTGAATAGATGAGAGAGCAAATAAAGCAATCTCTCAAAGGTCACAAACATAAGCAGACAAGAGTGGATTCATGTTCACATGAGGAGAGGACTAGTCCACGATGACTAAAGCTTAAGCTTCATGTCCTGATACATTTCTTCTACTTCCCTTCCAATACCTTTCTTCTATTTCAATGAACTCCCTCTTTGCCTGAAAAAGACAAGATGATAACGATCAAGTAATAGCAATGGTCGGAAAAATGACAATTCACATGTGCTTCTTGGTTTTACCTGTTCCATCTTCTCCTTAAATTGCTCTACACGATCGATCGCCAAATATACTACTACCTGAATACAAACAAACAAAAGGAAAATTTTCACAATTCGAAAACAAGAAATCAAATATCTCATCATATTTCTCTTGCTCTCCATACATACCCAAGTGAAATCCGAGAAACACTGATACAACTTGTTTCAACCTCATATTTTCAATATTCCCTAGTCTTAATCATCTCCTCTGGTCTACCTAGGATTTCAAATGCATCTCGATTCATAACTTGCTTTTTTGGGTTGGTTTCTCTGTTGTCAAGGCTCAAGATTTGTAAAGGCTGCGGACCACTTTGCTCGAAGAATTCCACAATGCTATGAATCAAGGAACACCGCATTGTGCACTTGGGGAGACACCATTAGCTAAAATTTACCAAATTTTAATTGTGCGTCTTGGAAAGTAGTCAGTTTAAAGATGGAAAATATTCTTTATGCTAAACTTTATTTAAAACTATAAAACTTAAAATCGAAACTTAGATTATACCATTCAAGTTTTTAAAAAACTAAAATCTACAGAAAAATTATATACCTAAATCCAAGATCCAAAACGCAAATCAATATCCAAAAACTAAAAAAACTAAAATCCAAAAAACTATGCAAACATTCATGTAGACAACTTTGACATGTCACAGCCACAGATTTCGGTACAAAAAAAAAAGCTGGGCGTAATCATTAGTCATGTAGCAAATTTTCACTTCTCTCGTCACACGCAAACATAACCAAAAGAATGAAAAACTGTTCATTCCAGCGACCGACACATCGTCCGGATAGTTCACTCGAGCGGATAGTTAAAAAAGGAACAGTGAGTTTCTCTTTCACTCCTATATACTTCCTCCACACATAGTAATCCTCAACGATGAGTTAATCTTCACTCTTACATGAGTGGCCTCTCGGTACATATGGATAATTAATCGGGATGCTATATGCATATTACCACCCAACTGCCAGTTCTCAATTCTTACACTTTAACTTGCCATCAGTTATCTGTTGACAAATGGGGTAGCTTAGTGATAAAGACTTATAGGTAGATGCATGCGTACAATGTTATGAAAGAGTCTTGTCCCGAGTAGTCCGGGTTAATTGATTAAATGTCATATTTCTGTAAAATTAATTTATTCATGTGTTGTTAACTTTTTATGAACACACAAACTAGAACACGTGTCGTGTTTATTTAAGTTCTGTTCACGATGATATATTAGATTTAGCAACCTATAGATTGCCAATTTTCCATATTATTTGAAGAAATTCGTGGATGGATTTAGTCCCAAGTTAGGTTACGGAAATGCATGTCCCTTTCGGGTGCATCCAATAAAAAAAAAAAAATATAGGTTAAGGAAATTCATAGTATTATTATTATTATTATAGTTATAAAACACCAAAACGGAAAACAAAAGAAAAAGAAACATAATCTCAATTAAATGACTAAAACCAAAAGAAAAAGAATAGTAAACATGAAATCAGAGCGCATGCGTGGCGATAACGTTCTAGAATCTGTAGACAGCCTCTGGGTTTGTCCTCCTCCAAGCGTGCACTATAACTACAGAAAGAAGAGGCAACCAACAACTGAAATTCTACACGAAGTAAGTATACCAACCCCTCAGTGTCTACAGCAGGGTCGTATGAGCAACAGATATAAATGCCACAAAGACAAAACAACCATCCGAGGAAGAGCGTGCGCAAAGCATGTCTCACCTCCATCCTAAGCTTATCCGATAGCTGCATGAGACCTATCCCTCCCGTGAACGACGAGATGCTGAATAACGACACAGGCAACACAAACGCCTTTTCCATCAGCAGTTTATACTGTAAAGGCGAGCTGATGATGACTGCACTTAAGAGGAGTAAGGAGAACAGACCCTGAATAATCCTCTCCGTCTTTGTGGTAAAGACCTTGTAGCAAGGAGAAGGAGGATCGCTGAAGCAAAAATATCTGAATAGCGTCACGGCATAGATTGTTGCGACACTCACCGCACCGTCCCTAAGAAACCGAGACCATGACACTAACGATGACTTTTCTCCAGGTGGCCAGAGAAGATTGAGTGATATGGAGAGGCCAAAGATCGAGAGTAGAGTCATTACATACCATATTCCTCGGCATACAATCACATCTTTTCTACTCATCGCTTTCTCCATTAATTATCGACAGAGCTTAATTAAGGTTAACGTTTTTTTTGGTTTCTCTATTGATTTTCAATGCAAGAGATGATGGATAACAACGGGACTATAAGTCTATAACTCTCTCTTATTTATATAAGTCTAAAAGCAAAAAATAAAGGAAAACCCAAAACTAAATCCTAATGGTAGTAGTATTAATATTATACCTCCCCTCCTCTTCTTTTGAAGATTTACCTCTGAATACAAACCCATTTAGATATTATGCGGAATCAGAGAACGTTACCGTTTCCTGAAGACAAGTTACGGCGAGACCCGATCGATAACGATTTTCCATGTACCTGCCCAATGGCATTGGCGGCGAGACCCAATCGAACAAAGATATTAGAGAAATTTCGGCTGAAAAATAAAGAAACCCTAACCACGTTTTCAGAGTACCTTGGCGAAGACGGATCTCAGATTCGGCGGCATGATCAACAATTAGGATTTGCTATTGTTTTAAAAAATGGGAAAACATATATATATATACTTGTATGCTCTTCATTAAACGGGCCTGCATCTTCTTTAATCTTCCTTGGGCCTGCACCGTCGAGGGTTTAGGGTATTGGTAAAGAAGGTGATTGGATCGTTGTGGTTCTCAATACCAACAACACACCAGAAGGAAGCTTTTCTGAAGATACTGATACAAAGCATGATGATGATGATGATGATGATTCAAATGGCTTCACCTTTCGTTTTGGTCTGGTTAATTATATGCTTATTTTCATGTTTTCCTTTTGTTTCTTCCTCTATTGAGGTATCTATATCACATGTTTTGAGTTTTCTTTTCTCGACAATCTACTTTAGAGTCTACTTTAAATTGTCGTCTGTGAAATAGAAAAAAATATATTTAATTTCCAATATCCAGTGTAGATAAAACACTTATTTAAGTTAATGAATCATGTATTCACTTTAATTTTGTAATCATTTATATAGAATAAATTAACTCAAACATAATATTTTTAATAAACTTGATATGTGGATACCAAAAATTTCTAGTTTGAATCTTATAATAAACTTGCATGTGAATATCAAAAACAATAATTTAACTTTTTATTTTTAGATATAGATTATATTGCGGGTTAATTCAAATTTGATGGGTTGATATACATTTTTCTGGATTCAAGGGTAAATTTACAAACAAAAACCACAGGTTAATTTGCAGAAAACCCTTAAAAATTACTCCAACCACGACATTTCCTATTAGTACACTGAGGGTAATGGCATAAAAAATGCCAAGAATCCAAAGCCCCGGGAAGAAATCTTGTCACATTTTGTTTCTGCAATAAGAAAAGTCAACACATTACTATATATATAGTACATAGAGATAATAAGAAATTTAGTATTTACATGTGGCTCATCCAAGCAATAAACGTAAAAGATAATCAATGTGATTATCGCTACGAATAAGTTGATGGAGTGTGCTATAATGATTAAATCATTGTCCCTCTCCTCGATGTAAGTGGGAGACCATACAGTAGCCATAAGCTACTTTTAACAATCATGGCTACGTGAACGTTGGGTTGATGTTGATAACTGGTCGTTTCTTGTAAATGTCAACAATCAACGGTAACCTACACATAAAACAAATATTCCAATTAAAACCTATGTGAAGAGAAATAAGAATTTAAATAAGAAAAAAATCTTATTCCAATATGAAAAGGGATCATCCATTCAATGTGTTGACAAGTAACACACAAAAACCCCAAATTAATGTCTCGGCCTAAAGTTTCAAATAACTGCTACAACTTAAGCGTGTACAAAATCTGGTCAGCGAATAAGACCATTATCAAATAAAAATATTGGTTTTATCGGGAAATTAACACATTTAAACCTAGTTATTGGTTGATTTGTGGAATTGAATATCTACACTTTTAACCTTTTTTTTTTCTTTCAAACTAATTTGAAATTTGTTTAGTTTCTTTTTGTTATTTAATGTGTAATAATAAATGTGAAATCTGTTTCTGGTCGCTATTACGATTAATCACATGTGGAAGATAACAAACGATACAAGTACGAACTACATACAACTAAAATTACATACAACTAAAATTACGTTTTCACTATCAATTAGACATGTAACTACTCTCTCTGTTTCATCATATAAGGGGTTTAAGGTTTTTGCACACATATTAAGAAACTATTTAATTCTTGTACTTTTTGAAATAAAATATATTTTATCATCAATTCCAAAACATTTCAACTAATAACAAAATAATCTGAAGAATATAAATAATCAAAAGTAACAAAAGCACATTTAGTTTTGTCTAAAAACTCTAAAATCCCTTATATAATAAAACAAAATAAAAACTGTAAAACCCCTTATATTATGAAATAGAGAGAGTATAAAATAGAGGATTACTATTCAAATCAAACTTGTATATGGTAAAAGGATGTGTATACATATTTTGTCGGTGACACTTGCGGACTTAAACTTATAGTACTCGAAAGGGCCCAATAAGCCAGGCCCATTCATGAAGGGTAATACATTTATAATTTTTTGAAAGGGTTTAATGGAAATCGCAAAAACTTGTCTTTAATTTTGAAAAACAGATCGAGTGTCTCTTTCCCTCCTCGAAATCTCCTTCATCCACCACACAAATCACGAAGCAACGATGAGTTAATCCTCACCGATCTACACATCCGCTGCAAGTAACGAACCACTTAAGCTTCCACATCATCAAATGCAGGATATTCTCGGATCGGTTCGCCGATCCCTGGTTTTCCGGTCGTCTTTGGCCGGAGACGATGGAAGTGGCGGAGGAGGCGGTCTCAGCGGATTCGTCGGGAAAATTAACTCCAGCATCCGTAGCTCTCGCATCGGCCTCTTCACCAAGCCGCCTCCAGGTCTTCCTGCTCCCAGAAAAGAAGAAGCGCCGTCGATTCGGTGGAGAAAGGGGGAATTAATCGGCTGCGGTGCTTTTGGAAGGGTTTACATGGGAATGAACCTAGATTCCGGCGAGCTTCTTGCAATTAAACAGGTCGATTTGAAGTTACTAATTCTGATTTTCCGTCAATTTCATTTTTTTTTTTTTGTGAGTTGTTCTGCTGATTTGTGATCGTTTTTGGATATGATGATAGGTTTTAATCGCTCCAAACAGTGCTTCAAAGGAGAAAACTCAGGTCAATTTCATCATTTCCTAGTCGATATCTCCAATCTTGTGTTAAGTTTCCATTTTTTCGATAAATTTGTTCCCATTTTGGTAACCATTTTGTTTCCGTGGTATCTGTGGTACTAATGGTTTTTTTTCTTTCCTAATTTTGAATCCTTCTTTTAGGGTCACATCCGAGAGCTGGAGGAAGAAGTACGACTTCTCAAGAATCTTTCCCATCCAAACATTGTTGTGAGTAGACAATTCAATTCTATTTTTGTCTGTGTGCCGCATGCATTCCTCTTATGATCTTGATTTTGTTTCTAGAGATATTTGGGTACTGTTAGAGAGAGTGATTCGTTGAATATCTTGATGGAGTTTGTACCCGGTGGTTCAATATCATCTCTGTTGGAGAAGTTTGGATCTTTTCCTGAGCCAGTAAGTCCTTACTATACCTGAAAATTTGCTAAACTTTGTGTTTTGAGCTTCCCATGCCATAAATGTTGTGCTGAACCTTTCTGAATAGGTCATAATAATGTACACGAAGCAACTTCTGCTTGGTTTGGAGTATCTTCACAACAATGGGATCATGCACAGAGATATCAAGGTACTTTCCTCTTTCCAACAGATTATGTGGCTGTGGTTGCTCAAAATTTCTCTATAACTCTTGTCAAATTCTTCTAGGGAGCTAATATTTTGGTCGATAACAAAGCGTGCATCAGGCTCGCAGATTTTGGTGCTTCCAAGAAAGTTGTAGAGCTGGTATGATTGCCTTCTCTTTCTCTGTTTAGTCATTTGTCAATATGTTGCCTCTCTTTTTCATTACTCTAAAATGTGGGATTGTTATGTTTCCAGGCTACTGTAAATGGTGCAAAATCTATGAAGGGAACCCCTTATTGGATGGCTCCTGAAGTCATTCTCCAGACTGGTCATAGCTTGTGAGTATTTGCACTAGTCATCTTCTTTGCCCCAATCTCCTACTTTCTTTTAGCGTCTAACTTTTTGTAAGATGATAGATTAGAAATGTTCTGGGTAGTGGGAATGGGTTCTCATCTATTTTCTTCCTGTGTATTGCAACTTTTTGTCTGACCTTCTTCCTAAATTTGAAGCTCGGCTGATATATGGAGTGTTGGGTGTACTGTGATCGAAATGGCTACAGGGAAACCTCCCTGGAGCGAGCAGTATCAGCAGGTAGGCATATCCACTGGGTGGAAGACTCTTTCCAATATCGTTGATTCATATTCTGCTGTTTTTATTTTAGAAAACTAAGACATAATTCTTTTCCAGTTTGCCGCTGTCCTTCATATTGGTAGAACAAAAGCTCATCCACCAATTCCAGAAGATCTCTCACCAGAGGCTAAAGACTTTCTACTGAAATGCTTACACAAGTAAGTCACAAGTTCTTTTTTTTCTCCCAGTTCGTTTCTGTCTTTATCTGGAGATAGAACCTGTAAAGGCCGATTCCTCCTTTCCATTTCAATGTTTAGTTCTGTTATCCTTTTTATAAGAGCAATTGTATTTTGCAGGGAACCAAGCTTGAGACTCTCTGCATCCGAATTGCTTCAGGTATTGTGAATTTCATATCTTCTACACTTTTAACAGTTGTGAAACTGGTCCTTACACTCAGAGCACAACATAAAGTTTTACCGCTAACATCTGCAGCACCCCTTTGTCACTGGAGAACACAAGGAATCATATCCAGCTCCTCGTAGTTCTCTTGCGGTTAGTACAGAATGCAGTAAACTTTGTTCTTGTTCATCAACCTTCTGACTTTCTTTCGAAAAATATCAGGAATGCAGAAACTCAATAGCCACACAAGGAATAAATGTCAGGAGTTCGTAAGTTTCTCTTCGCAGCTCTAGTTTCCGTTTTCTTTCT